CTGTTCTAACAGGCATTTTTGATTATGTAACAATTCTTTGTCATGTATTTGTTATTAATGAAGTCAACAATAAAATTTGAGTCGCAGCCATTGTTATTACTTTATGAATATAAGATAAAAATCTTAATTTGCTATCAGGCAGTTTTAACTTAATTATCCTCTTTTCTTACTAATATGATTCACCTGTCCGTTGTCCTACATTTTAAAAATTTTATACTGTTAACATTTTCACTGAAATGGTTTATTAGCGTAAAGAATATTTATCTAGCGGGCAACCGATTGCAGTAAATTATAGAGAGAATTTTTATTTAAACCAGAATAAGTTAACCTTAATTCGTTCTATGATTGATTATCTTCTTCTGATCAGAAATTAACCTGTGGCGTACATCAATCATGAGTAGTGCAGCTTTAATTACTCTGGGCTCCATGTCACTGGTTACCAATTCCTTTTTACTATCCTTCATTTGGTCTAAATCAGGTTTAAGGTCGCTCTCGACGGCTATTCTGCAAAGTATGCTTATCAATGGTATTTTATGGAGTATTTATGTAATAGTACGCTTTACGGGACAATTTTCATCCTATTCTATTTATCTATGTATACTTTTACCGCGTCTGGGTCAAGGAATGTTCGTTAACCTAAATTTACACGCTTGTTTTATCATGCTGGAACGTTACGTTTCGGTGGCGTTCCCGTTTCGATATGAGCGTTTAATCACCAAGACAAAGATTACTATCATTATTACAACTGTTTGGACATTATCCTCGATTATACCTATTACCGCCGTAGTGACCTTGAGTGAAAACAGTAACTCAATCAATAATTGTTCACTTAAATACGTGAATTCATTCGTTGTTGTCGATACAAATATTCATATTTGTTTGTTGGTTGTGGCCTGCTTCCTTCTAGTTATACTATTTTTAATTTACAGCAGAGTGATCTGTCTAGTTCGTACGCAAGAAATCCGTTTGGTAAAAAGTTATACTTTAGAGGATACGGCACCAAATGATACTCGCTCTGTTCGCGTAAGACGCGAGCGAAAAGCGGTTATCCAAGCTATTGTAGTTTTCACATTCTATTTTACACTTCTGATGCCTTTCTTGTTATCATCTACTTTGGCATTTTATAATCTTACATCAACAGCACGATTACAAGCGGCATCTACCACACGTTACTTAGCCTTTAGCTATCCTGCCATACAACCTTTTATCTATGCGTATTACACTGCCAATATTCGAAAAGCATTAATTAGTACCATATTTAAGAGAAAAACTGAATTCAATCAAATCAATACGATGAGATCCCCTAATATATCAACTCACTAGTGAGGTCATGGTTTTCGCTAATCAGAGTAAGCTGAACAATAGATGAAAGTCATATAATTACGTGTTGCTATTTATAAAACTACAGCCAATTTAAGAAGAACATTTCTTATTCGTGAACTGAAGGAATGAATTGGTTTATCGTCATACTGTCAAGAAAAACTTTTTAAGTATTTAAATTGATAACCGTACTGTTAGCTGCTGCTATACTGCTCTGTTAAACCTTAAAGTAACTGAAGTATTATAAAGAAAATTAATACTTGCAATTTAAATGCGATCTAACTTACCAAGTATCGTAGCATTAATACATTTCAAAACCATATCTTATTATACAGTACTCAATCAATGAGTCTATGACCTAATAATTGAGTCACATAAATGATTATTACCTTACAGTTGAGTATAGTAGCCAAGGTATAGAAATAAAATAAAATGAATATGTTCTCTATCGAAGATTTGTACACTCCGGCAATATTTAAATTATTCCAGAATATAAGTTTAGAACATATTTTAAAGCCAGTTATTTGCATAATCCTGTTTTAGCACAATTGATACAATAATTTAAACTCACTATAAATACGAAAATCTACCTTTTTACTGTACTTTGATCACTTAATCTTAAATAAATTATTTAAGATTTTCTCAAAATTCTGACAATAGTTGTATTCCTCAACTACCAAATGAATCGCTACAGTAAATTTATTAATCTTACGATAATATGATTCTCTTCTGAAACTATTAAAAACGATCTTCTCATTGAAAGCTTATAGAAAATTATTCTTCTTTTAAATATCTTGTTAAGCGACTAGATAGAACCTGAATGATGCTTTTTGATGTATTTCTTCAATTATATATTTGCAAGCTTCTTATGTAATGTTACAAAAATCGCTACAAAATCTATTATAGATGATGTATTCGTATATCTGAAACAGGGCATTAATAAATGACCGGCAATGTCACATGTAAACAATTTCATTTTTAGTTATATAGCTACTTCTTGGTAATAGACGCAATGTGCGTTCATTAAAAGTTAATATTACATGAGTAAGCAATCAAGGAAGTCTGAGAAATCAGTCTATCTGCCTTATAAATCTATCATCAAAGTTACCATTCGATCAATTTTGCTCGTAATTTCGTACTGCAGTTACAACACTCACATTAATGAACAAATTGTGAATCGAAAGAGAATAAGTGTAATAGAATTAAATTCTATATCGCTTTGTTCCTATTGACTTATAACTTGATAAAACGTCATTTACGTCAACAGAAAAAGAAGTCACAGATCTATTACTCGAATCTGAGAAAAGTACGCACAGTATATTGGTATACAATGCTGATTCGGTCGCATGAAGACATACAGTAGTTATATTTTTGATTATGACTTTTTCAGTCAAATTTGCTGTATATCTTTGCTGATCATTTAAGTAATCACGATCTCTTGCTGTAAGTATCTCGTAATCTAATTGCTCGAATTTCAAATAATGAAAATACGTTTGCTGCCAAAATATTGAATTAACGATGATAATTTATCGTGCGTGCTGAATTCGTAAGCAAAAGGCTAATATAAATACTCGAAAGGGCAGCATGCTAGTCAAAGAATTGATGTTCATCGAGCCTCTAGCAATATCTGAGCTACGTCCACAACATACAATAGTTGTAGGTGCAACTGCATGACTACGCCTACATAGTGCCGGATATGACACAACACACGCACGAACACATTCGGTGATTTTTTTAATTTCCTTATATATCCACCTGTTGCTGGTCAGGCTTGCTTTTTTGGGAGAGTAATGAGTATAAATTTTTAAACTTCAAATAATGTTATCTATGAATAGTAGCGGCAGCAACAATTTGTACTACAGACCCAAGCAACAAGATAATTTGTTTGCTTTCATTACTTATCGAGAGTTACGGGTTTGAGTTCAGTTATAGAAAGCATTATCAACTCTATTCACGTATCAAATAATTGCAATTTCTCTTCAAACATTCGAATTGAGAAACGATTACTATTAAATAAACTTATCTAATCAATTCGAAAAGGATATCTACAGCACGATGTACACTATGTAGTAGTGTAAACGAATTTACTTAATTCGACATTAGCGCAACAGGGCAGTGCCTGTTCATACCTTTATAACAAGTCGAGTGAGAATGAGTCAATTCTATTGTAACCATTAGATACTTTATTAGGTGACAGCGTGTACATTATAGAAAGATTTGATTTTATACGTTTAGCTAAACTGAGTACATGAACTTAGGCCATAGCTGCAAAAACTGTTAAGTCTAAAACGCTGCCTTTGTAACGATGTACTATCAGCCAAAGTCTGTAAATCTAATTCACTAAGGTATCAATCATACTTGAAAGCAGCAATCTATACAAGAAATAACTAGCCAAACTATTTAATTGGAAATATTGATCGTTATACCTGGTGATTTTGCATCTTCAAAGCGATCCATAGTTTTCACGTACATCGTACATAAAACTCCAGCATATAATATAACAATTAGAACTAAACTAACTACCAATCCCATCCAAATTGGAGCAGTAAAGAATCCAACGCAATTACTGGCATAGGAAAACTTGTTTTCATTTATAGCCATTGGTTGAATCTAAAGGAAAAGGACTCCATTAAGCGATGATGTAGTATATGAATAATTCTGCAGTACAGTATCCTACTTGCCTGCAAATTAGCGAATCGAATGTAGCTACCATTATTTAACACTGCATCCGACAGAACTCCTGGTTTATGGCATGCGTAAGAGTAGCCATACGGAGACATAAGTTCGATCTGTGTCGTATACTGCTCTGTGCCAGAGATAGAATATTTCGGTTGTTTCCAATCGTATGACACACTCATACTAACACACTTCCAGTAAAACATATGATCAGTTCGTTGAAATCTCATACTAGATGTAATTAGAAGAAAGAATCATCAATTCTTACAGTAAGAACATATTAAAGCATGAAAGAAAGTTTCTGAAATTTTATCTACTAACGAAATTCGTAGATCTTTAAGCGGACTTTTCTTCAAATTATTGTAACTCAAATCTAGTCTAAACATTTTAATCAATCATTTCAATTACAAAATACCCATGACTTACGAAAAGAAGGAAAATAAGAAAAAAACTTACGAGACATTTCTAGAGTTTTTCATATCGCATTCGGCACTTACGGTGGTTGGTTGCACAGACATCAAGCTGACGTTAAGGGCGGGTTTGTAAAATCCAAAGACGAAATTGGTAGCGTAAATGTAAACGCAATTACTAACGTTAACAAAAAATGTATCATTCGTTATTAATGTTGTGTATTTAGGCGTGACGACTTCGGTAGCCTTCCGAAGTCGGCGCCTAATGTATCCGGATGCCTCGTAAATATCAGCAGTCTCGCCTAGGAAGCCATCTTCAAACTCCTATTATTACGGTAAGATATTTTTTTTAGAGTTTCCGTAGTGAAAAATCGTTACAAGAACTATCAAACATACTTTCGATGGTTTCGCCCCTGAAAAGATCCCAGTAAGAGTCGAAACATGATCTCCAATTTCTTTCATAATCTCATGAATTATTCTATCATTCTTCTTAAATACGGCGGCTATTTCCTTAGAATTGCTACAGATTTAGAGTAAAAAGTAGCTTAAAAAAAGCCTTACCCTATTATTTATTTACAACTTAACGATCCTTAGTCATGCTTGCCTCACTGGTACTCTTGGTAGATGAACGATAATTGCGTTGATAGCGTCATTATCGAAGTGATGATCATTAAATTTAAATTTCTTAGCTTCTTTCGCTGTTAGCTCTAACACTTTACCGGACGCTGCCTTCTTCAAGAACTCCTTTAGAACATCAGCATTCATAACAGATGGCAATATCAGAGAGGATTTGGCATTTTGAATTGCCAGCTGATATCAAAAATATTCAAAATAAAGTGGAGTTAGTGTTCGATGTAAAATACGAGTATAACGTCTAATGCAGTTTAGCTAATAGCTTTCCTTACCTTTAGATGATGAAAACTTGATCTTGTTTGTTCATAACCATAAACATGGCCAAATCTTGTAACATCATTTAAACTTAGCTGCACCAATTTAACAACTAGAGTTATTTACTTGGTAAATAATAAAATACGTAAGAAATGGCCATTGAAACTTACTCTGTTTTGCACGAAGAAGCAGACAGTTCGAGGTTTACCGGAAAATATAGGAAGTAAACGTTTTTGGGCTTCTTGAACATCAAGAATTTCTCCAGCAAATACATTATCGTCTGTAACTATGCTCCTAGGTGAAGTCAAAGTGCCAATAAATAAAAAACAAGCTAAGCCAAGATTATGTTAAACACATTTTGCAGATAAGACTATCTTTTATCATTGTCAGCTAAAATTATGTACGCATACAAACTACATTTTTGGGGCATTAATTTTTCTAAATTCTGGCTATATTTACGCACCATGGACAAAATGTGATTACTATAGTAACCGAATTTCGACGATTTATACACGATGAACATTAAACGGGGTTACTAACCAAATTATAAAGTTCGATTCAAGTTATATTGCAGCACGATATACCGAAGTGTACTTATTAGCTCATACTTTTCGATAACGGTACAGTTTATTATGTATGCATGAGATAGAACCATATGGGCATTCTACGTTCTAGCAATCGACAATTGAAATGAATTTCACATATTGCGAATTTGTACTTCTAAGTTATAGAGGGAATAGAATATGTGCTTAAGAAGGAAAACACCCATACTACAAAGATAATTATTATAATGTAACAGATTCAATATCAGTGCTTCATAGTCAGTTATTTATGATTGAGGACCGACAGGCGAAATTCTTGAAACCAATCTAAACCCGCGTTTTATCCAGATGTTTTTCGCATGCAAGGCTTTTAGATTTTATCTAGCTCTTAGATGTAATAACTAGTACTGGGTTTAACATAGTGTAATTTGCACTATAAGATTAACACTGTAAAGTTTAATTTAATTTTAGTTAGCACTTGTGATGAAGGTCTACATTCATAGGACGTACAGAGAACGTGTTATGCTTAGAATTTTGGAATTTAATACCATATAATCTGCGGAGGTGAGATTTCAAGACAGTAGAAGAGAACTTTCATACTGATCATTATAGGCAACTTTATTTTTCAGACTTACTTATCACTTGACCACATAAGAACAGGCATTCCGGTCTGCAAAGCGGTACTGGTGAAGATTGCAAAGTAAAAGAATAGTAAAAAGATTCCTAGATATTTTTCCATCCTTAATTATAATTAGTAAAATGCAAGCACGGCAAAGAAACTGATGAAAAAGAACAAGTAGAGTATAGTACTACTAATGCCAAGATACCCAAGAGGGCCAAGAACAAGGTAGAAGCAGAATCATGCTACAGTACAGTACAGTAGGTTAACAGATGTCGATCAACATGTCGTTTGTACTGTACAGTACAGCACAGTACAGTACACTAGTACAGTACAGTACAGTACTGTACTGTACAGTACGCCTCTGGCAATCAACTCGTTACGTAAAATTAGAACAGTACAGTAATGTACAGTACTGTACTTCATTGCAGCATGCGGATGTCATGTGTTCACTTATTGTACTGTACAGTACTGTACAACACTCAAAAGTTTCTTAAGACTGTACAGGCCACAGTAACAGTACTTCGTACAGTACATAGACATGCAATAAGCTTGAAATGACCAGCAAAATAATCGACCTCCATATTTTAGTATAGCAAACGACGGTTTTCCGTTCCTTTCTTTCTTTTTATCCCTAATCACCGTCTGGTTTAGGTCTGAAACCTTTCACCATTTTAATACCGAAAACCAAACCAAAAATGTTTTCATTTTATTACGAAGAAGGATTTCATCATTTTCAGATGGGTATCCGGGCATCCGTTTTTTAAGTGGCTGACATACTGTACAGTACAGTACTGTACAGTATACAGTACAGTAGATGTTAGTTGGCAAGCCACTTTGATGAAGGTAATACAGTACTGTACTGTACTGTACTGTACTGTACACTGTACACTGTACAGTACAGTATTAAGTTCATCAAAGTGGCTTGCCAGCTAACATCTCCGCCATCTTAAAAACGGATGGCTGGCCGGATATCCATCTGTAAACATACTGTAGAGGTTTTTATTACCTCTACACTCTACAGTACAACCGCTTTTACTCTTCTGAGGAGTGTTCATTTACTGTACTGTACTGTACTGCAGTACACAGTACCATTAAGCGCAAATTAGGTTAAGTAAAAGAACGTAGTCGATGTGTCAACGCGCTTAATGGTACAGTACTGTACAGTACAGTAAATAATTTAATGAACACTCCTCAGAAGAGTAAAAGCGGGTGGCCTAAAAGTGCCAAATATTTCTGTGGAGAAATCTCCTGTACTGTACGGAAGTTGCTTCCTGTAGTACAGTACTGTACAGTAGCCCTGATCATTTTGCATAAATTACTTTATACACTTCGTTTAAGCTGTCCTACTGATACATTAGACATGTATTGACATATCTAAAAAAAAATAAAGAAATCGTCCAATCTCACGCGGCGCAAATCAAATTAGTGTCCTGCATCATCCCCGTGCGAGAAATTATATTATTTTTTACTGTTACTGTACTGTACTGTACAGTACAGTACTATACAGTAACAGTACTTTTTATTTTTTGTTTATCCTTTTACTGTACAGTACAGTATTGTACAGACTGTACAAGTGTACATTATGTACTGTACATATACTGTACTGTACAATACTGTACAGTACTGCATTGAATCACTTTTTTTACACAACCGCATAGTACTGTACAGTACACTAGTGTACAGTGTACAGTATATCATACAGTATTTTTACTGTTAATAAATACTGTAATAATAATAATTATACAGTACAGTACAGTACAGTACAGTATAGCGATTATACTGTACAATATACTGTACAGTACAGTACACTATACAGTATAATATAATATAATATAATATAGTATATACAGTATAATTAATTAAATAATTAGTTACATTACAAGCGAAAAAATGGGTGCTGGAACGAGCAAGGAAAAAAACGAAGACATGGATAATTACCGAAAATCATCTATTGACAGCTTAGAAGCGGCTGTAAATCAGGGAATTCTAACTCCGGAGCAGAAGGAAAAAGAAGAACGTAATCGAAAATTTCGTGCGCGTAAGGTACTGCCCCAGACTTTCTATTAGAATTAGAATTATTTATTCTACTGTACAGTACAGTACTTGTGCAGTAACCGGATCTTGATGGTAAAAACTTTTTACCTTCAGCAATAATTAGGAAAGTCAATCAGACTATTAACTAATAGTAAGTACTGTTTATTGCATCCCAGGAGCACATGTAATATACCGTAGTATCGCAGTTAGAAGTCTTTATACTTAGGCTTTACGGATCAACTTTATCTGATTTTGCAAATAGTCAATGTTTAAAATTCGTACCAGAATCTTATAAAAACAATAAAAACAAAACAAATACAGAATACGGTACTATCCTAAGTATCATCTCGGACCCCGGCTCACTCCGCAGCCTGTTGCCAGTTTTGTTTATTTTGTTTTGCCTTTTACAACTTATTTACCATCAGTACCGTTACCATTAATTATTAGACAGCGTCCTATTGTAATACAATGCGCATTTTACGCACATAGTGTTCGATTTATCAACCTTCAACGTGGCGCATTTTTACAATAAAGCAACGTGTAAGTTGTGAGCGAGTAAGTAAATTCGCTCACTTACAGTTATTGAACTGATATCGGAGGTAGTTGATTTATCTATGACTACTAAAGAAATACCGGGTAATTCTTTCATTAGTCCACGATTTATCGCGCATTAATCTAATCATATAAACGTTTCACGTTGGATCGGTGTCAGACAACTCTTAATTCTTCCATAAATAGATACTTTACCATCGCAGTTAAAATAATAATTCTACGCGTACTTTACTAATGGAGCACAGTCAATTTTTGAACTCAGTCTTGTAACTGGTACTGTATACTTCCAGTTAAATACAGTATAGTATTCCAGTAAAATCCAGCTGTTCGTACAGTACATACGGTACAATGTGCAAATGTACATAACTGTACTGTACTCGTAATTTGTAAATTCTACGATATTTCATCCATATTGTGTACAGTACTAGTCCCCGTTTAGTTTGATGCAAATGACGGGGCTAATGTGTATTAATCGAGTCCATCACATGAAATGACTTTAAACAAATTTAAGACCACAAAATCTACGGTATATTGTAAGCCAGTATATTAGACAACAAACTATATTGTCTGTAATCTGTTTGCAACCATTAAAGGTGTATTATCCTTTTAATAATTTAGAATAACTTGATGGTTCTAAAAGAACTCTATCGATTGATGGATCCTTCTGTAAAGAAATCCGGTGATGCACAAGGAGAAGTTCAACTGTCTTTTAAGTACAATGATGAACAATCGGCGGTATTAGTGAAGGTAAGCAACCGAGCATTATATCTATAACGATATACTGTAATTATTAATGTATTCTCCTTCATGGTTAGTACTTTATAATAAAAAGTTTTATGAAGGCTATTGATTAAAGGTAACTCTTTCTCAGAATTCTCAGCTGGTAGTGAATAAACTAAATTCGTGCTACTATAGTACCATCGGGTAGAGTCAGTTAATTTCGATTGAAATTATGCACCGTACAGTTAAAATGGCCAGTGAGATAGTCGGCATAATAATTTAATTCTTAGTCAACAGTCACTTCTGTCCTTCTCTTAGTTGCCTCTGGGTAGAATGCTATCCTTAAACAATCGAATCTCTATACTGTAGACACTTTTGAATAAATTACACTTTATGTACTGTACTGTACGCGTATACTTTTATCAAATGAAACTTCTCTCGAAGTTCGGACTATACAAGTCGCAATTCAGAGTTCTCGCTAGTAAGCGTTTGAAAGTACTACAATGCAGGAAATTCTGTTTGTTAGTATAATTAAATAGCGCTATTATAGTACAGTACTATACTTCTGTAAAGTAATAAAAAATTAAGAACATTGAACGTGAATTGATTTTATTGCAATTGTTGTCAATTCGCTTCTTGAATTCTATTCATTTATTCTGTGTGAATTGCTTTATATATTGGACGATTTTATCGACTGAAACAAGCAGTAATTCTAATGATAAGATAACTGAACAAGCTTTGCCACGTGTAAACCTTATTTACATCGAATCTCTACGACAAATTTCTGTATTCTATATTAATATCAATTATAATTATTAATACATAATCCCATGTTCGCTTGTTCAGTACAATATAGTATAAAATACATGCAATTACACAGTCGTTTAAAGTGAGCAGGTGGCTTTTTTGACTTATAGTACCTTATAGTCAATAAATGGAATGTATCTTTATCTCTAACAACTCATGACCATAGAGGTTTCTTACCTCTACGATCAATATTTATGACCTTAACGGACGATGGTAGCTATGTTAGGGTTATATAGTCATTCCGTATTAAAATAATATGTTTCGTACTCAGGTTTGCGTCAGTAACTAACGTTATACGTATAATATGCACAGTTGGATTATCACAATAGTTATTAACTATTACTGTACTGTATGCATAGATTGCAAGTGTAACTTAACGTGAATGATAAGGGTAAAAAAATTTAAACCAATTTTGTAACGCTCGTTTGATTCAAAACCAAAATTGTGGAAAAACAGTTTTCCGTACTGCTTGTAGTATATCGAAAATTATTAAGCGCTTTATGTTTTTTACAGTCATGCCATGCACGTATGTTAGCTTTTGTTATAGTTATGTAATTCAGCTTTCTTAAATTCTAGATCATTAGAGCCAGAGATCTTGCGATCAAAGATATTTCTGCTGGAACTTCAGATCCATATTTCAAAGTTGACTTAATTCCCGATCGCAATAAAGAAGGTGCTAAAAAAACGAGAACCGTCAAGAAATCTTTAAATCCCATTTACAATGAAGTCATTGCTTTCAATGTCCCTCCCGAACAGTTACATGAAACTAGACTTCGATTAATGGCATATGATTGGGATCTTCTTGGTTAGTTGTAATCATAGACTTTATTATAAAGTCGTGGATTTTAATTTCATGGACTAGTTGATTATACTTCTAATATTGAATTATCATTAAAGGAAAGGATGATTTTATGGGCGAATGTATTATTAATCTCAGTGAATTGGACTTTGATCAAATGGGCAATGGTTGGTATCCTTTGCAACAAGCGGTCTGTAATATTCGTTCTTTAATTTTTGCGCAAATTATCGAAAACTGCTAGATAACTACAAATTTCTAATGAAATCTTTTCTGTGCTCTTAGACTGATTTAAGTATATCTGGTGCAATCGAAATTTCTCTCGAATACAAACTGCCTTCAACTATGATAGTTACAATTATTCAAGGTCGAGACCTAGTCTCTAGGGATATTTCCGGCAAATCTGATCCTTTTATTCGATGCTACGTTGTTGATACTCCAAATCGTTATAAAACCAGCGTACGTTAATTTAGTTTTCTAATAGCATTTACCAAAAAATCTATCGTAACAAATTTTAATTTACCTGTATAAATTTTCCGTTTATAGGTTAAGCATTCTACTCTTAATCCTGTTTGGGATGAAACGTTTGAATTCGATATTCCTCAAGAGGAGTTTTCTTCAAGGTGATATCTAGTAATCTGTATTAATAGATTACAATCTATTTTGTAGCTCATCTTGCTGATTCTAAGTTTTTCTTTAGAACAATTATTTTTAGCGTTTTTGATTATGATCTGACTGGAAAGAATGATCCAATGGGTGACGTTCATATCCACCTAACTAATTTTGATATTGATAATGGTCTGCATGAGTGGTTCTCCTTAGCTGACTTGAAGAATGCCGATCGAACAAGATCACAATGGGCAGCAACTGCGGTAGTTCAAGAATTCCGAGAAGCGCTAACTGCTCACGCAATCTTTGGCTATCCATCGTTTCTGTTCTCTAAAAATAGCCAAATTGGTTTGAAGGTATCAACCATAATTATCGATAATCTCAATCGTGTGCTCTTAGTCTATAACACTGTGTCTCCGCTACCCTAACTCTAGTATATTTCTAAATTCTATTAAAGAGGTAATATAAACATGTACGCATTGAAATGAATTTGAAGCAAATCTACTGTGTTAACAAATTTTTGTAATATTCTAGACGTATTCGGTTCGAAGCAGAGTTGCTGGTAGTACAGCGAGAGTACAGGTGGTGGATGGTCTCTTGGCGAAGTGAGATAGTCCACAGGATTCTGAATTGCTGCCAGACAGCTTATTTACGCGTAATTACGTGAGATCATACAGTAGAACAGTGAGCTACTACTAGAAATATTTAGCTGTGGATTTTGCTTTGCCACAATAGTACAGTATATTTCATTAACTTATTTTATTACAAGCTTTACGCAAATTTATGTGATTACGTAGAGTTTCTGTAAAAATCTTTATGGACAAAAATAGAAATTACTTGAACCAGGCTGTGCGCTGGCCTCTACAGTGCGACAATGTAACATAAAAGTTACAGCACTAAGTTACATTTTTTAATTAACTATTCCTAGCTGTTTTTTAGTGTTCTTCTGTAGCGACGTAATGCTTCAACTAAAGCATATTATTTCCATTTTTAAGCATGATGTAAAGCAAACTTCTACATTCTAATTTGGAATGTTTATTTCACTTATTCGTAATCACAAGTTAATCCAATTTTTGCAATATTCTCTGATATTTGCATTTTGATAATAAAAGTGATTGCTGTTTTATCGATGAAATTTTTTAGCTATAGTAAACATTTAATAAACATTTATTTTATTTTAATCAGCTTTACTACATATTGTATATGCATAAAATCTTGCAGCATCGATACAGTATGAAGACATGATTTTATACCAAAAGGTATCAATAAATCTAGAGTTGGTCTTTTTTATTCGCACTGCTATGAATAGGTTATTACAATTTTGGATTAATAATTATAATTAATAGACAAAACCTGCTAATAAATTAGGTTGAAAACTAACTATACATTATCGCTAGCGAAGTTAGTAAGCGAATACGCGTACACTTATTGTAGTATTCGCTTTCCAACGAATTCTATCAACAAGATAGTTGACATCGTAGTCTTTATATTCAGAGTTCACGCAACGCAAAGTTATCGTTTACATGTAGGAGTTCTTTAAAATTATTTGAGATAAAGAATCGATAGTATAGGTACACACTTAATATTACAAATCAAATATTGACTAACATTGTCTCTAATAAGTGCATTACAGCGATGACACAAGAATAAGTGCCTGAGTAACGTAAATCAGAGAGGACTACAAAACATGAAATACATTTAACCAAGTAATTACGCAATAACGTCATGGATTAGTAATCCACGATAATTATATAATGTATCTATCAGGTTACGTGAACGATATGTATACAGTAATATATTAAATTAAATTAAATTCCGAAGAATAAATCTGCTATAGGGCCGTACTGTAGATCAGAGTGGTATCCACGATTACAAAGACGAATGGAAGGTAGATACTGGACGGTGATTAAAGATGTCAGTTAGGTAACGATTAACTTTTTCAATAGAAAGACAATACTATTAACTGATGCTTAATTAACTAAGTGTGGCTAATAGCTAATTAAACAGTGCAGGCAGAAAATAAATTGAACTGAATATCAGTACAATTTATCCTACACAATTTCAACTAAGGAAACTCTCAAAATTCTCATCAACAACATCGGTAAATGTTATACGAACGTGTTTAGGTATAATCTTTACGTAAGACAGTCAATGTGAACCTCTCTATGCATTTATCGAAATACGACTGATTAATTGTTGATAGTATATTTGTAACATACAGTTATCCATAGAAATCTTCATAAATAAAGTAAGCCATTCATGAGAGCTGTAAAAATAAAAATTACTCTTTTTACAAGGGAAAGTCGGAGAACGAATAAATGAGCCAAAGGTCCAATCACACACAATTACGTCAAAGGCTCCGAGGAGGTCTTAATTTTCTTTAGTTGAGGTTCATCCCTAATGAGGTAAAGATGTTAGCATAGTTCTGTACAAATATGAACGAGAAACGTACTTATCTGAAGCTTTTCTACCGCTTTGCGGTTTTTTCGATCTGTTTTTTCCAGCAACTGTTTTCGTTAGTGTAGATTGCACTTCTGTAATAAAATACGATGAAGTTTAACTTTCTAAGTGATAATTTACATGTCTCACGACAGATCGCGTCAAAGTCTACTATGATTGAATTGCATACCTTGAAGCCATCTCACTTGCGTTGCAGGACCATACCTAAAAGATAATTTCAACAAAAATTTATAAAAATTACAAAGTTTTCTCAGTACTATTCCATCTATACCCTTTTTCATTCTTTGCAGCAATCCTGAATATAATAGCAGGTTTGGCAGATTGATCAATGTAAGCGCGAGACACGAGACCATTATTTACCAAACAAAAAGCGTTGGTACCAATATATACTCGAATAAAGGAGAGATGAACGGAGTGGACTACAGGGCTAAGTAATTGTCCTGACTGTTGCGAATTTAAAGACGCAGGACCATCACTACGCACTGCCAGATAAACAGAATATTCTGAAATTGTTCCTGAAGTATTTGTTGGAGCTTCCCAACTAAGATGGGCTCCATCGGCGTTCTAATATGAAATTGTGGACGCGTATTAATACGATGCTTTATTTAATTAATGACATAATTGAGACGCTATTGCCTAACCTTACTGATACGAATTGATACGGGTGCACCGGGATAGCCTAGTAAGTAGGAATTAATAGCAAGTAATATTAGCTAACAGATTTAGTCACAAAGAGCGCTATTAATCGACTAAAGCAAACGATACTAACCAGGTACACATGTTTTAAAGGCGGATACTTCGCTGTAATCGCTAGTTCCTAAGCAGTTAATGGCCGCAATTCTAAACTTATAAGCTGTTCCAGATTCAAGTTCTTTTTTCTGCGCGTAAAAACTCATGTAAGACCCCTTAATCACACATGAATATTAGAAATTTTGTCAAGTGATATTAAATTGGTATGTATACCAACCTCAGTCGAACTATCAGGAAGAAAGTAGGAAGATACAATTGTAGAAGTTTTATTTATAAGACCAACATTGCACCAAATAAGGTCGGATGATGTTAATATCCTAGACTGATGAATATCGGTTACCGAAATCGAATCTTGAGTATAAGCAGCCTTCTCAGTATTCTGTACAGCTGTGGAACAGCCGTAGGCAACTAAAGGCAAAGCAGAATTAAAGTTGTGTTTGCGTCAAGTTTGAATATCACACCAGCTGTAGTTGCTTTATATCTGTAATCATAATCCGGTATAAATGTAGTTAAATTGCAACTTAATCAATAGTTTGATGTACCGGTTGTAGAAGTAGAAATCGTACGTGAATCGGAATCGAAGGGCTGAGATGTAGAGTCAACATTGATATCAGCCAGGGAAGTTTGAGAAACCTGCGCCGTAGTATCATCACCACTATTTGACATTAACTGTGTACTTGGAGAAATAGTAGCTGCAGACACTGTACTAGATTTTACAGCAGTCGTTATATCTGATGCTTGAGAAATGGTACCCTTGTGAACTACACATTCCTTATTACGTAAAACTGCCAAAGAAGCTGCAGAATCTACTGTAGACGGCTGAATACCTTCCGCCAATATGGAATCCATAACAATCGGATAATGATTATCACTCGCTAGTTCTGATCTACTCACAGTGGATACCGCTGCCGACATGTTAACATTACTACTTGTACATTCTACGGTCAACTCGCGTCGGCTATCTAATACAGAATCAGTAACTTTGAGATCAGAAGAAAAAGGTTCCGAAGTTTCCGCTATTGATTGATTAATATCATGTTGCCGATCTTCACTCTCGGCAGATTGCATTCTAGATCTACTGCTAGGGGTATCAGTACCCGCGGAGAAACTAGAACTAGTAGGTGTTCTTTTGCCAATGGAAGCGGCCAACACCGATGAGATAGTGGCTCCTGGAATTGAATCATCATTATTATCTACCGATGACCTCGTACTTGAAGTACGGTTATTGGTTGTACCTAAAAGTTCAGTAGTTTTATCGTTTATAAGGTCTAGTGACGTAGTGCTACGATTATCTTCTGCAGCTGTTTTTAAAGGATTAGCGCTTAAGGTAAGGTTATTTGACCGTTGTGAATTCGAAAGACCATCACTTGTAGAAAACTTAAATTTCTGCAGTTGCAGTGAATAAGAATCGGCTAAACATGGAAAACAAGTCTTTAAGTCAGCGCTGTAATGAGGCTGTGCGTTAAGTAAAATTGCTTAACTAAGCTATGATAACACAATTACCTGACCTAACGGCACTCCAACAAACCTCCAAGCTATTAATACTTGCTCTTACGAGCTGCACCCTCGAAGGAACTTTTGGTTTTTCTAAGAAAAACATTCTTGTTGTAAATACCAATATCAAGTTCATAAAATACTAAACTTAAGTACCTGATTCTAGATACCACATATCTTTGCAGCAAACCTAAAAAGAATGCTTTCTAAGTAGAGTGCAATATAATAGCAAATCGTTAAACTTGTATACCTATACCTGGTTATTCCAAGCTTTTCTATAACCATCACGTCCACTCCATATGTATAATCTTGAATTAACTGCTATAGCGCAATGTCCAGCTCTCGCTCGAGGTACGTTATCTTCTGATATATCCATGTCGATTTTTTCCCAACTCATAGTATCTGAAGAAATCACTTTAATAATAAAGCAATCTAGAGGTCTAAATATATTGCAATCACATTTTATTACCTAATTCGAGCGACGCTAACGTATTAGTACATTTCCATTCTTTCTCATGGGACATTGATTTGGTTTCATCTCTGTTAGTGTTATCATCGGAAACCATTGGTACCCACCCTCCAAAAATTAACATCCTATAGACAGAAAAAATTTAAAAGTTCCGATAATGATATATAGCAATAATCATTTATATACCTTCTGCCCACAACAACAGCTGAATGCAAACTGCGAGGTAATGGAGGAATTCCATGTATTTCGGGTTTAGACCAAGTCATTGATGCTAAGAAAGGGATTAAAACTTGAACCTTTACCAGTATTTTCTACGTCTCACACATAAAGAATAAGACTTACTTACCAATATCTAGAATCCAAATGTCGCCTAAACGATTTCCACTCATGCCACCGTAAATCAACAATTTCGGCTGACTTTCATCTCGATTTTGCTTAACTATACATATATGTGATTCTCGAGGTGAAGGAATAGTACCGAAAGTTTCAGGAATTTCCCATTTCGGATATTTTTCATCCGCCAGATTGAGAATATACAAGTCATTCAAATATCTAAATATATATTAAAGTATATAAATTAGATCGATTGTCAAGGATAACTCGTCATGAATTATATACCTATGAACGTTTTCTTTTCCTTCTTCTTCCAAAGTAGTTAATCCGCCAAACATATAAATCTTGTTATCCACTATCACGAAGCTGTGTCCAAGACGACAGCAAGGAGGTGGACCATTTACAGGCGATTTCGGATTTATTCGTGTCCATTCCCACTGGTAGTTCGAAGGTTCTGCGTCTGTTGTACTATGCACTGAGCGCACGTTTAATACATGCATCTGTAACGTAGCATTTTAATTAGGAGATTATTACTGATGAGAAAATATTAATGATTGTTTAACTGTATTAGTTACTCTATACTAATTGCTATACAAGTCTTGCATGGATTGTTAACGTTAAACGCACTTCCTTTGAGTATTTCCCATATTCTATCATACCACCAAATATGTACATTTTATTGCCATGGCTCGCACAGCCAAAAGCAGCACATCCAGCAGGAATGTTGCCTTGAACATTTGGGGTAAACCATTGATTGTTGCCTTAAAAAAATTATGACATTAGACGAACTAATCTTTGGCATTAGCTATAATCAACAATTTTTATTCTTACAAAGTAATACACTTAGCTTTTGAAATAGAATATATACCTTAATTTAAGTTACAAGCAGAATAGCACTTCAGTATACAAAGGAATTAAGTTTAATTTAATAAGAGTTAAATATACCCATTAACTGACTCTCAGAGTAACTGATTTGCTTAGTTAAATGATCTATGACTTTTGCTTATATACCGTAATATGTATACCATATTTAGTGAACTGCAGCGTATCTACTAACCAGCATTAAACAGTTCAGATAAAAAAGGCTATACTGTACTATAAGTTTGCACTAATAATTTATTAAAATAATGTACGACTATATAATAAAAGTAATCAATTTCCTAAGCTACTGTTTGAATGAATTGTGGCCCCTTTGCAGCTTATATTCGTAACAAGCACTATTCTATCCTTCAATTGTAGGGTCATCCCTTAGCACGACTAAGCAAGCACCAGTAGCGCTACAATTTTCTTTACTGTACAATCTTCAAAATTAGAAGAATTATAGGTAACCTTACTAGTGTACATGTGCTGGTTTATGCCACTGTAGTACAGTACTGTATAGCGAGGCATAACACTTCACTGTACTAAACGGCATACTGAACAACAACTCTTGACATAAATCAAAACTACCTTGCAGTTTGCTGTTTTCCCTACAATTTTAACTAAAATTTAGTAAAATCATCTCAATGAAGTAAATTATGAGTGTTTTATATCACATCATAAGTACAGTGATTGTACACCCTAAAATACTGTATGTACAGTCACAGTGAGTCACACTGTATTGTAGCTACTGTACATCTAGCAATTTAGCAATGAGTAAAATATATTTCATAAGTTCATAACTTAGAGGCATGCGAGCTACGTAGTCACCGCATTTATGTTCGCTGTGCAAATAGCAAAGAACAGTAAAATCGAGAATGCTATAATTATTACAATAATAAATGTGCTGACAAATGCATTTTTAATTTAATTTAAACGTAATGTCGAATATTTCGGTATTAACTTTTAACATGATAGCGTGAAAAGTACTGAAATTTTATCTTCCTGCTAAGCCAGTACTGGAATCTTATCACTGTAAAGTAGTGTCAACCAAGGAAGACAAGTGATATCAAAAATTGATAATGTGTAGTACAAGTTAGACATTTTTACTCGAGCTATTCGTTATATTGGATCAACTAAGTTAACAGCATAATTAAAAGGTTAAATATTTTTACAGTAGTACAATCCTCTCAACTCAAGATTGATGCTAACAAACTAGCTTTTGTATTGCGAGATCATTTTATAGCGTTACTCACACCAATAATACAGTACAGTATTATTATAATTGATTATATCACACTGTATACAAGTACAATATCTGCTAATGGTATGAAATCCCAGTACTTACTTATACTGTATACATGCAGTTCATCTACAATTCCTTCGTTACCACCTCCAAATACAACTATCATATTATTTATTACAGCAGCTCTATGCCCATGACGTGGACGCGGATTTGGTCCTGATGTGCCTTGAATCTTCTTCCATTTCATCGGCACCGCCATCTTTACAAGTGAGGCAAGTTAACAAAAGTTGGCTAAGTACTTTGAGACTGCGCAATGCACTGATCAACTTACAGTAAAACAGTAGTCAATGAGCGATCAGCCCCAGACAATGCTGTTCTGTACTGTACATTACAGTACTGTAATCGCTGTCGTTCAGTACAGTACCACACTACCAATGTGGATGGTGAATTTTTCCATATTTTTGTACAGTACAGTACTGTACAGTACAAGCAATCAATGTACCGTACAGTACATTGTACAGTATAGAAATTTTTTGTTTCTGCAATAAATTAGATTTTATTTTACAGTACAGTATAGCGTTTGGCCTAGTTTCGTCAATAAATTGTGTCAAACACTTCATTATGATAGTAATTTAATATTCAGACAGTCGATTCTGAAATGACTGTTTTTTTAATTAGGTAATATTACATTGTATTCCATTGCCTGTTGCTTGGAAGCAGTAACTTTAGATCATAAATGTTGTTCAACGCAATATGAGCGACTGAGTGACTATTTTTCGACATTTTCGCCCTCATCTAGTATGAAAAATCCGTCCATCCGAGGAGTGTCAAGTCTAGAAAATTTGGCCTTCCACACTAGTTCAGTATATGCGGTACATAAAGTAGGAGCCGATCTTTTTGTATTAAGTCATCAAAATTAGCGAATTTTTTATTCTTTTCAGAATGGTTCATACCAAAATTATAAACCACAAAATTATAGGAGATAGAGGATTATATAATTATGCTCTTACTTCGATAAGCCGTCTTAGCTACAAAATCTAGCAACAAATACAGTACATTGAGTACAGTACGAAATTGTAATGGCGAATCACGCTAGCAGGTATGAACGCAGTAAATGGTGAGATGGTACTCCGTTACATTATACATTACAAGGATAAGAATTACATATATCCATTAAAAGAGTCTAATGAATAAGTACAACAGAACCTATATAATAATATCAATTGTATTAAGTAACATGATAAGTAACAACCCGGTTTGACTTAAATAAGTAAATACTTTCGGATGATTTATTGGGAAGAAGTTACTATTTCGGATATAAAACGAAAATAAAGCAGGGTGACGTACACGTCAACTCCAACAATTTCAACTTATCACATTTAATGGAAAAAGTACATAAAACATCATTTCAATCCAAGTTGAAAGTACATTCCAAAATGTTACTGTAGTATGTTGGTAGTACTGTAATCTAAATTTGAAAGCTTAATACTGAAAAGAAAGGTGACGTATATGTTATAATTAGTATTAGTACACAGTTGCTATTTCGTTTCTTTAAACGGTGCTTTCAACACAATCACGAGTGTGAATCTGGCCATAAGTAGGTCTTCGCCCCAATGCAACATGTGTAGAAGCTCTTCTTTCACTTAGACTTGAGCGGAAGGCATTGATGACTCGAATCTAATAAAATCAATTTATATCATAGAATTTAATCTCCAACGAGGTAAGATTTTTCGTCCAAGCGATAATATCGAACGAACCTGCGCTTGAAGACGTGATACTCCTCGTACCCATAATAACTATTATAAAAGAATTGAGTCACCGTATTAAAAGCAAACAAAGTCTAGATACAACACCTAAAAGAAATAATTACTCGTGCTCGGTTATCAGGAACTGAATCAGGTTCACTAATCGGATACTCTACTGGCTTCGTCCCAAATCTCCAGCTCTTGGGTAATTTATAACTGGGAATATAGCTAAGCATCACACCCCAAACGAGTTCGCCAGCTCCGAAAAATATGCACCAGAGCCATAAATCGAGATCGAGGGGTAAACAGTGGAAAGCTATCCCACCAGCTTCTACTAATACAACCTAAGCAATGTGATACAATTTACTTTCTCATACTTGAAATCATAATATTTATTGAATAAACCAATTAGTATCCGCTTAAATAACCAATTTATACAAGCAAATACACTACGTTAATACTACATCATTTACCTGAACAGCGATTGTACCGAAAAATATTATTAAAAATATCGGATTCTTAAGTATTCCTTGAAGTACATTTCTCTCTCCATGAATTTTTCGAGCGTTGATTTCATTAAAGATCTATTAATGCGTATATAAGACTTACTGAATAATTCTTTTATACATCCAGTATGACTAAGACCTACCTGCATTTGAACAAAAGTATTAAATACCATAGTGAAATGTTTTGTAGGAACTAGCGAGTGAGCAGTCTCGTTTGCTCGACCTTCCTTAATATCAAATAAGACTTCTCCATAAAATATAATAAGAAACAGCACTGTCAGCTGATACAGGCAATGGCCTACGATATTCTTCGTCATAGTTCTCGATATTAAGGCCTTGTTACGTCCATACGGTTTGCGATTTAACAAATCGGGAGAAGGTAGTTCTGTTGCTAAGGCTAAAGACGCAAAAGTGTCCATTATCAGGTTGACCCATAGTAGTTGTACCGCCTTTAACGGGCTAGCCTGAAAGAAAGTACAGTAACGTATGATAACAGTTTAAATACATATCTGTGCAGCTGTTCTTTTTGTAATTTACCTGTATTGAAGCTGCTCCAATAAATGACGTTATGACAGCAGTAACATTTACGGTAAGCTGAAATTGTAAGAACTTTGAAATGCTGTCGTAAACATTTCTTCCCCACATTACAGCCTTCACAATACTACGAAAATTGTCATCAGTTAATATAATATCTGACGCTTCTTTTGCAACATCAGTGCCGGCAATTCCCTAAGAAAGTGGACATAACATAATATGTTGTACAGTACTTGCATGCTCCTTTCAAACATTAAACATTTTATCACGTTTAATTAATGTATTAGTAATTTACAGTTGGTACAATTACGCGTATGTAATTCATATTTACCATAGCAAAGCCAACATCCGCCACTTTTAGGGCAGGACCATCGTTTGTACCATCTCCTGTAACAGCTACAACATCTTGAATATTTTTACTTTGAATCAGGCCCTTTACTAACGTATACTTATCTTCTGGAGATGATCGTGCTAATACTCTTATTTTAGGGAGTAACTTGCTCATAAGATTTAAACTTATCTGAAAATGGTACATACATACGATATTGAGGACAAACAATCATCTACAACGAAATTGTCAATTTAGTAATGTAACACAATACGTATACGTATTTTACATACTTTATTATGTTTATCTCGAATTCTTCTATTGAAGTCTTTTCCTTCAATAACTATAAATCCGTCATTTTCCGATATTATGCCACATTTAAGAGCTATTGATTTCGCAGTTTTTAAGTTATCTCCCGTAACCATCCTAACCACAATACCAGCACTTTGACATTGCTTTATTGCACCAGGAACTTCGGGTCTTACTGGATCTTCAATACCAACAACACCAATACAAGTCAAATCGTCTATCACACTCTCTTCGTCCTCCCAATTTACGAGATTATCTATGCACGTATTTTCAGATTTATTTATATATCAGGAAAATATTTGAATACTCATAATAACACAAACTTAAAATCATTAATCAAATAAGATCTCTCCCTCAAGAAAATCGTACAGTTGTCTATATCCTTATAAGCAAGTCCAATAGTACGTAGACCGTTAGAAGCCATACTTTCCACAACAGATCTGATAAGATCATCACGTTCTTCACTCGAGAAATCACTATCAGTGTACACATGCAACTAATGATTATTTTTCAAATTTAAATTCATTTCTTATCACTGTATCTCTCAATTACTCACTGAACAGCACCATCAGAATTAATGATACTACTGCACTTCTTTAGAATAATCTCAGACGCCCCTTTTGTATAAATTCTGCAGCCAGTACTCTTCGGAATAGCGGTAGACATCGACTTACGTACCGAATTGAATGTATACACCTTAAGAAAGTTTTCCTCAGTAATTTTCTTTCGGTAATCATCATAATTACGATCAAATTTCTTTACAAAGCCTAATAAAGCACACTCTGTTTTGTTTCCGACTTGGCCGGGTAACTGATCAGGATTTTCTGGAGGCGGCGGCTTTAGTAATATATTTGAAAGAATATTATAAGATCTGATGCTACCAGGTAAAAGAAAAACTAAGATCGATGATATACATACCGTAATCTTCGAAGTGTAACTACTATTTGTTGCTATACCCTCGCAAAGTAATTCAATGTAGTTGCTGGACAAGTCATTAATAACTGGATCATGAGGATAGAGTTTTTTCCCTAAGTAGCTGCTAACTACTGTCATACGGTTTGTAGTCAGAGTTCCTGTTTTATCAGAACAAATTGCGGTTGCATTACCCATGGTTTCACATGCATCGAGATGTCTTACAAGGTTATTGTCTAGCATCATTTTCTTTACTGAATAGGCCAAAGAAATCGTGACGGCTAATGGAAGGCCTTCAGGAACAGCTACTACGATAACTGTTATTGCAATAATTACGAAGCCCAGAAAGCGTCGGCTATGCGAAGGCACCCACGGTAGTTGTCCAATAGCATAAGTTTCGATGCAAAAGCGAACGATTAGGACCAGTAATGATAGCACAGCAATGCATAGGCCTACTTTACCAATTAATATTGCCAATTTATTTAATTTTCCTTGAAGCACTGATTTTTCCTAGCACAGTAGAAATTTGCATCAAGGTTACAATTAAAAATTAATCATAAATAATATACAGAAAATTATACTTTCAGTCTTTTCTTCTTTTCCGGTTTCTCAATGTCGATTTCACCGTTCCCAGATAAAGTGTCATCTTCAATACGCAGATCCTCATCTTCATCGTCATCGTCATCATGAGCGTCATCAGCCATGTCTTTCTTTCCACTCATTAATGTAAAAATTATCCCTGATTGTGAATTAACACCAACAGCGGTTACGATCATTTTACCACTACCTTCCATTACATGAGTACCGGATAATAACATCAAGTTATTTGGTCCTTTTTTAATTAAATCAGATTCGCCGGTAAGTGAGCTTTCATCCGTTTTCAAATCGTTGCTCTGGATTACAACCCCATCCGCAGGCAACAAATCGCCATACTTTACCTTTCAGAAAGATTGCTACTGCTATAATTATCACTACACAACTATCATATAGGCATTATCAAGATAGAAAATAATCGATCTAGATTTGTTATGCATACCTGAGCAACATCACCAACCACAATTTCAGCAATATTAATTTGCTGAACAGTTCCGCCTCGAATAACGGCGAATTTTTGTTCTTCCTTAATACGGTTTTTCAAGCCACGAAATTGCTTTTCTTTAGTATAATCATTAAATGCCGTAACCAGCACAACAACAATTACAGAAACAAGAATAGCAACTCCTTCTATCCAGCCATTCGACTCTATTTCGATCGTTAAGCCAAGGATAAGAGAAACTGCAGCAGAACACATCAGAATAATTAGTGTTAAATCCTGCATAGCCTCCCACATTAGGCGTAAAAACGACTTTGCTTCTGGCTCAGGTATAACGTTGACACCAAACAGTCTCTTCCTTTCAGCAATGTCATCAGGATCACCACTTAAGCCTTCAGTGATAGAAGACTTAAGGTAATCTTCGGTTAAAGCCGATGCATCTCCAAACATTTTTCCTAGTTTCGCTGCTCCCTCTCTGCCGCGAACTTTCATCAGTGTAATCAACTGTTCTCGTGTACATCTTATATTGCTATCCATTTCGTTTGTATTGCTAGTCATTCCTTCTGATTCTTAGACGATCCAGTTACAATACTTTATTATAAATGAAAGAGAAAAGTGTTGTATGTTAATAAGGAAAGCTAAATATTATCAATCTAATATATTTATAGCATAGTTTTCATTTAAAACTCTGGATATGTGATCTCTTATTACTATAATAATAAATCAAAATCATCATTCAGCAGTTACTGATTAACAAACGATCACTGTATGATGGTACATTTTACGCGTATATACGGTAAATTAATTCAATGCTATTTACAGTTAAAACATACAGTACAATAAAATAATATTTCAGAAATATAAGATAGTAATAATAATGAATTGCACTGACCACTAACTGCAAGTAGTAATAATATAAAATAAGATAAAAATAATCATAATAATCCATTTGACTAGATTTTTAAGTCAATCTTAAACTATTACATCTTGTGCAAGATATGACGACTTCGCACTTATATACGGTACACTAACTACTAACGGTAGTCTAAAACTAAAGGATATTTTTTAAACTTAAAAATGATCTTGATTCGATAACCCAAGATTAACTTCAAATCGATTCTTTACGAGAACTTCCAAAACTGCTGGATTTATTGTACCATAAAAATCGAATTTTATTTCACACTTTCTAGTCACGAATAGCATCAATAACTTAAATTTTAAATGTCAAGTTATAAACAAACCAGCAGAAATTTTGATATGCAGAAATGAAACGAGAAGAAATACTGTATATTTATTCGTCCAAAAAGTACACCCACAACTCGCGCACCGCTGCCGCCGCAACTGATACAGTAGTTGGCACCGCGTACTGTAAGCTGATATTGCTTGTGCATCAATATAAAAATACAGTACAGTCCTACGGACTGCTAAAAGAGATTACAGTACTGCACAATGTACAGTACTACTCATTGTTCATTTGTTCAGTACAGCACTGTAACATGACAGTCGCAAAAGTCGCAAGAGTGATTTACTGTAGTTTACTGTACTGTACAAAGTACAGTGTACAGTGCATGGTGTTCTAACGGTGGGGTACAGTTATGCCTGCAAGACTAGTCAGAGACTTTTAAACCTCAATTGGTAACAGTACCGTACACAGTACAGTACAGTACAGCATTCAAAGTTTTTACGCACGACCGTACAGTACAGTACAGTATAGCGATAGAGTGTACTGTACAGTACTGTAGCAGAAGCACAGTAACCGACGGTAGAGTACAGTACAGTACACTGTCCTGTACTGTACGTGTATGTACTGTACGGTATAGTATTTGGTACCGTGAGTTCTAACGTAAAATACAGTACTGTACTGTAGAAATCAACACAGTACTGTACAGTACTGTACAGTACAGTAATTAACAACGAACGAGGAAAAAAGGAATCCTATGACTCAAACTGGTGCAACCTGTATGCGGTAAGACTACAACGAGACGTGTAGTGTAGCCAGTGGCTTCTCTTGCAGAGACTGCTACGTACTGTACTGTACACTGAGTGTACAGACTGAAAAGCTATTTCCAGCTCTCTTAGCACTTGCAGCCCCTAGCTGAATCAGACTGGTACTGAACTACCAACTTCGTTACATTTCCTGTTAACGAATTTGACGTAATGGCTTCTGCTTGTAACATATGGAAGACAGTAAATCTATACAAGCATAAAGTAGGCAATTTTTCGTAAAGAAAATCAATCATAACTCACCTACCAGTTCTACCATGTAAAATCATTCTCAATCAGTTTCTTTGCCACTTGCAATTTTAGTAATGTTCTTCCATAACAAAATTTTTGATGAACTCATCATAAAATAATATAATTAATTAATTAGATAAAATAGATACAGCGCGCATCACTGGAAATTCAGTTATTTCATCCTACATGTATCTTTTCAATTTACAGGGTTTGCACATGCAATTCTATCCGATTGGACATCGTTTACTATCTTCGTCCAAAGCAAATGTTAGATTAATGAATTTACAAATTTATTACTAACCATCTTATAGCTACCCGAACTTTTCATACATGATTTAATAATACTGCAGTATTGCGGTATAATACTTTAACAATAAATTGCAGTAGTATCAGTATTAAGTTAACAATTTAGCTAAATCAAAGCGAAACATCTCTTATGTTACAATTATGCATAAATTAACTATTTACCGTGCTATGTATTTATTTTTGCCTTCTTTAGTATGCTTTTTCTCAATACGGAGGTCGGTATACTGTGACCTTAATTCCAGGTGATGGAATAGGTCCTGAGATGGCAAGGCACGTTAAGACGGTGCTACAGTAAGATAGTATTTCACTTTCACAAATAAATAGACTTTAAGATACGTTATTGATATTATTCCGTAATCTGATAATTTTACGTCCCTTATCGTAGTAAATGCGGCGCTCCAATAGATTTTGAAGTAATAGATATCAAGTAAGTTAAGTGTGTATTTTATTGAATATATTACTTGACATCTGTTTAAATTTCTGTATAGCAATAACCTACGTAAACTGGTTTTAATAGCTCTTTAAAAGTATACCATAAAGCACAGTACTGAATTCTAGCATACTCATGTTTTAGTGACAGCTGATCTGATTTTATATAATTATTTGAAATACGCATAAAGTGAACTCAATAATACGTAATACAGCTTTTTTCTAATTTTATCGCTACGATAGAGATGAATCATCTACAGATGCTGCTATCATTTCCTTGAAAAGAAACGGTATCGGACTAAAAGGTTAATTTCGCCTATAGCTTGTAAAGCTGTTGCTTATAAATGATCAAATTGCAATAATTTCTGGTTTAGTACGACTTCAATATGCCTGAGTGGTATTCGAATATTCTCTATACTGCAATTTTAAGTACTTGAATATTAAGTTTATTGAATGTACTTTAGGAACAATTACTACTAATATTTCCAATCCTCAATCTCAATCAATTAACGCTCAAATAAGGTATTGGTACTGCCATAATCCTTATATCATTATATTGTGACAAACATACAAGTGTATTATTTTGTATTACTGTTCTTGTAGCTCCTAAAGGTCTAGCAGGTGAATATGTTTTTAATAATTATGTAATGAAAGATACGCGGCAGGTTATAGAAAATATATTAAGTATGAAATTTGATGCGGTTTCTATTTTTAAATTGTTGCTATACTAGGCGAAAGCTTGATCTGTATTCTAATATCGTACCGTGTAAATCAATACCTGGTGTCTGGACTAGGTAAATGTGTATACAGTAATAGTTAAGCTAGATTGTTTAAACGAATCAGTTTAAGTCAGATTATCTACTGTAATTAATACACTCGTATGTTCATGCGACTTCGCTGATAACAGGCATGGCCAGGTTGATTTAGTAGTTATTCGCGAAAATACGGAGGGCGAGTACGGCAGCCTCGAGCATGAGGTTAGTATTCAATATCGTAATAGTTATCGTAAATTTGGGTATAAGCAATATATTTTAGCGAATGAGGAACCTATGTAACTTATCAAATACTTAGAACGTCGATGGAGTTGTTGAAAGTTTAAAAATTATAACAGAAAAGAAAAGTCGGCGGATTGCAAAGTTTGCCTTCGATTACGCACTTCAGAATAACAGGCGTAAAGTAACTGCAATTCATAAGGCTAACATAATGTAAGTACCACTTAAAGTATGCAGTATTACTGATATTATCACCTAAGTTTTATCCAACTAAAAATTTATACAGGAAACTAGCCGATGGCTTATTCTTGGAGACATGCAGAGAAATTTCAAAAGACTACACAGACATAGAATTCGAGTCTATGATAATTGACAATTGCTGTATGCAGGTCAAAATCTTTTATATCTGTTAGCAGTTAGGCTGTGTTTCATTATTACGAGTTTTGATAGAATTACTTGAATTACTACGTGATTTACTACTCCCAAGAATATTCAAAAACATGTTCTAACCGTAGATTTTAACGTTTCATAATGCCATGTTTTCGAGATCCCTTAGATGGTAACTAATCCTCAGCAATTTGATGTTATGGTAATGCCAAATCTATATGGTAACATCGTGAGCCACATTGGCATCGGCTTAGTAGGTGGCATTGGTCTAGTGCCTGGGAAAAACATCGGAGATAAATACGCTATTTTTGAATCAGTACGGTAGTAGCATTACTTTTAGACGAATTTACATTGTCAATGATTATTTCTTTATTAAGTAAAATTAATTTAATCTTATAGTTAACTAATTCTTACCCAGATTATTTTTACTTTGCTTATCAATAACATAAACGGGATGTACTAAGCTCCCAAATTATGCATACTGTACATTCTCTATCCACCTTCTTGAAACAATTCAATTTTTATTGACTTTAAATACAAAGGGTGCAAGAAATATTGGAAGTGACCTAGTAGGATTAAATCGGGCGAACCCTTGTGGCTTTCTCTTTACAAGTGCCTTGATGTTGCGACACTTAGGGTAGGTTTCTCGTCTTTATCTTATAGCCAAATTTCCTGTACATAATTATTCCTTCAACAGTGCTCGCAAACCTGTAATAAGCGACGTCACTCTAATTCATAATATAGTTTGGATGATTATGCCGATATCATCGAAAGCGCCGTTAGGACGACAATCAAGAATGGGAAGGTACTACTAGTAGAGAGATGAAACTAAATATTTTAGTAAAAAGATTAGAGTCCTTATAGAATGATGAAATTTGCTGTCATTTTTTATTCCTTAAAGCTTCTAATCTGCTCATTTTTGCAGTTAAATTAATTAAGAAATAATATATCCTTCTATTAGTGCCGTACGCCTGATATCCAAGGGGATAGAACAACTGCAGATTTTATTGATGCAGTAATAAAAGAAATAGATGTTCAATAACCTTACTGTTTTTGTTTATCGTTTTGGTATGATCAAAATGGTAATATAGCCGTGCTTGGCTAAAATACTTCATAAACGATAACTACAGTATATCTGAAGATTCATCCTTAATACAACTTAAAATATGCGATATACTGCAGAACACAAGTCTCGTTTATAAATAAATATTTCATCAGAAATATACAGTACAGTATACTATACAGTCCATTCATTAAGACTACCAAGGTAAACATATTATACAATTTAATTTATCATGCTGTAAATTGGCTCCAAGTAAAACATACGCATTAATTGAGGTTTTAGCGGTTTGCAAATACTAATCTTTCGTTAACAATCCTGCAGCAACTGCGATTAAAATTTCAGCATGAGAATTAAATGTTTTTTGTACAGTACAGTACAGTAGACTCAGCTGAAACTGTCCTACTGTGCTACAAGTAGTCACTAGTTACTGCCCCACTACTATACGTACTGTATAGTGTATAGTAGTAGCAGTACTGTATACTGTGTATATAGCAGTGGCGTAGCAGCAATACAGGGACCTCTCTTCTAGCTTTTAGTACAGTTGTGCGGGTGAAATCCTACTGAATATAATGGTTTTAATTTAAATTAATTATTGACGTAACACTACGTCTGCACGACGAAGTAATGGTACAATACAGCCATTCAAAACTGTACTAAAAATACAGTACTGTAGTCACGGTATAAAGTTACTGAACCTCTGACAGGTCTATCAAATGGTACAGTAATACTGTACTATCTGTTAAATGAGCACATTATCGTAAAGCGACGGGAGTTTGTACTAGTCTCACTTGAAACGTACTGTACAGTTTAATATCTGAAACGGTACACTGTACTGTTCACGATTGTCATCCAAATTAGCCGCTTGATTTTGTACTGTACAGTTTCGGTGGTAGCGTATACTATGTACTGTACTGTACTGTGCAGTAGAACGAGCAGAAAAATGATAAACCTTATTATTTTGAACTGAAGAACCGCTAGGCGTCCCTCTCTCTTGCTCTACAGTACAGTAGTCTACTAGACTTTACACTGTACAGTACAGTACAGCCATGGACTACAGTACTGCACGTAGAAGAAGACCTGGACTGACCTATCCCTCGGACAGGCGGACTTTTCTTACCAAATGAGGCCACAAATATCAAAAAAACGGCTTCTTACTGTAGATCAACCTTCCGTGTCTGTTTTTTAAATCACTGGTACTAATTTAAGTAACATCTATGATCTTATATAACTGTTTCTAAGCAGAATTTAGTAACGTAATAAACTATTACTCAACCCTTTAATTTAATTTAGAAAAATCAGTCAATTTAAAATCGACCATCGGTATACTAAAGTACTGTACAGTGTACATACTAGTACTGTCATGATGAAGTGTTTGAACAAATATTTTAACGAAATGAGGCCGAAAAGGTCTGTCCGTCCAAGAGTAAACAGTCCAGGTCTTCTTTAGGTAATCGATGGTACAGCATACTGTGTGCATGTACTGCACTTATGATCATATGCAGAACAGAACTTTCTAATATAATACTGTAGTCTATATTCATATAATTTAGCGATTCAATTCCTCCTCATCCTTCAGCATGCAGCACCTAATGCATTGTAACACATCGACAGGGGTAAAAAATCTTTAGTCATGATCATAGAATTATATACGAGTATATAACTATACTATAAATGGAGAGCAAAGATATGCAGTACTGTATAATTTACACTTTACTGCCCAGTAACCTATACACATACATATTTTTCCTGATTTTAACATTGTAGGTAAAACATCTGCTTCGTTCCCTTAACACTCCGCTATTGGGCAAAAGTCGACTTTTTTCTGCGACAGGTTCGCTACGCAAGTTATTAGATGCAGTAGAAGACGACAGTGATTTATAATATCATTTAATGCTGTAATACTCCATGTATTTCTTGTAATAAGAAGATAGTGCTGATTTGGTCGTTATCGGATCTGGACCAGGAGGCTACGTTGCAGCAATTAAAGCAGCCCAACTAGGATTACGGGTAGCTTAGACAAATAGAGTACACTGTGCACGATTAAAATTGAATTCACATTTTATGTTCAATTTAACCGTTCTATATTATTTCTGTCATAGACCGTATGTGTAGAGAAGAATAAAACCCTAGGAGGAACGTGCCTCAATGTCGGTTGTATTCCGTCAAAGGTTGTACCCGTATATCATGATACTATTATACAATCAAATAATAAATTAATTACAAATTTACGTCTATGATACAGTGTATCACGCAGCACATTAAATGTATCAGAGACTACTAAAAGAAACGCCTCTCTGTTTTCTTAATAATCCTTGAATGCAGTAATAATATTCAGCAGCAAGATTTCAGTAGCATTGCTGTGCATGTGTACATGCGCGTAGTGCGATTTCTGTCGTAGCTTCCTGCATGATAGTACGCAATTTTAGATATTATAACTTGCAGCTTGACTTAATCTATACGTACGTTAAAGCATTCGCAATGTTATCTGTAACCTGTACTTATGTACATGCTTTAAGGCCTTATTGAATAACTCCTTCATGTACTATCAAGCTAAGTCCACTGATTTTGCAAGTAGAGGGATTGATGGTTAGTCTCTGATTAGTTTAACTCAATTTGATTTATTAAGAATCATTGAATTCTAGTTCATAGCGCGTGAACTAAAAATTAAATTTGTATAAGAAAGGAAATTGTTAATTTAATTTATTATTTATTAATGATTATAATTAATTAGCGACGTTCTGGTTAATTTATCTGCAGTTGGTGAATTGAAACTAAACCTCCCTAAGATGATGGAGCAGAAATCTAATGCGGTCAACAGCTTGACTAGTGGCGTAGCTCATTTATTTAAAAAGAATAAAGTACGTTATTTCATTCGTTCTTAATAGCCTGCTATGCTGCAACGTACTTAGGCAGAGAGCCGTTTATCTTAGGTGACTCATATTGAGGGCCACGGTACTATTGCCAGTAAAAATGAAGTAGTAATACAAAATGAAGGTGGAAAAGAACGCAAAATCCAAACGAAGCATATCCTAATTGCAACTGGTTCGGAGGTTACCCCTTTCAAGGGTATAGAGGTACTGTTATTGTAACTCTAACAAGCTAACAGAATTTATTACAAATTTGCAATGCACACTGCTATAAAAGAACTCTGCAACTCTAAGAAACTGTAATTACATGGGTATTTTTATGCGTCATACTATCCTAACGTATCACAGTATATGCGATAGATACAAAAGTTATCATTAGAAATTTCAATATAATACAAGGAAGTATACCAAAAATTCTAAGTAGAGCCCATTTAGTACTGACACATATCGATAATGCAGTGTCAGAAATTGCTAGATTTTTACCAGGTACATCTAAATGAAGTAACAGCCCGTGGTAGTACATGAGTCTTTAGAATAGAGATACGATTTGCATCGTAAGAAAAGGTCGAGGGTTTATCTGCTCCATTTTAATTACAAAGTAGTTGTGTACTAGCTAAAAATCACTTGTTAACCTCCAGAACTTGTACATCAGGTGCTGCAAGAATCTACTGCATATACCGTACTGAATTATATCAGGTTCAAAACCCGATGTCCGCAAGCTGAAGTTTCGCTTATCTAGTTTATTCGTATTTATAGCGTAATTCATACTTCTTTACTTACAGTACAGTAAATGAAGTTTGCTAATCTTTACTGTATTTTTAAGAGGTTGAGTTATATTTTTAAACATTAACGTAATTTAATTTTATTGGCAGTAGCTAGAAAATCAAGACTGCACGGTACTGTTAGAATTACGAGCCATTTACGTATATTCTAACTTAGATCCATGCAAGATGTTCACTACATCGTACACATAGTAAAATGAATAAGTCTATATGCAAGGCCCAAATTAAAAATGCAATTACTTTAAGTAAGCAATTTAAAAATGCAGGTTACTCGGTTACTCCAGAGATTTTATATAGCAATGACTACTGGACTACCGTACTGATAAAATTTTTGCGATGGCAATTTATAAAATATGAATGTCCAGACACAATGGACCATCTTTATATGAAAATACGAATATCAGTAATCGCGTGCGCTAACTGTAGTATAACCTTAGCGCATGATAAATACTATACGCGAAAAATATGTGCTGTTATACCACGTACGAGTACAATATACGCGGTATAATAGCACAGACCTGTGTACTAGGCATATTTGGCTTATTATGTATTTAAGATGATTCATGAAAACTTCTTACAATTTACGCTAATCAGGTTTTAAATTTTGTATTTATACTGTTATGAAATTTTAAATTCGTGTAGTTATTTTTGTTTCCATTAAGTATAAAGCAGCCTTAATGATTAATATTCATTTACTGAGGCATACACATGTGTACATTTTATTGTATTAATAGATTGATGAAGAAACCTTTATTTCATCAACTGGAGCTTTATCATTAAAGAGCGTACCAGACAGGATGATTGTCATTGGTGGTGGAGTCATAGGCGTAGAATTGGTATGTTGATATTAAAAATGAATTGTACACAAGTATAATTATAGTACTTAATTTTTTAATATTAGCAATCTGATAAATACGGTAGTAATTTAATTGGAAACATTACGCTAGTACTATTTTCTTATGGCGATAAAAAATTTTACAAGTTACAGCAAACGAAACATAATTTGCACCATAGTACGCCTAGTCTAATTATTATTGACGAAGTATATGAATTTTAATAGTTCTAACAAGTTATGCTATAAGATATATTACGTTTGCATCTGTAACTATCTATTCAAGCATTACTTAGAATGCAATATTAACGTTTTAGTATAGTTCAAAGTCTACATAATAGTTTAGATACATACAGTCAGGGGTGCTTCCTATAATTAATTTCTATTCGTATAATTATTGTATACATAGAGAAATATATAACTATCTGATATTTTTCTAGGGATCTGTTTGGCAGCGTTTAGGCAGTAAGGTAACCGCAATTGAGTACTTACCAAATATTGGTGGTGCCGGTATCGATCTAGATGTTAGGTCAGTTCTTGATACTTCAAACTAAACTGAAAGTAAAATTGACTATCACCTTATTCACTCTGATTATATTTTATCATAACTTTTTTTGTGATTATAGTAAATCATTTCAAAGGATATTAGCAAAACAAGGAATGAAATTTAAATTAAATGCGAAAGTTACATGTAAGATAGTATTAAGAAAACAAGATTCAATACCGTGTAGTTCCGCTATGCTATTGTCTTGTCTGCTTTGCCTAAATCTTTTTTAACAACCTATTTAGCTGCTGTGCGAACTAGCACTGGAGTCTCCGTATCGTAAGCAGTACCTTGTGTTTCACTAGTTCAAAAATTACTTATTTCCATACTTTTAACAGTGTCGGAAATCCAATTTGTTAACTTTTAATTCTTTGCATTCAATATTGCATTTCAGTATCGAATCCGTGAAAGATGGAAAATCTAATACTGTATGTATTATTCAGCGTAAATACCTGTATTGCAACAATATTAATGTATGACAAGTCGCGCAAATATATACAGTATACGGTATACGTGTTTTACGTATACCTATAATTCTTCAGATTTTTTCTTAGTAGTGATATGATATACTGATAAACATAAACTTACGTACTTTGTTACTAACAGCTAGAGTGCGATGTTGTACTGGTATGCATAGGTAGACGCCCATATACAAAGAATCTTGGATTAGAGGTGATTATTATTTTCTTGAATATCAAAAATCAATAAATATAAATATTCATATAATTTATATTTCACGTAGAACGTTGGAATTAGTTTAGACCAGCGTGGTAGGGTGCCGGTTAACGAAAGATTTGAAACAATTGTACCAAAGTAAACTAACGTCTCAGTGATGTAAGGCAAATGAAAAGATGATGTACAGTCTAACTGATGAACTTCTTACAATTTTATTATAGTATTCATGCTATTGGGGACTGTATTCATGGTCCCATGTTAGCGCACAAAGCAGAAGATGAGGGTTGGTGAAGCATAGCTCCTTGTATTTATAAATGCCTTGATCGGGCACGAATATCGACTTCAATTGAAATCACTTCGTTGTAATAGGAATCCTGTGTGTGGAAGGAATTACTGGACAAGCAGTTCATCTTGATTATAACTGTGTACCATCAGTGATATATACACACCCTGTAAGAAAATTATAAATCTTATCAGTTAGCTGGGTAACTATTAATAGTTACTTGACTAATTAAAATTAGGAAGTTGCCTGGATTGGTAAGACAGAAGAACAGTTAAAAGCTGCGGTAAGACCTATACTGCCTACTTCGTCACCAAGCCGATCTTTCACGATAAAAACAGCATGTATCAATAGTTAAAGTATTACTTGAAAAAGTGAACATTCTTTACAAATATTCTCCTTAGAATATAGCCTTTAAGATCGGAAAATTCCCTCTTGCTGCCAACAGTCGTGCTAAAACAAATGGTATGTAATATTAAATTACAAAACGAAACAATATAGTTTACTTATCCCAATGTAATTTCGGTGGTATCTATCCGATGTTATCATTTTTGTATAAATCAAACAGCCGATGCTGACGGTTTCATAAAAGTTCTTGGAGATAAAAAAACCGATAGGATACTGGGCGTACACCTCCTGGGATCTGTAAGATATGGCATAGACTAAGTTCTTTTGCAACGTTGAAGTCGAACTTAAATGTTCTAGAATCTAATAGCAACTACGTTTGTACCTGCGACATAGGGTGCTGGTGAACTAGTAAACGAAGCAGCTCTTGCCATGGAATATGGAGCTGCTTGCGAAGACGTCGCAAGAGTGTGTCATGCCCATCCAGTAAGCAGATAGAATTGTATTTTAATGTCAATGTTAATTTACTTCATAAAAATTTTTATATTATGTTATTTTAACTAGACTGTATCTGAAGCCCTTCGTGAAGCTAGTATGGCTGCTTCCATAGGCACTGCCATTAATTTTTAACTTACAAATCAGTAAACCTGGCACAATCTTTATGCATCTGTAATTTGATAGATTCCTAGTATTCTCGGTTATTAAATTAGAAAATTGGTTATTTCATTGCTATTCAATATTTGTTAATGTTTTCTATATTTCGAATCCAATGCATAATGGATTACGTACAAGTAATTATACTGTACAGATATTTCAAAATGCAATATCACCTTATTGATTACTCTTGCATGCGAATGAACAGCATTAGTAACTATCTCAATTACGCAGTTTATATTCAGCCTTTAAATATAATTATTCTAGCCTCCGCAAGTAAATTCCTTTATTGAGAGACCAGTTGCTTACCCTTTTAATCCATCGAAGTTTCTTGACTCCCATTTGTTCCCTGGTAGTAGTTTGTGTAAAGCAATGAGTATAATTTACTAGATCATTACATATTTTTGGTCTAAAATTCATGTACGAGCTTAAACTTTTAAGTATGTTATCATGAAATGTGAGGATTTGCGTACACATCATACAAACGCTACGATACGATTATGTAAACCAATCGATTAGGGCCCACCCCATACAATCAATCTGATGTGCAAATATTTCCTTCTATCTAATTTACCCATTTATAAATATTGTATATGTTGCAGTGCATCTGAAAACCAACAGCGTACCGGTAAATAATTATATCGTAATTTAATTTTCAGAGCAAACTTAAAAAAATATAGTTTCTTAGTCCAAGATTAGTTGAATTTAATCTGCTTAGTCGGTTCGATATGATAGGAGTTCCTGAACTAAATTATATAATTCCCTTACACTAATTCATTATGAGCTTACTAGTGTAAATCCTGAGCAAATAATGAACCTGCGTATGAATACATTCACAGTAAGTTATTAGCATCACAATCTATGGAAAGCATATAAGCTTTCAATTTTTTTCAAAACCAAACTCAAATCGAAGCCTAAAAATGGTGGTATGTACTCCGTCTGTACGGACGACTCTATAGTTGCACCAGCACAGCATAGCATATGAAAAGATTGCTATGTAAGGAAATACGATTGAGTATACATAATCTACACATGTATGATCATGATTTTATAGAAAACGTTAAAAATGATTATATTCCAACTTTCTCGCTGCGCGTATACCCTGAAATTACGGTGTATGCGTACACTAGCATTACTGGTAACTAAATGATTAATTTTAAATAAACATAATTACACCCCGCCAAAATAAAAAAGGGGCGGGCACTGTACTAAGTTGGACTAATTAATTAACCTTCTATTAATGCACAATTGTACTGTACGGTCCGGTCCTATGCTCCTATTTTCCCGGCAATAAGTAATTCGGAAACACATAAATCTAGCTTGTGAATCCATTACTTAGAGTTAAATTTGTGAATTAGACCATCGAAGAACCCGAATAAGCTCTCTATTTCGCAAACAACTATAACTTTATTTATCATTTTGGCATCATTTATGCAGTTTCTTTAAGAATTATTATTGATTAATACATCTACTATATATGCACCGTTTAACTGTCTTTAATTAAAACACGTTTGCCATGCTGTGGATTTAGCCGGATATATACGTGTACGTGTGTGTATGTATAGTATACAATCCATGTATACGTGTATATGTACGCCAAGGAATTTAAATTTTTATGATTAAAGTCATTGAGACTTATGATTAGGTTTGAGGTTCCAGTATCGAAAATTTGGGGCTTTAATAGTTTAGCTGCATTGCACAGTGTAGTAATTCAAGGCCAGCACCTGTTATTCTCGACGACAATCATTAACTGCAACCGTGTGGAGACGCCAAGTTATAAGGATGCACGGTATCAATCTAGTTCAGGCGTACTTTCACATCAGATTACAACGTATATCATCATGAGAGTTCTGCCACGTAGAGAATACAAATCACAAATCCATCTACTTATGTATACATTTTGTGCTGTTATAGGCAAACTTCAGCATAGCCGTATCTTCGAGCAGATCTAGAGTATCATACAAGTTATGTATTTGATTATAATCATAATATAATCACCCTCGATCACACTAAAGTCATTAACTGTACAGTATTTAATTTATTTTTCGATTACAATTTACTAGACGCAGTTATGACATCAAATTGTTACAAAGTTTTTAAAATTTCTCAACGATCGTTAATCAAAAATTGATCACACAAGAGATCTTGATGAATGGAATAATTGATCGTTCCGTCACGCGACGAAACATTGTTGCATTATTTTATACCTCCTATGAAAGTATATAATACACCTCTATACTTGGAACTTCGATATTGATCAATTTAATAGTTGTAATAAAAATTGTACCCATTTCTTAGTCAGAAGGTCAAGATTATTTATACATTATAATCAATGTCTTTATATTCAAATCATCAATAACTTCGGTCTGTACGCGTACAACTGCACACTTGGACCGGGTTTTACAAGCGTATTTATAGCACTATGACTAAATATTACATCGAACATCTTAAATTTATAGCGATATAAATTCTGTTACGAACTATAAAATCAATGATTTCGTTGTTTCAAAGTGTATATAATCTGTTTCATCAATAATAAGTCATTTTTCAGTTACTGTTGCAACTTGAAGTTAACTGGATTAATAAACGCTGACAACAGAAGGTTAACCTTCAATATTCCTATTATATCCGATTCTGCATAACTCGTCATTGAAACGGAATTTAAAGTCGTCGACTACCACATTAAAAGTTGTTATCTAGGTCTCCTAGAGATAATACTACTCTCTGTAATATACTATTCACAAAATTATAATCTACGTAGAAGTTCATGACTTCCTAATAAATTTGATAATCATTACTATTGCAGGTACGAACGAATTCTCATGGGAAAAAAAATAGTGGATTGCCCCCCGAGACTAGTATACGTAACAAAGTAGTCGTACATAATATAGAATAAATGAATAGTTAATGATCCCGTGTAGAATTTCAGTCCTCCAGGGAAATGCTAATAATTTGTTTCTTAGTAAAATAACTTCTACTGCTGTTTTGATACACATAGGTAAAGCTTATGTATATAATAATGTAGATCAACGACTTACTGTACATATAAACTTTTTAGATCGGATCACAGCTAGAAACGGACATTACTTTAATAGAGACTACGTTACGTTGCCAATTTTCCGCTAAATATTAGAAAGTCTAACAGCAATTATCAGATTTTTAAGGCAGAATCAAGAAAAATAGAGGTAACGTCCACTGTTGATTATAATATAAGTTAGAGATATTTTATGCTTTACTTTTCTTATTGCAGTTACTATTTAAGAACCAGCTTCTTTGTATTGCACCTAGATTAAGTGCATCTAAATCTTCGCTTCTGTTATTTTTAGAAGTAAAAAAGGATTTATGTTAATAACCAGGCTTAAGCTGCAATGTACAGTAACTATTTAATTTCTTAACGAATTTTATAGTTTAAAGAAATCGCTTATATACGTCACCAACATTCATTCTTTAGATTAAAAATTTACAGCTCAAAATTCTGATTACAAACATCCTGCACTTTTCATATCTTCTTGATTTTTAGCTTAAAATCGTAATTTTTGTATAAAATTTATGGAAAAAGGGGTTAAAAGAGGCGTCGTTACATAAACCGTTATTTCTTATTAGTAGTTATTATAAATTAACGAACAGTCAAGTATCTCTAACATGTGTTACTTTATCATATAATTCTAAAATACCATCTTTACGGCAAAAGGTTTTCGTGAAAGTATCTGCTAAACTGAGCAGCTTGCGTAATAACTACTAATATACACATTCAAAAATTCTCGAATTAACACGTTTCAGGTACCTCAATCTCCACTGGCAATAAGATCAAACAGATCGGTTCAAACTTAGAACCTTTAAAATTATCGATATAACTCCGTAATCGCTAGGTACCATTGTCTGTTGTATACGGCCATAACCAATCTTATATTATCACAATGGAAAGAGAATTACCTATAGAAGATAAAAGACATAGCACGAGTAGCAATAGCACTATCGAATCAGAACAAGGCTCACTTTCTGCAGATACCCGCACGTTCCCTAGATTTGAAGAGATTGAATATGAATATTCTAATGAATTTGACGAAGATGAATCTACTCCCATCTGTTGCTGTTGTCCTTGCCTCGTAAGTCGCTGATATAATCTATATAGTATTATTATATAGACATTTCTCGTCTCACTAATGCAGAAATGAGATCCTACTAGAGCTGACATTAATGAATACTGAAAACTTTACAGTTTGCATATTTTTATGTATATATTTGCGGATGTACTGTTTCTTTATAAAATTTTACCCAAGATAACATAATAAACTTGTATTTTAAGAGAAGAAAATCAGGACTAAAAAATTCGTCGTCTAAACAGCTACACTTAAATAAGTTAGCTGCGAATAAACTCATGCTAAAGAAGTTCAAGAAAAATTCTTATAGTGTTTCGGAAATAGAAAAAAGTTATGGTACCGTGGATACATCTTCAAGTGATAGTCAAGAAGATAAAGAGCAGGAATTGCTTCTTGTACCAAATTATATTGATAAGATTAGGGAAGCAACTTATCGACGCGAACGTGCTAAAGGTCACAGCAACATCTATAAATCGCGATTTAAGAAAGACAGAAAAGGTAAGAGCTAATATAAAATACCGCCTCCACATCCGTCACCTTATGGACATTATCAAGTCTGATATAACTGGATTAGTAAATCGATATGCCAGATATTGATTGGTAATTTAATACAGTACCTGGTAATGCAGCAGTATGTGCGGATTATTCTTTCAATAATTATTTCTAAAATCGATACAATATTTTTAATCAAATCATCGAAAGAAACTACCCTAGTTAGTCGATACCTGGTAGTACAGTACACTGTAACTGCTGCTGTGAGTGTAAACATGAAGTTTAATTTCATAAAATATTGTAGAAGCCGAGATTTCATCTAATTGTTCTGGAGAAGACAATATCTAAGAAATACAAATAGCTACGTATCATCATATAGTTACTATATGATTGGCAACATGCAGTATAAATTATGCATTCTTAATGAGAACATTCTATAAATTCTAGCAACCAGATTATGGATTTATATTGTACATTTACAATAATTTTACATTAAGATTTTTTTTTAGAAAATGATATATATCCGCCTCCTTCTTCAATAAAATCTCAAGAAAATCTGGTAAAAAGTATTATATGTATTTTTCCTTTCAATTGTGCAATATTATATTGCCGTATCTATCTAAGATAACATTTGAATAGTTTATTATTCTGAATGCGGTTACTACGGTATAGTGTTAAAGCACTTAGTCACATATGGATTAGCACATATTATATCTACGATTGGGTAACTAATAAATAAAATTAGAAGTTCAAGATATAGAATCACTAAATCTATTAAATTCAAAATGCAATAATTCACAATGGTATAAAGTTTGGTCAGGGAAAATAAGAAAATATGAAATTAAGCTAATCAACTTATGTTTAAAGGAAATAAGCTTCAAGACTTAAAAAGATTTTTATAAAACTAGAAATTTTCTAAGACCGTGTGTGTTCTTCATGTAAAGATAAAAATTAACAACACTTCTATTCCTAATCAAGTATTGCTTTTAGATAGAACTACTAGACTTTTGCACTTACCCCTAATATTTATGCTATACAAATGTGAACACTATCAGTATAGCAGGAATGTTCTGCATATTATTTTCTACTTAGCGCAATAATAATTAGCTGAGTACCTAAATCGTGCTACGCCGGAAAATTTACTGCTATGCACTGCATTAGTAACGACAAGTTATAGAATTAATGGCCTGCTGTAGGTTATCCGTCATTCTAAGTGCACTGTAGCTAATAATCTACATCTCATCGTTATCTAATTACACCGTATATTCACACCAAAATCAACAAAAATATCTATGTTCACCCTTCCCCTCTCCCCCTCCCACGCTGATCTACAGGCCGATAAATTCTATAGTCTAAAGTCTTCTTTACAAAGTATTAGTTAATAACGCATAATTTTATCTATATTCGAATAAATTTATAATTTTAAATGTATTACTTTCTTTCTAATTTTTGACGAATAGGATTTTAAAGATCAAATTAACGAAGAAAGCTTACTTAATCACGGATATTATGGCTCAGTATATATCGTTAAATACGGTAACGATAAAGCGATACTCAAAAAATGGGGTAAAGAGGTATGATACAAAAATGTGTCAATCAATCATATCGAAGGTGGATACTGTACCTACCAGCGGAATTGAAAACGTATCTTATTGTTCATGTTATAACGAAAGCTGTGGTTAATACTATCAACTGAAGAATAAACTGCAGTAGTAATTTGAAGCCGTAATTAATACTAACAACTACTAGCATTAAAAGATTTGAAATTAAGTAGCCAAGTGAATCATGGATCCGACTATGATCACTTTTTACACATAGTTGCAATAACTACAACTAAATAAGACTAGGCTATGGGTTGCCAGACTAACAATACCAGAGTCAGATAGGCTATTTGACAGTTTCTATTACTATTTAATTAATAATAGTTAATAACTTAATCGGAGATTTTATGCTGAATGTGACGCTACTTTTAAATATCTTAAATAGCGATGCATCTGGATAAACTGTGACTCGCAATGTTGAAAATGTCGGAATAGATTTAATTTCTTACTGAATGTTTTTGATTTGATATTTATTTGGTGCCTCTTATATATTATATAGTTTACAACTATTACTGAGGAGAATAGTAGCATTGTTGATTACCTGTTGACGTAAGTATAGAATCATTATTCCTCAACTGACTAAAAAATACGTAAATCGTGTAAGACTCGACCCTAAGACAGCTTTTTAACGTTATTTCGTTGTAAGATTGCAACATGATATCATTTTTAATCATCTATCAAAATTAAACATATTTAATCGCCTTCGATAAAACAGGTTAAACCATCCAAACATCCTACCAATTCATTGTTACTGCGTATCAGTAGGCGGCGTTTTAGAAAAATTTGCAATATCTTCTTTAAGATCTAGAATATCGATAGAGGTAAGCTCCCTTATTACATCTTTCGTTTAATATTATTGATAAATTATTCAGTTATCAATTGCGATCGCCCTGTGAAAGAAGATTAGTATGGATTATAATATCAATGGCATTTAGTAATAGTTTATACGGTATATTGTAAGAAATTATAAGTTTTATAATCCTCTGTTATCCTAGCATGATGTACCATCAATGCAAAAATTTACTTAGATAAAATAATAAATAAATTATTCTAATTTTCTTCTAGGCAAAAGAAAATATTTTTAATGCCATCGAACGTCTAAAATCCTTATTAGGTACAATAGATGGAATCATTTTCTTACACAGTAAAAATGTTGTTCACAACAACTTGACAAGGTAAATTGCGCACTAGACTTTTAATTTTGAGATTTTAAAAGACAGAATGTACAAATATTACTAACATTCTCTAGTGAAAACATTTAATCCTTTTAGTATTAATTGTATGGAAGTCTTTAAAAAATTTAATATTTATATAAAATTACTATTGTCAGCAATAATATCTTATTGGATATGGATGGTACTGTGAAGCTTAGCCATGGATGCATGGAAAGTATTATTTTAAGTCATGGATATCCAATCGTTAAGCGTCCTCTAAGAAAATATCCAGAAAAATTAGGTTACTTCAGTACTAACGCCATTGCGAACGATATAATCAAATCGAATGATATTTACAGCTATGGCGCCGTAAGCAGTAACATTTTACATCATATCATGAAATTATTTTAAGTATTTCTTATCATGAGTAACTAGAATTTATATTTTGGACCAGTTAATATGTTGCACCCCTAAAAAAATTAAATATTACTTCAATTATAGGTTCTACTGGAAGTGATAACTGGTGAGCTTCCTTATGCAAGTGACAGAGAACCGATTTTACTGGTGAACAATAATGTTTATTTTTATATATATTATTTACCGCAATTAAATTCATTATTAAATTTGGTCTTATATCTAATTTAAAGCGAGAATTACTGAATGACTTCGAGATAGCGAACTTGAAAGATTCCAGGATCAGATGGCCAAAGTATCGAAAATCATTTAAAGGAATTACACATGTAAAGACTATGAGGAAAGATCTACTAAATTTAGCGAAAACTTGTTTAAGACAAGGTACTGAAGTAAAAAGTGCATCAGAGGTGAGGTTCTTATTATTCTTGATCACAAGAATATATATCGCAATCCATCAATATTAGATTTATTTTATCAGAAACTTCGAAATCAATTCTTGAGAAAGCTATATCAAATATTACGTGAATTAGTAATTACACATTTCTAAGAGAAATTCAGATGTTATTAGTAGTGTATAGCAAGTCAACAATCAGAAGTATTCGTAATAACCAGATACCAAAGACTGATAGATAATATTCATTTTTACTGTAAATAGAATACATTTAAAATTCTGACACTACTTAATGATATAAAATTTCAATACAAAACATTACTAATTTGTATTCCCTTTATTTACTGCAGGTCAAAGAAATATTGAGTGACTTAATCAAGGAGTACAACATCAAAGGATTGTTCAGTTGAAGCATTTTATTTAACAGACAGAGAAACAGCGTTCTAGGCTAGCGTGCTATCTTATGAATGCATTAGTGGAAGTATCTTTCAGTTTTAAGCTCTTATATAGCATGTTAGCAAGCAACTTTATTCGATATCATAATACAATATAAGATGGAATGAACTACCAATGCTAGCATTCATTAAAATTAAAAACAGAAAATAAAATGCAACGTTCTTAGCTACAATACATTATCACTCATAGTAAGAGCCAACATCTGCTTGGCTCATATTCTATTGAAGAAATAAGATTAAAAAAGTGCTATTACAGACTTAGAATCAGCTCTTCATAGACTGGTATTAACAGATTGACAGAAAAGGATCTTGTAGTGCATCCTTCATACCTCCATATAAATATTGTTACCTTACATAATAGAATTATAAGATATGTTGTTCTTAATTAATTTACTGGTATACATACAATATACTTAAAATTAGTATATTAGTAAAAAGTGATACATAACACACATCACCTGGTGATAGGTGTTCTTTGTCACTCTGATCAGTTCCACTTCATTGGATCGTCATTAATATTTTTCAATTTAAACCTACGGGATATATATACATTCAGTTATTGGCATCGATAATAATACATATAAATTCGACTGTAAGTTATGCATTATGAATGGGAAACAGATTTTTGACATTAAATTTGTTATTAAATATAGCTATACTTGCTGAGCAGGTGCAATTATCAATATTAAGGTTATTCAACTTGCAATAAGTTCATGCTTGGCTTGACTACTTTTATACTGTAGAATTGTCAAATTTTGTAATATGACATAATTCATATATTTCCTTCAATGTATGTATTGCTAGTATCACAACATTGTCAGGTTTGAGTATAGATATATTTGATACAGCATATTAAGGTTATCTATATGCGTATGTGTATTCTCATTTTAACTTTATTAGTATGAAATAATTTGTAGTGTCTTAATTAGCGAGATCTTGCCATTGTAGATTATCTCATGATCTATATAAGTAGGCCAAAGGTTTTACAAACTAAAACGTAATAAACGTTTAATTTTACAAAATAAAGGGCGATACCGTTTGACTAGCCACGACAAGAACTTATGCTAAACGTGATCATGCCTTTGTCAAATTACCGCTCTTTGATATTCGTCGTAATAGAGTCTCGCATAATTTTTCAAGAGGCTTTAGTTGAAGTACGGCATGGAAATATAATCATTTAATGTCCGAGACAATACAACAATTTCGAATTAAGGAATGTATCTATAAAGATTAGTATGAATGCATAACGTTTACGCTAAGTCTGAACTAGTATTAGCAATGCTTTAATGATTTGGGCAGATAATGTATATCGACTATTACTGAATTATGCGTATATGGCTATTTCTTGAGGCAATGGTTTAACAAATATAGATTTTGAACTCTCGTATTCCAACTCAATCGTTACGAATGTGACATTTTTGACAGGAACCATAATTATTCATGTTTTTAATTTTCCAAAGTCAAAACGAAAATTCGAACTCAATATACTATAGTTACATAAGCATTTATCATATGTAACTGAGTATAGGGCCATTTCCTTGCTATAAATTAAGTTACTGTATATTAAATTTTTGAAGACATTATCACGAAGTGTTTTCTATATGATCATGTACCGAATTGCCGATTACATAATTTTTCTTATATTTCTGTTGCCTAACGCTTAATGAATATTTCATCTTTCACTGAAGGATTTAAAGGACAAATAACCTAATGTTATTAATAATATAATGATGGTTTGCGGTCTATTTGTATTGCTTAAATTAGATATTCTTTACAAATGTTTAATAAGAAAATCGCTCTAACACTTCGAAATCCCAAATACAGCCAAGGCAAATCAATTTAGAAAATTTAGTTTAATTTGTTGACATAGCGATAACCGCAATACCGGGCTTATTACTCAAATGTGATCAAGAATGTACTCTTTTATGCAGCTAACTTAAACTAATTGTTAATCTTGACAAATTTACAACATCATGGCCTACAGCACTTTATTTGTTCCGCAATATACATTAATTCCTCTTTTTCCATATAGGTTACAACGTCATTCATGCTAACATTTTTCCCGCATCGATATTTCCATTCTTCCAAAATTTTTCTGATCATTATTTTTTCATCATTTATCACTTTGGTATATCTGGTAGAAAGTGTAGCAATCTCAGGTTTGGAAAATCCAAGACCACTAGCAAAGTCGGCCCATGAGATCTTTTCAGGTAGATTCCGAATGATGATACTGAAACAGTTTTCTATACATGTTGATAAAAGGCAGATTAATAACGGATATTGTACTATACCTATATCAAATAATTTACAAAACTAATGTCCAGTAAATAACGTGTGTTTACATGAGATACATTATACGATCTTGTTAACTCATTGGGTGTTAAAGAATTTTAGAATTAGGGTATGCATCCTGTAAACCTATGTAAAATAAAGCGAGTAATTGCTGCGACTATAAGACTAAGCGACTTACGCGGGCTTATCCTAAACTTTCGTCATTGAAATTTTTTAAACATTACCTAAATAGTTTAAGTGCTTGCGGCGTATATACGCTTTTTTCCTTAAAATATCATCATGTATAGCGGGGAATCCAGTTGCATAGTCTTTATCGTCAAGATTAGGGTTTTTCATTAATTTACTTGTGGCCAGAACATAGTATTTATATGCAAGATACAAATTCGGCTGTTGAATAAAACCATATTCACATATAATTCCTTTATGATAGCCTGATAACAATCCTTTTCTATCAGTCCCTGTCTGTACTGCTTTCCGAACTATCTCAAGATCAGGTATTTCTATACTGTCTTTCATCTTACGAGATAATTTTAACAAGCGATAGTTAGCGTATGCCCAGTACGTACCATAATTATTGTCGATTCCATTTTCATTGTTTAATACATTGCATAGTTGAATTACCAACTTATAACAACGAATTGCTTTTACATTGTTATGCAGTTCTGCATTTTGATTTTCGAAAACCTTTCCTATTTCACTAAGGCAGCCTAAGGTTGATTGATAAATCAAGTCACCAGAATATAAGGTAGAGAACAATCCTAGATAGTAACATGCCAGTGCTCTATTATAATCCTTTTCTCTGGATATTCCAAACTTGTAACACAATCCTAAAGTCAGCCAAGTAATGTCATCGTTACTATTTGAAGAAATGCCGTAAACTTTGTCACTGGTAAGTTTAGCGTCTTTGGGAAGGATAATAGAAGCGGTAGCCGCTAACTTAAAACATCCTAAGCCTAATTCGTAATCTCTGGTTATCTTTACACCTCGATAGAATTCAACACCTAATTCATATAATGATTTGATGTTATAAGCTTGAATAGCATGTTTTAATAAGTAATTAATACGATCCTCAGTGGATAACTTGAAGCGATATTCAGGAAAATGACATAATTTACGCAGTGCCAATTCATGCCCAGCATTGGCAGCTCTCTTAACGTAAAGAAACGCCGTGTCTAGGTCTCTGCTAACTCCAAGACCCTTTCGATAGATTTCATGGCCGATAATAGAATATGCCGCGACTTGACCATATTCGCCGGCCTGCTCTAGATACAACGATACAAGGGCATTGTCATCGATTGAGTGGCCTTCTTCATTGTTTTTCATATTCCATAAAGCTAAACGCAAATAAATTTGTCCCAATTTTACAGAATCTGATATTGAATTAGTCATTGCATCCTCGCGATAACAGCGCAATATATCTTTTAAAGTGGTCTTCCATCTTGAGTAATCTTTTTCGCTAGTATGTATCGACCATAGTTCATTCATTGCTCTGGAAGCTACGGCTCCGTACTCTCCAGAAGCTTGTAAAAGTAATTTCAATCTCAAAGCAATATATTCGCCTCGATGATTGGAAATAACATACTTACCGTACCTAAGGTCTTCGGGGCTCTTCCTACAGCAGTAAATATCAAGTAAAAACTCCATAGCATCGACTACATTATTTTCGGCAGCAGCCCCAGCAAGTTCAAACGCAGAATCAATATCTTTAGCGATAAGTCCAGCCCCGACGCGATATATTCGAGCTAGCATATATTTTGCATATACGTTATTATTTTTATCAATATCGTACCGAAATTTACGAATAGCAAGAGGGAGATATTCCTGATGATATGCTCGCAAAGCTCGTTCTTCAAACGCCAGATCAATAATCTGACGGATTCGAGGGAGTAATTGGTACTCGTTTGCCATTCTTAATCTATAAGAATAGTACAATTATCATTTTTATTACAATTCTATTGAGAGAGAATATAATGTACATGGAGTAAGTTGGATTTTTTACTTTATTTTTGTTAAATAGATCTTGCACAACTACAGTAGAGTGCTATTTTCATGTTTACTTTTTTACAAAACTGAAATAATACAGCATAATTATGCTATTATATAATTTATGTACAGTACTGTATACAGTACGTTGCACATTATAGTACTGTACACTGTACAGTACAGTAGTGCAGGAATCAGTAATCTACGGTACTGTACAGTACAGTACTACAGTATATTGTACATTACTGTACTGTACAGTACAGTACATTTGAACTTTGTAACGCTCGCTGGTTGCTGTTACTGTACTGTACAGTACAGTACTACACTATACTGTACTGTGCGTACTTTGTATGATTCGTACTAAGATACTGTATGTACAGTACTGAACCGTCCTGAATATCATGGTAAGTAGAATTTCCCGTACTGTACTGTACAGTGTACACTGTACAGTACTGTACTACGAGTTTACTTTACTGCACTGTACTGTACTGTACTGTATAGTACAGTGTACTACGAGCTTACTATGAATGTACTGTATAGTACAGTGTTATCAGTATAGCACTATAACGCAAGTAAAATATTCTACATTTCTACACCGTAGTGTACCGTTCTTTACAACCAATCTCACGTTCATGGACAACTAAATTACATCTAGGTGCATCAACAGCAGTAGTCCGTGGATAATACAGTACTGTACGTGTGTACTAACTGGCTTATTACTATCCTCATAAGCCTGATTAGGTAAAGTCAAGTTATGGCCATTTGTCAAGTTACTCAAGTACTCTTTTAACTAATCGCAATGTTCTCAAATTTAAATTTCTTTATTGTCATTAAGTACAGTACTAGTCTAAGCCTTGCCTTGCTCGTGATACTTCGGGTACAGTCAAGCTGTAGTAATGTACAGTATAGTACTTGTACTATGCTGTATTTGTAATATTATTTTGTTATGTCAAAGAGATATCAGTAAATTAAGGAGAATAGAAGTAGATTTATTGAAGTATCACGAACACAAGTTACAAGTGTTGTTGCTAAGATAGAGATCTATCATCAGAGAGAGTAGATCAAGAATGCTTTTAATAAGCAGATGCATATGATGATATAGATAGTTACATAGATCAAGATAGGTATGATATGCATGTACGTACTGTAATTATTATATATTAATGTACATTCACACGATGAATTCATACAGAAGGCCTGATGTTATGTTGCCATCAGTACAGTACTAAGATAGTATAAGTAATACCTAAGTAATATTATTCTATACTATTACAGTATTGTCACTTCTACGTGTGAGATATCGGCTGCAGTATCTATTGTGCAATGTACAGTATTATACATCTACTACTTCATTGGCTGAAAATAATCTCTTGTAGATCAAAATGTAAAAATAGCGAATTCTAAGAGATTACATGCAGCTACTTCCATGCGCTTCCATGCTTATTATCATCTATACCAACTGTATCGGCTCGATATTAATGCTAGTCTATCGTAATGGTACACTACATATATCTTATCATTGGTTATCTGATTCCGCCAGGGCAGGGACTTCTAGGACTAATATTAGTATTAGAAGTCCCTAGCCAGGGACTACTAGAAAGAGAGGGACGTCTAGCGGCCGTTCAGTGCAAAATAATGATGGGGCTTATCATTTTTCTGATCATTCCACCATACGCTACCACCGAAACCGTGTACTACGCTATACAAAACCAACCAAGCGGTTAATTTCTAGAGGTCTGCAAAATCTAGTGCACAGCGCACACTCTGGCCCGGTCCGGCATCATTCTTCTTAGTTCTTTTGTTTCGCTTTTGTCGGGAAAATGCAGTACTGTACTACGGTAACTGTACAGTGTACTGTAATGCAGGTAAATAATCTCCTTGACAACAAGAATCTACTGCACTGTACTGTATATAAAATATATATATTATGTATATGTTGTATACTGCAACAGTATATTATACACCTTGAATTACAATATAGTGGATAGATCATCACGCAGCTACCAAACATTTCAGTTTACAAACTGTCGTCATGGTGATTCGGGGCCTCCTCAAAAAAGCGTGAATCGTACGGTACGGTACCGAACTGTGTTATGTTATCTACTGCTTAGAATTTCGTATAATAATATATATATATATATATATACTCACAATAATAATTGTTAATTTATACATAAATTTATCAGATTCATCTTTTAAGTAATTACAGTTTTCGGTTCGTTGCCGTGGTATAGGACGACAGCAAGCACACCGTCTTCAACATAAAGTTTTAGTAAAATCGATAAAAACAAAGCGTAAATATAGTATTTCGCTCAAGTTTATTAGCGACTTATAAGCAGCACGTCTTTGAATTATAATTTTCGACATAGTACTTCAGTATCATGGCTTCATTAGCTAATAAGATCAATTCTAAATCACCAAAGAACATACCAGCTGAAGGTTTCACTGTTAAAGCTGCGATGAAAAATAGCAAGGTAAGTTTCCGATAGAACTCATTCTGATGTCAAAATGACTTGATTCACAGTAATAAAAGGAAGAATCTAATTATATCAAATCGATTAAATCGACACTACTAATCAACCATTAGCTCACACAATCCTTACGCTTTATAAGGAATTTCTTATTCAAGAAATAAAAATAATATCGTTATTCGGCAGATATTGAGAGCTACGTTTTGATAAAAAAAAGCACAATATCCCATTTAGTACTGTGATTACTGATATGCAGCGTCTAATCCATATGCACCTTCATAAGAATTTTGTAGATTGTGGTATATGAGTTACTTCTTACTTGCAATAAAATCCTATTCTTTGACCTAATTTACTGAGCTCGGAGTTCATAGTATCTTAACTTTCAAATGCACTTTTCTAACCGGGTAAAATACAATAGTTTAATGTATTTAGGCGATTAGATGGCAACTTTCTAAATTGGATCAAATAGAATTAAATTTTTAAACAAAAACAGAGTTACAGCCCTTCTATATCATACGCGTATATACTAAGAAACATGGAAGCACAAATAGCATTGTAATTGAATCAAATCACGTAATAAGCTCAGTATCAATAGAGAATAAGGGGAAGTAGTTAGCGTTATGCATACCCCTTCACATTTTGATATGCTTATCGTCTTTAATATATAGCATTTAAACAAGAACCTTATTACTAGTCAATCTCTAAGACTAACATCTAGCAATCATAATTTCTATAGGAGTCTAGTTATATGTAAATTATAATTAAAAATTTGTTATTAAGTATGATTATATGTAATTGAGAAGTATTTATTGAGAAGTGTTTATTATTATTATAAGGTTAAACCACCCCCGATATCAGGAGCTTATAAGGAAAAAAGCTCAGTTCCAACAAAATTTCGTAAATATTATGAAAGAGGTGATTTCCCCGTCTCTATTGAACATGATGCTAAAGGCAATAAAATCGCGTGGAAGGTATAATATGCATATATATACACACTTAGAAAGCTTCTATCATTACTGCTTAAATGTTGATCATTCGGTATTTAATGTAATTTATTTCCTTACAGGTTGAGATTGAAAAACTCGACTATCATCATTATCTTCCCTTATTCTTTGAAGGCTTATGTGAAACACAGCACCCTTACGATTTCCTTGCTCGTCAGGGTATTCACGATATGCTTGAGCATGGAGGTGCAAAAGTCCTCCCAGTAATTCCTCAACTTATAATTCCCATCAAGCGTAAGTTATACCCTTAGATTTCTTAGCTGCAACTAAATTTACCGAGTTATTAGAGAATGCTATATTTTAATTTATATGAATCTAATTATTACTGCTTATATTTTATAAACCAGATGCTTTAAATACCAGAAATCGAAAAGTCATTTGCACTACATTAAAAGCACTACTTCATTTAGTAGAATCTGGTGATCTTGTTGGCGAAGCATTGGTTCCCTACTACAGACAAATTTTACCAATGCTGAATGCGTTCAAGAATAGTAATTGTATGCGAAATATTTTTTCTTTGAATAAAGTGCACCTTTAGAATACTTATTTTTATTTTATAAACGTTACTTCATGGTAATTTAATATCTGCTATTTAATCCTTGTCTAGTGAATATCGGTGATGGCATTGACTATGGACAGCAAAAAAGGGAAAACATTGGAGACTTAATTAATGAAACTTTAGAAGAATTAGAAAAACGTGGAGGCTCGGATGCTTATATTAATATTAAATATATGGTACCAACATATGAATCATGCGTTCAAAACTAGATTCGATCTAACACTCAAAATTTAATTATTCTTCATGTACCATATGATAGACACATGTCCATAAGTTGATATCCAATGTGTTCGTATATTGTTAAATATCATCTTAATGTTAAGAAATATGAATGTAATAGATCTCTTGAGTATTTAAACGCGATGATCTTCGAATTACTATTGTACTGTACTCGCAAATATTCATCAATATGGTCTTTAGAAGTATTAGTAAACAGTTACAGTAATGGCTGCATTTTTATAGGAACTAGTCAAATCTTCGTTCGTGATACTTCAAATACTATATATGTACTTATACTTTTTACTTTACAATGGGATAAAGGAGGTTTAGGCTAGAATTTCTAGCTATTACAATGTTTACAATTAATTATCATCAGTAGATAGAATGGTAATTGTGGCATTATCTATCAAATACCTCTTTCTGAGATTAATTATTGATGTATCGATCAAAATTATAGGTTTTATGTGCTAAAATTAAACGATTACTTAATAGATAAGTTTAAAGATCATTTAGAAGCATCAAAGCTAGCTTTTGACACTATAAATGAAATATTTTAAATCAAGTTCTTTATCTATATTAATTAATATTAATTAATGATATGTAGCACCGATTATAATTAGGCCTCGATTTAAAAATAAAGCATTGTAAGCTAGATAGTCAAGGCGATCGATGTCTAACTCTTTTAATGAGATCTAGCCAAATCAGAAGCATACTCATAGATCTTATTCCGATAACGTCTATTTCTCGGATAAAGTCATTAAGCTCTATTATGTAACGTATTCTAATACATAAAAATTGCTGTTTTTATATGACTTAGAACCTAATCAAAATATTCTACTCAGAATGTTGATCGTATCTGTTTAAGATGGCATAAAAATACTATTAGAGAAGCCTACCACCTATGTATTATAATTATGCGTATATTTTTTTGGTGATCACAGTACTCATCTGTCAAAGTATTTTTTAAACCCTAACTAAAGAAACGATTACTTTATAACTGCTATAGCTGAAATGTGCAATTGTGATCGCATAAATTATGTTGCCAATGCTCTAAAATTCTACCGAGACCGTATAATCGGACATTCATTGATCTAGAACAGTTTCGTATAAATAGAGAAATTTGATTTATAGGGTCTCATAGTATAAAAATTTCTCTCATGTACATCAGTGTACCTACTATGATCATGGACCACTCCTACTAGATAGGATATATCTAGTAGTCCGTGCTATGATATCGTTAGTAGTACAGTTTTCCCTAATATCGGTTCGGTAGCAGTATCGGTATCAGATAGCAAACATACGAGTAAGTATAATAACTATGATGAGATAAAGCTATGTGCATATAGAATATACTCAGTTAAAAAAATTGTGGGTCAGTGATACAATTGTTCATACAGTATTACGCGAAGTATAACGAGCGAGGGATATAATAGCAAGTAAAATATGGTAGGTGACAAAGATGATACTCAATACAGTGTATTGCTAACTACAAAGCCTGTAGCCATCCCGCAAACGAACAATACTCGTATGTACTGATACATAAGTGATTAATACAGCGCTAAATTTGGTTTTAATTCACTAGGTGGCATCAAATGTAATTTTTGGACAATTTAGAACTAGACTAGGGTACCTATTATAATTATAGAAGTTTGTGCAGCACCATTTACTCTCTTTATATAGTTAAGCAGTAGATGCATAATTGCATACTGTATATAATGGATTTTTACTTACGATTATATTTGCTTTCAATAATTAAATAATGACCTGTTTTTCGCTATCGATCTATTTTAGGCCTAGCATAGATCATATACTTTTACTCTAGCTTATTATGCTGGCATCTCAACTTGTACCGTAATAGATATGAACAGCACAGCACGTACAATAATACACAATTATCTAAAATCGCAATATCGTATTACGTATATTGCTGGTTACAGAAGATCTATAACTACATCTAATCTACCATCGGTACCATATATTACAACATAGATACCTAATATCGCAACTATTCTCTATACGAGTATATCATTATATAGGTGCACTGTTGAAGACATAGTTGTGTAAAGCAATTTGGCTATCAAAATACTTGGTACCGTTTTCATTGGACGATATTTATGATTATTTTAGTCTTCTTAGCTGCAAAAAAATCTGGTATATAAAAGGTACCTGTGAATTTCGCTTAATTTCTTACAATTTATAATACGCGTACACGCGTCAATGTGATAAGAAGCGTTAACAGACTGATTCATAATTTAAGAGAGTTCTTGCCCTCGCCTATTAGTTAGTTGTACTTACTATACAGTACATTGTGCTATGCAATGTGTTCTTGTCATATGTATAACACATGTTATACATATACCAAACTGAACGGAATGTATAATACGCATTTATCACGGCAGAGGTCGTGCTACGTATTTGTGGATAGCTGATAAGAAAGAGTACCTACAAAAAGAGGGCTAGTTTGTGATAGGGCCTTTTCGACAAAGTCTCGCCCAAGGCTCTTTAAGGGTGGCGAGAGATACAATCTCGTCTGGTAGTACGAGGTTTAGGGGTAAGAAAGAACTTATTAATAGGCTATCTCAAAATTTACTACAGGAATTTTTACAATGGTATTAGAATTTTTTCATGAAAATAAAGTGCTTAACAAAACATATTCATTATCGCATAGTTGGAGGATGATTCTAACACTAATGTAAACTAACGTATTATCTTCTTTGAGGGATCTACTATTAGCGATACAGAGTATTAATTCAGAAATTCGATAATGATCTCCCTACTGTAATTGAGTAGCAAAACATAAACGAGTATCACTTGACTAACTGACGAACTGATAAGCACAAATGAAATCGAAAGGGTATGACATTACAAAAGATTCTGTTCAACCTTATCAGAAAGTGAAATTATGCATCACGTTATTAACATGGTTTAAAGTTAGTAATTTAGTTAACACAACTCTACGCAGCGTTAAGCTCATCATTACTGATATTGTAACCTTTGTATGGGATGGTAGATTGTAATAAATTGAATTTAATGACTTGACTTTAGCAACAACTTCATTAACAAATTTAGATGGAAATAATATTAGCAGAATAAAGAGAGAAATGATTGAAATACTGCAGTAGTCAGCATAGTGAGTATATATTAAGTGCTATAATTAATTAATGTGTAATTAAGTAATTACAACTACTAGTGGTAAGCTTCGTTTTGATAGTGTGTTGTTTAATAATTTTTGCACTGTAATGACTGAAGTCAGACAGATATGATTGTATCCTGAGTAAAGCATCAACGAGACAGAAATTTCATTCGCATGGCATCGTGTGTGGGCTAAGCTAGATGTAAATAAATTGATTTAATTTTATGATAAGAATCCATTGGAATGGCATCTTATATCCATATTCTGTTCTTTGAGCGGCCATCTTTACTAATATACTGTAATTCTATTGCGCGCAGCCATCATAAAGAAAAGGATCCTTCATGAACTTATACTTTTGTCTTTTCTAATGCACGAACTTATGTATTATAATGGTAGTAGTTTATCATATAAGTGCTATAGCTATTCTGTAATGAGAACTTATAGAGTACTAAAACTCTACGGCTGTTAGAAATCTGTATTTGAGCATGGATAAGAAGTTCATCTCAGGTATCATAGACGTTATGCGTTATATATTTACACCAGATCGATGGTCGATTGCGTAGACAAGATTAGATGCCTCTATTGTAAGTAGTCTTGAACACAAATTCACTCTTTATTTTGTAATAGTATGATACACTCTTTGAGATCTTTTTAATAAACGTACTTATATGGCGTAAGATATTTGAAAGAATTAAATAATTCGAGATTTATTTGGATGCTATAGTAACCAGAATTTTTATATAAAAACAGTGATTTTATGATAAATATTCTTGATCAAGAATAAACATTTCTAATAATCATCTATTCTTTGTAGCCTAGTTCATAAAAATGTTGTAGAAATCATAAAGTTACTTTTTTACGAGTATACACCTGCTGGGACAAATAATAGTAGAACGAAGCCTTAAATCAATACCAGTTGAGAATAATAATAAATGTTATTGAAGAAACCTATTTTCGAAAGTGATTTTCATCGTATGAATTACAGTTTTTATTTCTTCTCAATAGATTATCCGAACATTCTTCAGAAAGACGTAACATAAAAAATTGGTATTGTATTCTTGATTAAAATTTATCTTTTAGTATACTCGTATTTTACTTTCCAATTTAGGGTGTTTGTGTCAATATTTATCGTATAAACTTACATATTACATATCTAAAATTTGGATATAAAACAAAAAATACGATGAATCGTTGGATTACAGTTTTCATCAGATTTTTGAAATTTTAGAACAGATTCTCTGTACCTTATCCCGCTTTTGATGAGATATAGATAACTTTATCGATCGCTATTTTATCATGAATCAAAATATCGATGTTATGGCCATTGCTGAAGAATCGAAGATCGCAAATGATGATCTAATTATGGTCAGGTCCGAGTAACGTTGTGTTCATAATCAAAATTCTAAAATTCAACAGCTAGATAAGCCTTAAGTAAGCTAGAGATCGATTTCTTTAAATCTTCATTCCTTCAACGAACTTTATCCATTTCGCAATCAAAAAGCAGTTTGGATATGTAAGTGACTTTTGTTAATATTATGCATGCCACTATTTTAAGTTCCTTAAAATAGAATAGTTAAAATGATTATTAAAGGCATTAATTATGAATATTTTCCCTCCTTGGACACATTAATTTTGTGTACAGCCTTTTAGCTGCTTTGGCAGCAAGGTAAACTAACTTATTGTAGCTAAAAATGTTTTCGCGAAATAGAAGTTGTACTACAGCTATAGATCAATTTTAAAGTATAGCGTAATTTAGTTCATAATTTAAATTTAACATCAGTTATCGTAAATAATATCATATCCATGATTGTTACAGTCTATAGCAAAATCGATGAAGTTTAAAAGAATGTATAATATTGATTTCTGTTAATAAACTTTATAATACGATAGATTAATACATTTAGGTTGCTAGCTTTGTAGTAAATTTAATTATATTGTGTTGACTTCATTTTCTCATATAAATACAAAACTCAATAAAAATCTTCTTTAACAGTATGTGAATGAAATTTATTTTTAGCTAAATACGGAATTGCTGTGCTCCAGCCTTTAGAGCTTGGAAGAATTAAGGATATGGATTCACACAATTATTCTAATTTCTTCAATGTGACCAGTGAAGTTGCATTATCCTTTGTGGTTCTGCAACCAATTTATTTTTTTTTCGGATTTATTGGAAATGGAGCGGTATGTGTTAGTTTATTAAGGAAATGGAAAAAATTGCAAGTCAACGACTACTTTGTGATTAACTTGGCACTTTCTGATGGTCTAAGTATTATTGGAAGGTGGGAAATGTATCTGTATAAACTTTCCGTTAGAGTTATAGTTGATATAGTTGGTGTAATTTTTTTAGATCATTGCCTTGCTATAACCTTAATAAACTAATTTTATAACAAATTTCTTCATTTTACAGTATGATATCGTATTTTCCGTCGTTTATTCGGATTTATATCAACGATATTCCAGTTTATCAAACAGATTCTATTAGTTGTAGATTTAATGGGGGCATTATCATTTACTGTGCTCTTGTTAGCATCTATTCAATGATGTTTTTGGCTGTGATACGCTATTTAAAAATCGTAAGGTCGCAAATTTCATATCGATTAATTAAAGGAAAGAGATTCGTTTTTACTTTCTGGGTTATTAACTGGGTATTTCCATTAATTGTCGTTGTACCTCCTGTTATTGGCTTTTGGGTACGTTATATGTTTTATATCAATACCGGGATATGCTTTCCAGTGTTTCAAGCAAGTCAAATTGACGCATCGATATTTTACTTGATATTTTTCGTAATTTTTGTTAATATTGTTCCGTACATCGTTATACTTTACTGTTACTGGTTTATTTACAAAGAGGTGCGTGACAGCCACAGAAGAGTCGTCAGACATGATAAAGTTAATCGAAGACGTAGATTTTATTGGAGAAAGTCCAATGATAGTAACGATAGTACGATAGAGGGATCTACGGTTTGTCTCACAATATCAAGAAGGCGCGATATTGCATTAGCCAAAACTATGTTTATGATTATTATTGTATTTCAGATATCCTATTTTCCGTTCTTAGTTGCCATGACTTTAAGTTGTTTTTATTCAAATCCGCTACTAGATAAATTATTAGTGTTAACAATTTCTGTTACTTATACTAGCAGTTTGGTTAATCCTATTATATTTTTAATTAACAATAGTCGTGTTCAAAAGCGTATTTCAGGGATTATGGGTAAGTGGAGGACTGCTCCGTCTGGATAAGGAGTTCTCTGGGTATAAGTGATTTTGCTTACCGGTACTTCACTGAGTATAAGTCTAGTACTAAATACCGCTATTATGTATTGTTATCGTATGTGATTACTTCGAAGTTGTATAATATTGTAATCTCTCGTAATAAACAACATTTGAATTAAATCCATATCGTGTATTTAAAAAAATTTCATGTTATAAATACAGTGATAATTATGGTATATATATATCATAAATTCGCTGTTATGTGCATATACATTATACTGTAGAGATTACTGCAATTAAACTTGCCGTATCGTACTATGTAACGAACCTCAAACCACAAACTATGTTCGTGGACCTACACTTGTATAATAATGCTAATGTTTACAAATCATTATGAGTATTTGGTATTAGCCAAATAGAAATCAATTTTATTTTTGTCTATAATATTTATTAAGCGGTAGGAACGTTATACATTATATTGTATGTAGACTATGATTGTTCTCAAGCGATAACCATCGTTACCCTGTTATTAATTAAGCCTTGTGCCGGAGGTAGATTTAGAAAAGTGTTTAACAGCCGAAGTCTACTGCTTTACGACACCTTTTAGCTAGTACTGTAATTGAACATTTCGGTGTTTATCGGTTCTTTTATAAGCAGTTCATTCAGTTTAAAGTTATTTAAGTGTTTGATTGCTCTTTTAATATTAATATTAGTGACCAGTTGAATACTTATTATGCTCTAATTTCGGTACCATGTGTAATTTTTTAGACCTTTATTCCATATGCTGTAATGTCTCATGCAACCTCTAACGTTCATCGTGCTGACTAAACAGAATACATATTAATAGCATAGCATGTATAATATTAGTATAACATCTCACTACATCCCCTTTCTCTTGGGCTTACGCGACTCGGGGTTCTACGGCTATTCCTCTATATGATCTTGTCATGATTGGGCTTCGGGATCTCATTAATAAACTCTCATTTGAAGTACTTACAGCAATGGATCTCATCTTACAGAAAGTAGATGTTGATTCGTCACCTACAGTAGATGAAGTATTTGTGCATGCATATTCTAGTACATCCGTATGAAGAGTGGTCTAGTTATGTCTGTTACTTCCTTCTTTCCTATTCTGAGTGCTTATGAAATCAGTCTCTCCTCTGTCTACTATTGTGCCGTCTGTTGTGTATTTTCGTGGGGAACAGGTTCGAACTCAAAGAAATACACGTGCTTCTTTTTCTAAGCTACAAGCTAACTTTATTCCGCATTACTTCTGTGGTTACCGCAATAATCCCGCAGTCTTCATTCCAATACCGCTATATATATTGTATGCATACAATGCACAATTTCCGCATAGCGATTCTACGCTTGCGCATAATACCAATACCTAATCATATGATAAACCCTTAATCGTTATCATTCCATACATATTATCGTTTAACAGTATCTATAGATACGAACCGAGTCAGTCAAACAGTGCTACCTTACTATACTAACATTAACCAAGTCTAAGATTCAGATATATGACACCGTCCTATGAAAGTTTCTTATCTCCTCATCTGATGATGTTTAGTATTGTGTACACGCGTTTATTGCTAGTAGATTATTTTATTGTGTACTGTTTATGATGTATGAGTTTGATTGCATAATATACGAATTTAAATTGTTGATTTAGTGGTTATGGGTTACTCAGATGTATATGTATACCTTGAGTCTGACAGAGCAATTTAACTGAATAACGCTACAATATTATAGTGCTTAGCAACAGCATTTTGAAATATTCAAACATGGGGACTCCGATCTTGTTAATTAGTAAATTAGTAACTTTAAATTATTAAAATATATAATACAGCACGTACATTGCACAGCCACTGTTAGGGTTAGGGTTATTGTACACGTATGCTAAAAAGAATCGAAAGCGACAGTGCCTAGCAGCGTTGAACAACATTTATATCGTAGAGGTATGGTATGGACTATTAGAAGAAAATCACTAATGGTCTATGATAGAGGTAACACAATTCAGACCCTTGTTTTACCTCTATGATGTATATCGTACAATTCATCGTACCATGAATACACCTGTCCGTGATACCTAACACCGTTACATTAGTGTAATAAGGTCGACTATCTCTTATTCTGCTCTACTGCTACAGCTCACAATAAAGTTAGTCCAACTGAGCAGAGATAAAAGTCTGCTTTATTACAGTTTATAAAAATTGTAGGCTCGCGATAGGCTAGTCTAAAAATGAGAAAATATGTTTACTTCAAACTCACTACAAGTAGTACTAGTGCTTGCGACGTATACACGGTTGAATGCTCTTGAAACGTATAAAAATTGAATGTAATGGGAAATATTTAGTAGTCTATGGTCTAAGATACTATCTTGATTTTGGCAGCTTGTAGTCCCGTCTTGCTGTAGTAAAGACATTGAGCTTATAAAAGATAAAGATTAACATGACGTCTGGCCGTCTTGCTGTAGTAAAAATATTGAGCATATGTAAGATTAACATGACGAATATCGTAATGTCATGGACTACTACTAGTAGAATTGAATAGTATTGTAATTCTTGCTTTAAATGTACTGTACTGTAGATCATTCATAAATGGGGATATAACGGTCAGTGATACTTTCATTATTTATGGACTTAAGAGTAAGTTTAACTTTCTAACTTTACCAGATCCAGATTTTTCAGAGTCTCTCCATCAACCTAATATATCATTCTATTATAGCTTTACTGTATTTTTAAAGAAAAATATTGTCCGAAAGTGACAAAATGTTACGGTACACACTGTAGTACTGTACTGTACATTTACAGTACTGTACACTACATACTGTACACTACACATTGTACTGTAGTACATTGCTCCAGTACTGTACAGTACAGTACAGTACAGTACAGTACAATATACTGTACTGTAGTTAAATTCGACAGGTCTGTAGTACTGTATGTAGCTTGATTTTGTCACTCGTGTTTACTGTGTACAGTACGTAGTACAAATGGTTTGATTTATCGCTGAAATATTAGGAATTGAATCGTTTATTTTAGGCTAAATGAAGATGCTTTCCGGCGGTCGTTCTAGGCTTCGATTTCCACAGAAATGCTTGATATTTATTGTGACCGGACTGGTATTTTACTATATCTTTATAAAACCAGAAACTACACATTTGCTTAACCAAGATCGACATAATTCTAATGAAATAGTTAATATTGATAAAAGAGATAATGGTGAAATTATTAAACTAAATCAATCCAAGACACAATTTCCTGACAGTGAAACTGAAAACAGAAAATTATTCATAAAAAAGGTTAGTGCATTTCTTTGAATTAGTTACTGGCAGTTCTAGACAGATTGACATAGTATTATACTTTAGCTATCGGTGCGTGGACATGAATTACTGTAGAAGAAGTCAGATGTTTAAAGTATTGTATCAGTAGATCAAATTCTGATATCAGCCTGTATCCATTTTTTACTGTACCTAAATTATATTTACTACTGTATTACCTACGGTATAGATTACTAATCTAATCGCTAAATCGTCAATATCCTTATTTACGCTTAAAGTATATAATATTACAATATCACCGTCTTTGCATTCAATCATTGATGTACTTTAGTACAATTTAGCACGATATTAAATAAAGATTATAATATTACGGGAAGCATCACTATTGGTGCTGTATTGCTGGATACTGTACGCTGTACACTGTACTGTACTTGTACCGTATATCAGTAATATAACCAGTATAAATACGATATGGAATAGATGATGAAATTTGCCTGGGACGGATACGTAAAGTATGCATGGGGCCAAAATGAGCTATCTCCTAACAGCTTGCGAGGTCATTTTGCAAACATCTTTGGATCTTATAATACTGGCGCAACGATTGTTGATGCTTTAGATACATTGTATATAATGGATATGAAAGAGGAATTTAAGATGGCTTCTGATTGGGTTAAGAACAAACTAGACTTTAATCAGGTATTGTACTTTAAAAGCAATAAATATTGTGGTAAAAGTACCAAGTCTCTCTGGCTCTATGTTAATAAATTATTTTACGTCTTTCGGATAAATCGCTTAATAATCCTCAGATGGGAAGTGCGTCGGTTTTTGAGACAAATATTCGTTTTCTGGGAGGCTTACTGAGCGCCTATGCTTTAACAAATGATGAGGTATTCTGGATAAAACTGTTTTTTATGATGATTAGTAGTATTGCACAGTATATGTTGCTAGCATGAACTCGCTATTTTATTGTTGTGACTTTAATTAATTAAGGCTAAATTACAAGATTTGAAATTTGCTTTAATCTGGTCCATTTGTATATAGCCTTTTACTGCACTTAACTGTGTTACAGGTTTTCAAAACCAAAGCTAAGGATTTAGGAGATAGATTAGCCAAGGCGTTTAACTCTAGGACTGGAATTCCTTATGGGCGAATCAATATTGGAAGGTTTAATATATATATAAATATATTTTATAAGACGTTACTTGCTGCACATTGTGCCATTTCTTTATCGTTAAGACGTTTGTTTAAATTGATTCCACAATTTTATACGGAGATTCTTAATGGTATACTATACAATTTAGTGGGGCTGCAAGTTCAGGATCATCAGCAGTGTTAGCAGAAATTGGAACTGTGCATTTGGAATTTGCTTATCTTACCCGAATAACAGGCGATAAATCATATTTAGATAAGGTATACCATGATACTGGCTAAAATTGCTGTATAAAATAATTACAAATGTTAGATTTTAAGAAACGTTTGCCTATCTACTAGTTTTTTAAATAAACATTAAAAATTTTTTCATTTAGGTCCAAAATTTGAGGAAGCATTTAAATAAAATTACGAAGCCTAATGGACTTTATCCAAATTATATAGATATTTCCAGTGGAAACTGGATCTCTCGTATGGGATTCTATTTGCAACTTACAATTTCGTTGGATTAAATTGTTATGATCCTTTATAAATTCTTGTAGTAATGGTAGGCTTTATAATACAGAATCAGTATCAATTGGCGCAATGGGGGATAGTTTTTATGAATATCTGATCAAGTCATGGTATTTATCTGGCGGCAAAGACAAGCTTGCTCGCAGTATGTTTGACGAAGCAATGAAAGTACGTTAATGTTTAAAGATACTGCGACTATTTAATATCGATTGTTAAGGAAAGTTTTGTGAAGGTCATGAGAAATTTACGCACTGTAATGATTTTTATGATGGGTTACGACATAGGATTAACTTCAGTAGACAATTTCCTTTCCAAGATTTTTAATATATTTAATGTCTTGTTATATTGTTTTAAGCATATTATAGCAAAATTGGTTAAAAAGTCGTGGTCTGGATTAACTTTTGTTGCTCAGTCTAATTATGGCTCGATAGAGAATCGAATGGAACACCTGGTAAGCCAAGATTTGTAAATATTACAATTCCGATGCAAAATCATCCAATAATGGCATTGCACTACCATGACTTTACTGCAATTCAGGCATGCTTCTCTGGGGGTATGTTTGCGCTTGGTGCGAAGGGTGCTCCTAAGAAAATGGCAGCGACATATTTGAATCTTGGACGGGAAATTGGAAATACGTGCCACGAATCATATATCAGAACTGGTATTAAATACTTCCTTTCGAATAATCTAATATAATGAAGCGTTGTAAAATATATAGAAACTTTAGTCTAGTTAGCAGTAGTACATACTACTGTCGTTGATATTTTCACTTATAACGAAATCCTTTTCTATTAGCAACCCATATCGGGCCTGAGGTATTTCGCTTCGGGCTCGGAAAGGATGCTCAGTCCTCCTACTCAGGTGAAATGCATTATATTTTACGACCTGAAGTTGTGGAAACTTATTTTGTATTATGGAGAATTACGCGTGATAAAAAGTATAGAGATTGGGGATGGGATGCTGCACAGGTACAACTATCTTTAGTAAAGTTATGTCGTACTCGTACCTTGGAATACCAGTTGATGCGAATTGAAAATAATATTAAAACTGTTTTTATTATGGCTAGAGTATCGAGAAGTATTGCAAATCTAAGGCTGGTTATAGTGGAATTTCAAATGTATACAGTAATTCCCCATCACAAGATGATGTACAGCAGAGTTTTTTTTTAGCAGAAACCTTGAAGTATTTGTACTTATTGTTTTCGGACAATGACGTTCTTCCTCTTGATAAATGGGTTTTCAATACGGAAGCTCATCCATTACCAGTAGAAATTTAGGGAGATCTGTATAGACTATCCTTTTACCCCTGCCTATCTTTTGCAGATACAACATAAACAATTTGATCATTTTTCTAACGCACCTGGATTTTAATATTTGGCGTTCTCCTAAAACTAAGCTACAGGCGCTATTTAACTTGAAATTATTTTTCACATACGCCGTCGTGTATTTTTAATGGTATAAGACGAGATTGGATCGATTGATATTCAGGAATATTTTATGTTGTCTACAAAGATGTTTGAAGAATGTGGTAATTTCGATTGGATACTTAAAGAAGTTGAATGCAAAGTGATCTAGATATTGGATTGCTTAAAATAATTCGTATATATTATGTTTGCAATTTCGTATTGATTTTTATCATATGCTCGTCTAAATGCAGTTTTATCAAGGTTCAGAATGACCACGAATTATGATGTAGTTATTGTAGAAATTTTTTAATAAACAGACGTTTGTTTCTGAATTTAGAATCTAGAGTCTGTCTTCTAAGCGGTTTAGTTTAAAAAACTCCCTGGTTAATTGCTATATTAAGTTGTATTGTAAATTATATTAGTCTTTTAAGAAATAGTCTCTGTAGACTATTGAAACTTTGCAATAAAACTATATCGACATTCTATACTTTGTAGCCTTTAAATTGTTTGTCAGTTATTTTATGCTATGATTTAGGGATGTTTTTGTTATGCACATGTTTTATATGATTAAGTAGACTGCTAAAGCAGCTACAAACTGAATATCTATAAATTTTACGTTGAATTAAGATGAAATATGATGAGAAGTAATCTTGGTTAGTAAGTTATCAAGACTCCGTAATGAAATAGATACAGGATGTTTGTTAGTACGACGATTAACTTTTACTTTAGTTAGCTAATTTTATACATCGCAGCTATCGTTAGTTGGCTACCGATTATCGGGAATATTAGAATTATTTTTATCATTATAAATACTTCGAATATCCTGTAAGACAATTTATATAACATAACAAGACTTAGCACGTAAGAAATTTAATTAGAGTCGTTAAGTCTGTTCGAAGTATCAACACATTAGATAAAAAGTTCAATTTCTGATATCTGCTAGTCGACACTAAGGTGCCTTTCTTCGAAGTGATTTTACATACGTATATATTTTTATTGTGTCCAGAATTCTGGACTGCATCAAACTTCATAATTGAAATTTTAAACTGATAGTTAAATGAATGCTATTCTATGAGTCTACAGTAGTGTGAAGGATTCTGCAAAGAAATCTTTTGGATATTGATTTAATATTTGAAAAAGCTTAAGTTTTGCTTACATGCTGTAAGAGTTTTTAAAGCGAATAATCTTATTCTTTGTTTAGCAACCGATCTAGTACAAACTGTCAGTAGTCATCTAATAAGAATAGTAAATGAGTTTATCAATAAATAAATATGCGTATATTGGACATTTATATTTAAATACATGTATCGACGGTTCTAAGGTTGGTAGATCGTTAAACTCGAAAAGTTAATGTGTTTGGAAACTACCGTCTAATTATCTCGCCTTTAAAAACATAGTGATACTCGCATATCCAAAAAATGTAGGCAAGGTAAATGCAGGAAAAATCTAAATGTTAGCATTCAAATCGCTTTAAAGGAACAGTCATTTACATCTATAATCGTTATGCTATGAGCTAACATGTAGGTTAAGCATTGTACGTGCGGTATCGTAGGTATATCAGGAATTTATTGGAGAAGTATAATTTTTATTGGATTGTTTAATTGCTTGCGATATATAATATCAATAGAGAATTTATAGGGCAATGAAACATCATATCGCGGAAAGGATAGCTTTGTAAAGAAAATGTTATTCTAGGAACTAAAATCATAAAAGAGTAACAAAATATCAAATCGGCTATGACGGGTAACTTAAATAAAATATTGTCCTCATTTGTTGGAAACAATTTCATCCAATTTCTTCGCAACTACGCCTGGAAGTGGGCGATGCTCTTGTTTTTCTGACCAACAGAGCGTCATAAGATTCCAGCAATCATCACTAAAGAACTGTAACTTTTCAGGACGACCACCAGATGCAACAAATCGCCATAAGTCCGTTTTCCTTTTGAAGTTGTTGTATGCATCAGGTAGAGTTACCTTACCAGCACATAGGTACCTAAAATCAAATGGATAAAATAAATGCGAGCTGTTATTTGGTAAATCTTCAAGACCTAATGTGGACTCTTAATCTTTACGTAATCAGAAATAAATACCAGAATAAGATACCAAACGCATATATGTCGACACTACTTTCATATTTTCCATCAAATACTTCCGGAGCCATATGAATAGGGGTACCAACTATACTGCCATTTATCATGGATTCAGGTTTGCAAAATCCTAGATCGCTAATTTTAGCTCTGTTCGATTTATCTAGCTATGTAAAAGTTAATATAAATTTCATTTACTTCAAATTTTAGCAAATATCTACTAAGTGCGCTCCGCAACACATTATTGAATGAAGGAATCCATCGGCTCACCAAAACATTTTTTAATTTTATATCACGATGAATTAATCCTTGGCTATGAAGAAATCGAATACCACTAATTACATCAACAGCTACCTATACCAAATATAAAATATTACATTGAGACGCTAAGACATCAGGTAAAAATCGTCAATTAGGTAAGTATAGTTGAATACTACCATAAATTACCTGCAAACGTTGATCTATTGTCAATCCTCGCCTTATTCCGCTATGTAAATCTCGATGCAATCTTTCAATTACTAAACATACAGCAACCTTGTGGGAGCTATATGAGCCATCAATAACAGAACCATAGAAGCTCACTATTCTTTCGTGATGTGGTAGATTTCTAAATAAGTACGATTAAAGAATGTGCCAAAATGTCCAATTCAATTTATAAGTCTGGAGTATATGTATGTAAAAGTAAATAAGATTATCGTTAGCTTGGAACCTTGCATAGTGAAATTCCAAGGCTAAATCATTGAAGTGTCTGTCATCTGGGGGTACTACGGACTTCAAACAGCATCGTGCATGACCAGCCCATGATCCTTGTACGGCATATACAACTCCATATTGTCCTCTACCTAATTCTCTACCACGCTGCGGAATCCCGTACTTACACAGATGGTATAAGGAAGTGCTAGTCAAAGAAAGACGCGCTAGCGTAGGCGCATAATAGGTCCGAACCTAAAATTAAATCGATAGTAATGCTATAACGTGGACCTTTTAGTAATACGTTACATGGTATGTGTAACAAATGTAATCTTGACGTTATGTTTACGTTGGAAGTGATGTTAGTAGCGAAACAAACAACGGGCATGGCAAAGGATAATAAAAACGAAAAAAGTTAGGTTTTACCATTACCTCGGATAATCTTTCCTCGGTGGTAGTTATTCTGGTTCTGTGCCGATTTTCCAACATAGTTAACGCGGCGGTGAAAGTCTCATGCGATTTCTTAATTCTTTGCTTTAAATGGTTGGAAGCTTGTTTGGTGAATTGCGATATATTGATTGATTGTAAGGCTTCTAACGCAATGTTACTTTTCCATTTCTTATCAATTACCGGTAAATCACCTCTTCTGATAGACTTAAAAGTAGATTTGATTTCATCCAATACGACTTTAATAATGGATGTAGTATGGGATACCGGCATGTCGACCTGAATAATAGATAAAAGATAGCGCAGATATATTGCAGCATCCTTTATCTACGTAAGCGAGAAATCTCGCGCTTTTTAAAACTGTACCTCTTTACCTCATATGCTACATCCAAGAATTCCTTTAGTGCTCGGCTAGCTCGGATTACTTCATGGTCTGCAGGTTGATTATTATTATTTACTTCTAAGTGTTCTACGCAACGTTTTAATGTTCCAGTAAAAGATTCTTGCAGTAGTTTGATTGATGCTACAATTTTTGAGGATATTTTCTTATAAAGCTCATCATATACAATCCTGCCATTGAATAATCGTAATGAAATATAGATAGAATCTTAAGAAAGACAGTTTAATTGACATATGACCGAAGATTGAAGTTTGAGTGACGTTAGAATGTAAGTATAAACCTAAGATGTTTCATAATAAAACCAGTTGCCACTCACTTTTCCACAAACTTTGTTATATGTTGTAATTGCACCCAAGTCTTTGGTTTATTATCTTTATTAAGGAAATCGTTGGGTATTTCTACATTGATGACTTTTTCAACTATACTACTAGACCATCCTTGTACAGCTTCGTTTATGGCTTCATTAAACTCCTGCAAAAACAGTGAAATTGTGCTGTGCATTGTTTCGATATTTTATAACTACTATATTATTATTTTAAATTATCAAATTAATGTATTAATCGTTCTCTTCGTCTAATTTATGTCATACCTTCTCCTTTTCACTAGTTATTTCGAGTAAACAACTATATAATTTTCTTTCGTGGTCTTTTACATAACGTACTCTCTTGGGAGTAATTTTCATATAACGTGACATATCTAACGTGTAAACATGCAGCATCTTCAGGTATCTTGTGCTAGTTAGATTTAGTAATGCCGTCAAGTTGCTTAGATTCCAGTGTAACACTTTGTAACTGAACACTGCTAATTTAAATAAAAAATCTGATGATGAGGCAACAGTAACACAAATTTGGTTGCTTGAGAATTCGGATAATGGAACGACATCTTCTGTAAAATACAATTTCGTTATTTACTGCACTTTGATAAAATTATAATTATTTAATACTATTTATGATTTCGGTAATTATTATCTCGATATCGGTAAGCTATTGACTAGTTTTTAAATCTGCAAAGATATATATTGCAAACAAGGTACTGTAATCAATTTAGCTTTTATTCATAGTGACGCGGTGAACGTAATTAATACGAATATCACGCAGGCGTTTCAAAATTTATTTTACCCTACCTATTATACAGTAGTCTTCCGATAGTAATGTGAATCCCATTTGAGTTAATTGATGGCGTATTTCATCGAGATTATGAGTACCATTTGGTGAAAGACTGTTGTTACAGAAAGGCACCTTATGAGATGAAATGGAAAAACTGTCAACGGTTTCGAGGATGTAATCATCGTCGTTAATATATTCGTCGTCTTCAAAAATATCATTAAAATCTTCGCGGCAGATGACTAGTAAAATTGGCCAGTCGTCGGCTGCTTCCTTAAGTAACTTGATCTTTTTCTCATCCTGTTGTATAATAGCGAAATAAAAGTTACTAGTTACATAAATTGTGGAACTGGAATGGTAAATTACTCATATGAAGCTATAAACTAGAATACAGTAATAGTTAATAACTGTATACTAATTATAATTGCGTCTGGTTGTGTAAACGGTTAATATCCTCAAAATAGTCGTAAAATGTAATGCTGTTATCTGACATATCGATATCTATTTAATGGTGAGATTTGTCGCAGTTGCCCTAACCAGGGACTCTAGGAGTCTGCCTAACCCTGACCCCAGTGACGCCTTAGGTTAAGGGCATAGTCGTATACGAAAAAATGACGATAGGTGAATTATAATTATATAATCATACTGCTGCTTTATACTATACTATAATAAATAAAGGTAGTAAAAGTACAATAAAGTTTATGCAAACTGAAATATCCTACTCTGTAAACAAGTGCTGTATGCAAAGTATCAAAAGCATGGGTTCGGCATGTAACAATAACAATTAGCATGACCTTATACTGCACCAATAGTGTACCATTTTAAAGCTAGTAATCTCTGGTTATTATTGCAAGAATGATTCTAGTCAAAATAATATATAACAAGGTAACGATGAGCTACCAGTTAACTATTTATTTCTTAATTATAATTATACATTGGGTTACAATATCATCCAATGGTTATTAAACGGCAATGTCATTACTGATGATTTAATGATTAGAGAATAGTTCATCGATAATATAGCATACCACCTATACTGGTAGCAGTGTTAATGTCATTGGAACGATACGCTACCAAAAGTATGATAATAACATGTAGGCAAATCAAAAAGTACCTCCATAGATGCAATGAATTACGGTAACAGCTGTATTGATAATTTAGCAACTGTAAAGTTAACGTATATTTATCCAACAGAAGGCTTAACGATACATCTGAGGTTTTTAGAATCCTTTAAATGCCAAGACAAATATGATCTAACTGTAAATAGCTGAAAATTTCATTTATTATAGTTCCGCATACAGCTTTATAGGGCATAACTGTAAATAATTTAATTTATAGTCTTATACGATTTTATAGGGTGTATTGAATGGTGTCGTTAATAAAGAACGGCGAAGCATACTCATATCAGTTATTGTACAAATTTGAGGAAGGCTGCTAACGTACAGGATTATTGCAATGATAATGCTTAAATGAGTTTATTTGTAGCGTATACTGTAATTCCAAACTATGATTGACTGTTTTTAATTTTGAAACCCTTATTATAGGTACTACACAGTTAAAATGCTTATGTAATGAAGGTAACAATTAGTCATAATTAGTTATCATGAATGTCTACTACCCTAGGCAATCAAATTTATGTTGTAATCTGAGCGTATTGCATATGTCTGTCAGAAACATATCGTTACTATCTTACGCTAGAATTCTCCGATGCACCGATGTACGGTATTTGGACACTTTTAGATTGTTCGGATCAGATCACGTAGCAATTAGCAATGTTGTGAAATCATCATTTCTAGTATTAAGCTTGAGTAGATAATTTATTTTATAATAATACTGATGGCTAAAAGTTTCAGCGTCTTGGTTTAAAGTAAACGAGCAACAGCACAATACCATAGTGAAAATTTTATTGTATGTGTCAAGTAATCAAAGTGAAAGAAATACCCGTATTGAATACGTATAGGCGTTATTTGTTGGAATATGGTTACACCTTAATTCGGTATACGCTTATGTACGCGTATTTTCGCTATGGGTAGAGGAAAATAAAAGTTCTATAATAAATACTAATATAAACTACAATGATTTAAAAGATTGATGTTATTTAATTATACAGTATAATTTGTGGTGTAATACTGGTGTAATTAAAAATGTAAATTCAGTCTTTAGCCGTAATAAGCACTAGTGCGGTTTATTGTATTTGTTTCCGGTACTGTACCTTTTCTGTAATGATTGCTTTTTCGAGTAAGTAAACATAAATTGGCAATCCTTCGCTCGCTAGTTGCTTCATAGAGATTTGATTTTCATTCTTCAAGGGGTAAGTTGCACTACAGCAAATCTGAACACCTCTTTTTAATAGCTTATTGCGACAATCAATGCACAAAATTCTATCGACCGGAGTAGTATCGTTTGCAGTTTCTTCAGGGCTGATTTGAAGATCAGCAGGTGCGATATTATCATTGCTTAAAACAGTCACATCGGTTGAACAAGCTTGAAACGATTCACAATTTGCATCTGTTCGGCTATCCCCGGTCGCTGAATTAGTGGTTGCGTGATGACCATATTTAATATTAATCGACTTCCATCCTAGTGCTTTGGTGCGTTCATCAGTACTACTCTTTACGTGCGAAAATTTTTCAATCATGTTATCATGTACGTCTGGAATCAAATGATAGCCGAGTATGAAGTTAGCCATTGAGTATTTGATTTTAGCTGAAAGTCCATCTAAGACAAATTTCGGGATTTTGTATAGTTGGTTTTGTAATTCTTCCTTTTCTTTCATTTTCATAAAGCCTCCCAAAATATCTTTAAATACGGGATCGAAGTGTTTACCATAATCTTCAAGTTTTTCAAAAATCTTCACGGTGTCAATGTAGGTTTTTCTAAGTAATGATAAATTGGTGTTGTAATCAGTAATAGCCTCGCAAAGTTTATGTCTTTGATGAGGCATACTGAGGAGTGATTCATCAATGCAACTGAACGAATACCGTTTAAGTTTACAATGCTGTAGCAACAGTACTTTTGACAGAGGTCATTACTTTACCGTACTAATATTACCGCACAACAACCAAAATACAATTCGAAATATGAAATTAAGGATAATCTATTTGAATAAAATGTAATTACTGTAAATTGTCTTCGTCTCAATTTTATGTTACAACAGTAGTATCTCTTCACAAGATACACGATAAGTAAAATTGAATAATTTAATTTAATTAATTTAATTAATTAATTGAAATACAGTAATAAACTACTGTACTGTACTGTACACTGTGTACAGTACTGTATCTGTTGATTTTAGATTACTGATACTACTGTACAGTACAGTAAGTTAAGTACTGTGCAGCACTACAGCATCAGCAACATTGCGGAGACAATATTGCGATGAGCGCATTGCGTTCAGGTTATTTATTCATTATTTACTTATTATTTATTTATTTATGTTTATATTCTCTCCCTTTTCTTTAGAAGTCTCTGATGATAATATTGTCGTGATCCCTAAAAATTAAATTCCTATGGATTAGCACACTTAACTAGTTCACGGCTTATTGCAATTTGCAGCAAACATGGGGGTCAACAGCAGTACAGCACCCTGCAACGGGTTCGTTATTTCCACTCAACGATAATACAGTATTTTCATTCTTCGTAACCGTACGTACTCGTACATACAGTACTGTACAGTAGTATCACTAGTGTGGTAATTGTCACTAAGTTAATCTTTATTATTAGTGATTAATTTTTTTCATTTGCGGTTAATTGGTCACAATTAGTCATAATCACCATAACTGTACTGTACTGTACCGTGTGGCCTGTGTATAAATATGAGACCTGACTGTACTGTATAGTACTGTATTCATATTCACAAATAGCCCACAGTACAGTACAGTACATTGTACAGTGTACACCCGCACAGTACTGTACAGTATATTGTGTTATGGTATTACTGTATGTATTGTGTGCGTACAGTACAGTATAGTGTTTCTATTAGTTTTTAGGTCTAATTTACGCTTCTTCCTCCTTGTACATAAATTTCGTCGTAAAAGCAAAAATCGACATGCACATTGGCAGTGGCTGTGCAGTAAGTTAGGATTGTCGGTCACTAAATATCAGCGTGGAAATCTACTGTACTGTACTGTATAATGCCTATAAGAACAGCAAACAATACCTGCGGTTATCACCTAAAATCTAACACTAAGCACGGGGAGAATAGGATCTGAACCAGTAGATATACTGTACTGTACATTTAGTGTACAATAGGAACATTTAATAAAATTAGTTAATGATAGCTCGTAACTGGTCATGCGAATTCATAGAAGTGAATATAGTCTTGCTTGCTTATCTCGTATTAGTATGAGGCAGTTCTGTAGGATTGTACGGGAATTCATAATAAGTTGCAATAATTATAATTATAGTTAAAAATTGAACTTATAATATTTATATCATGTAGAATTGAATCAGGAGTTATTATTACCAGTATGGTCAAAACCCGAGAGTACTGTACACTTGTACAGTGTACATACGGTACAGTTCAGTATAATCCTACACTAGTGCGAGTTATCACAGGTTACTACATCTAAAGAGTATAAATCTTTTACTCTTTAGTATGATAATGGCGATAGTAGTGATTATATTTTATACTTGATTTGAAATGTTTATACAGTACGTAAAAAGGCGGTTAGAGTACTGTACAGTACAGTACAGTATAAGGTGTAGAATTTCTTTCTAGATAAATCAGTGAATATTTTTATGATTTATTTTCGAATAAAACCCATAAAACTGTATATCTGCTATATTAAATTTAAATAGAATCGACCAAGTTTTGATCATTTTATCTGTTTTTTTTAAATCTAGATCGAATTTCTACACCCTGTACAGTGTACAGTACCTATAAGTACTGTATAGTGTACAGTACTGTACAGTACACATATACGTATTTACATTGTCTAAAAGTACAGTACAGTATTCGCATAAATTTACGGTATTTGATGAGATTGCAAAAGAGGTTACCATTAATATCCATTTAGTTATTTATTTATATATTCGGTACAGTACAGTACAGTACTGTACACATAAATTTTGTTTATTGATGTGCTGTACTGTACTGTACTATACGCTCTGCAGTAAAATCAGTACAGTACTATAAATAAATGAATACAAGTTACGTACTGTACTGTACACTTGTACAGTATACTGTACGTAACTTGTATTCATTTATTTATTTACTTAATCAAGCACATCCATCAGGATACTGTACTAATACGCATACAGTACTGATGGCTGTAGTAAGTACGGTCAATGACTACTAAATCTTACCATACTGTATAAGATTTAATAGTCCATGGTACCGTACACTGTACAGCCCAGTATCAACACTGGTACAGACACACAATGCGGGACGGGGCTGAAAGTTTTTTTCGTTTATAGTCCCTGGTACAGTACAGTATGGTCTCTGTATCGAGAATGCCCATTTTTCATTTGCATATTCGTCCGCTATTATACTGTACAGTACAGTATACAGTAATGCCCCGAATTAGGGCATTAGAGATTGCAATGAACGGTTTTGTAGTAGTTTACTGCAATTTATGATATTTTGATAGTTATACGGTAAGCAGATAGCACGATACAGCACAAATACTTACAGATTGCGTCAGCATTATAGAGCAGTGATGTCCCCCTCTATTATCGTGAGTACTGTATTAAAACGATCCTGTCATATGCTTGATCAATTAGCTAGGACTAATTTTCTCTTGACGCTAATACAAATTGACGTAAACAGCTACTGCGCAGTACACTACATACTATACAGTACTGTACTGTATTGTTATATCGGATCGCGCGCTTCTTTTGCCGTACAGTACTGTACAGTACATGTACTGTATTGTACTTACAGTACAGTACTATACAGAGAGCGTGTAGAAATTTAACTCAGATTTTTCAAAGTGAAATAAAAATGGCAAAAGTTCGTGGATTTTATTTAATTTTTTTATTGTACAAAGTACGGTCAGGGATTACTAAGAAGAAAGAGAGGGACCGATAACGGTCGTTCAGTATATTAAAAATGAGTGGTCTGACTATTTTGCTGGTCATCTCAGCTGAACCGTATGTCTGGAACCATACACTATACTGTACTGTACTATCCAAGATTTTCGTCCAAATTAGCCGCTTGGTTGGTTTTGTACTGTATATATTGTACAGTGTTAGTATACGGTTTCGGTAGTAGAGTACTGTACTGTATACTGTATAGTACTGTACAGTACAGTACAGTATATTAGAATGATCAGAAAAATGATAAGCTCACTATTATTTTGCACTGAATGGTCGCTAGACCTGACAAAGGTTCGGTTCGGTTCAAACCGTTATGATCTATATTGGTCGCTACCGCGTCCCTCTCTCTTTCTACACTGTCGTAGTCCCTGGTACGGTGCTTTTATTTACGCGTGGTACAGTACTGTACTGTACACTGTACAGTTAAATAAAGCTATTGTTCACAATGAGTACTGTACTGTACAGTACAGTACAGTAATAAGGTACAGTAGTGCGGAACGTTGTGTACTGTACAGTATTGTACGATGATTTTTGTTTTTCATTCTCAATTTTGACTGGCTAGTATGCTTGCGGATCAAACTCAGAGAGACGCTATTGGTTGACAATGCTTATGTGAGCACGCGCACAACACCATCTGTTCAGCTATTGTAGTTTACAGTTTGTATTTTTCAGTGAAAAGTCTTTTTTGATTGTGATCTAAAAGATCTATATAGCGTACCTCTAATATTTCTGTCAATTGGTATACGCTATTATACAGTAAGTTCCTTATAGCGGTTTTTTCTGTCATAAACGCGCGCGTTCTTATTAGTCCTCGTTTTTTTCTAAGCACACTATCGAATTTTCAGGAAAAGGTCTTGTATAGGATATCTTATTTAAAGATTTTCCATAAATATATTTGAAAGCTTTCTTGTGCAGTTAGAGTGGTTGCTGTATTCTTGCAATTCAATTAAAATGGGTGGTAAGTGAGCAATAATTGTAAGAAAAAATGCTTAAAAATTTTTGTTAATGGACTGGTACTACAGTATACTGCATTTCGTTAAGCTGACTTGGTATGAAAACCATATACGGTATTGGATACTGACTTCCGTACTTCATAAAGTTCTCAGTATTCGTTGTACCGTAATAGGCTCCACTATAAAAATTAGTTAAGTAGTTCTTGGTTTGCAAAAAATTTGTAAATTGTTAGCTGGATGATTATGATAGGTTCGCATGCATAATTTTTTTTTTATCATGCAATGGGTAGTTTAAGGCATTTTTTCAGCAGACTGCCCGTCACCGCTGTAAAGTACGGCTTCTGCCGCGGTAAAATTTCCGCCGTTCACTTCTACTAGCAGTTCACTAAATGTAGAAATTCATAATATAACAACAGTTCATAGTTTTTATATTAATTTTACCCGTAAAGAAGTTGTATAGTATACTGTACTGTCACACAGTAACACCGTTGTAAAGAGTTTTGTATAAATTTTGAGTTTTTCAATATTTTCTATTTGGCGGGCTTGCTAATTCTTTGTCTAGTGCAGACGTTTACTCGAGAATTTTATGTTAGATAATACATACTAGTACATTGTAGTTCGAAGTTTTTAAGTTAATAAAACCGTTGCTAGCTATATTTTTCTAGCACTTGATTTGATAAGTAGCTATGTAGGAGTTGGAGCTCTTTAGTTAAATTTAGTGTAATGGTTATTCGAATCTCGCCATTAGGTTTTTCAATTAAATTTATTTATTGTACGTGTATTTGCGTTGAGACAAGATGAAGGCTCTAATGTAAAATGTTTCTTTTATTACATTGTCGTGATCGTTTAAAATTAGCATCAAAAGTATTTATTCTGATCCTAGTTGAGATAGCTGGTTTGAATGAAACTAGACAGAGTTATATTCTCGTGTCTACATTCTCCGCAGATTCACTAGCTGTTGGATTTGTGTCGACATAAATTAACTGAAAATACAATCGAATGATTTTAAAATGTCAAAATTAGCGGTTTTACTGCTGTAGAGATCTGTAATGCGACAAAAAGCATGAGCTACGAAAGTTAATTTGCGCACCTGCGATCTTAAGTCAAGATCCCGGATCAATTTTTGTTTGACTATAATTCACAATTCGTACTACTGCATTAATGAAATCTGTTATTACCTTCCTTACGAATTGTGCGAAAGCTTTCACTAAATGACTATTAACAATAGTTTTATTTGGACAAAACTCTTAAATTGATTATATTTCCAAATTTTAGATGCCAGAGGTAGAAAACGTGCAGCTGAAGCACCTTCGAAATCTTCTAAGAAAGCCAAAGATGCTGGCGCCAAAGGAAAGCGCGGCAAGAAGCGTAAGCAGATGAAAACATTTGGCGTAAAGAAACCTAAATCTGCGTACATCTTTTTCACGACTTCGTTGAGACAACGTTTGAAGAAAAGTGGTCGTGAAATGCCTAAGGTAATTTATACAAGAATAGTAAGTTAACTGGATTGGATTTTAAAGATAAATTTTATTATAGGCTCATGAAATCGCAAAGATGTGTGGAAGTGAATGGAGGGCTATGACGGCTTCTCAAAAAAAGCCTTACGACGAATTAGCTGCGAGAGACAAACAAAGATATATGGAGGAGGTATTGTAACGTTCTCGTTTTTTGGGACTGTCTAGCTGTTCCAGGATGAGTAGATATAATACCCTTATATTCTTTCTCATCAAATAGATTAGTAAATTCAGAAAGAAGGCTGATCCGGATAAGCCAAAAAGGCCTCAAACTGCTTATTTTTATTTCTTGGCTGAATTTCGTAAAGCTATGAAAGCTAAAGGTGTAATTGAGGGTAAGAAATTAACCTCGCTTTCTGGAGAAAAATGGAGGGCTATGACTCCTGCCGAGAAAGCTAAATATGAAGCTATGGTAACGAAAGACAAAGAGCGCTATCAACGAGAAATGGATGCTTATCGTAAAAAAAAGGTGCTCAGCGACTAAATACAAATTTAATATTTTTATAAAGTTCAGTCTGATCAGTATGTGATTCAATTTGAAGGGAATTAAAGATGGGGAAGCAAGTAAACCAGTAAAAGTAAAACAAGTAGAAGAAGAAGAAGAAGAAGAAGAGGAAGAAGAAGAAGAAGAAGAAGAAGACGAAGAAGAGGATGATGATGAAGATGACGACGAATAAATAGAAATTCTAGTTGTACTGTAGTTGCTATTTGTAGTAGGTAACATCTCAATCATAATTATATCCTGCAGCCGAAACATTCCACTTTGGTCTAAACCTTGTAATTACGTAATTATACAGTATTGCACCTTTATATGTAGGTAATAGTTGGCTGCTAAAAGGCATATTACCGAAATTTCTTTTAGTACGATATTAACAACTGGCACTACCGTATACTGTGTCAGCTTTATAGTAATTTTGTAGCGTTTTTACCTTCTTGGCCTGCTAATTGTTCCTTGTAATTGTTGCTTAAAAACAATGATGCCATTATTGTGCCCATAACGTAGCACTTAAATAAGCTTCTTAAGAACATCGCTCTTGTTAGTAATCCAAGTAAATTTACAAAATTTATGTTTATGTTTCGTTGTTAAAAGAGATGTCGCTCCTAATGTTGTAGCATTCCCATTCCTATTTACTACATAATTATCAATAAGATTACATTATTATGTCAATGAATTCACGATTGGCTATATAATCATCTTTAGTTAACACTGTCGAAGCTTTCAGATATTATCATGTATTAGCGTGCTTCGCTTTTGTACCGAATTTAATCTTTAAACTTTAATGATATTTTACTGTTTAACTCTTCCCTGCTGACATTACATTATTGTATCGAAACGTATAGCATGTAGTAATTGTAGTGCCATAATGATTCAGTAATAAATCCAGCTACATCGACCAAACGTGAAACACTTGTTAAATACGATTTGATTTGTGTGGTGCAAATTTTAGAACCGCGTGGCCTAAATGGATTAACGCTGTACGATCATTATTCATTTATTTAGTGTAGTATGCAAGGTTCTTACTATTACCAATTCATACTAGTCGCTCCAGTAATAAGCACAATAAAATTGCAGTTTAATTTGCAGTAGAGGATTTCAAATTATCGATAAGTAAAGGCTACTGGGGATACCGCATAAATTATGTATGGATATACGAGGGATTCGTACTAAACGTGCACGTATTTATATAAAAGTAGAAATTACCTGGTTTGATATGACAAATACACGGAATCGAAGACTTTAAAACCTATCTAATAAGGGATACACGATAGTTAATTTTACCGCAGACAAGAGTTGTGAAGTAAGCTCATGAGTTACACAGATTCGAATGAGTTTCTGGTAAACTTGTGCAATTATACGTACGTGTTTGTCAGTAATGCCGTGTTTTGAACTAGAGTACTTTGGGATAAACAGGAATGATTTTAAAGGAGTTTATGGAAGTTTATTTCGCGCACCAGCGTGTCATCCGATAATTTTGCTTAGGTTTACCCTTCAACTAGATGCTATAATACTGAAGTTCAGTCAACATCAACTGTAAATCCTGAGGAACTGTACTGTATATTCCTGCATTATTGCATTTAAGTAGTTTAATCGCTCTAATACTCCTATATAGCCTGGGACTATTCGGATTATATTTTAAATTACGTATATAACTTATATCATGATTATAACTATTGTATATTTAAAATTAAAAGGCAAAATCTCATATGCTTGCATTTTAAACTGCCTCGTTAGGTAGTATAATTGTGAAAATCCTAGTTATTCAAAAGTTGCCTTTCTATGTATAATATGCGTGATAAACAATCAATTTTCCGTGAAGGCAAATACGTTTACCTTTGCCTTCAATACTATTTATGGCTGTTAAGGAACGCAAATTTCTGTATAAAGTAGAATGGATACCAATATTAGATAAGGCTATAGGAATACGCATACTGTATAGTAAAATATAAAACACATTCAGTTTGAATTTCTCAACTTACAATTGAGAATTTTCCAGCGTTTGTTTAATCGTTTGACCCTATTGGTAAGAGTACGCCTTATAATTATAATAGGTGGGTTATCATACAGCTGTTTTATAATCCAAATGTGAGGGTTGGTACTGTACTATAAGTTACTAGTCTCCATCAGTACTCAAGATATGATGTTTAAAGTTGTACAGATTCACTCACACAGTAAGTAAACTCACTGATCTAGTAACTTCTTTTAAGATTCGCTAATAATAGTGGGAAAGCTTCTTCTAAGATTTGAATTTTTAATTGGTTTAAGTGTATCCATTTTGAAATATACAATTAAATGGTAACTATGTACGACACGGTAACAGTGTGTTACTAAATGTAATAATAAAAAACTAATACTGTTTCATGATTTATTAGTTGGCTTAAAAATGATATTTTTTGCGTATTAGAGTCCTGATTGCATGTAATTAGTTAAGACATTTTCGAAGCTTCAACCATCAAACCACACGCCGTCTTGTGCTGTTGCCAATGCTTTACTTGGCATTTCCTACGAAAAGAGTAAATTTATCACAATAGCGTAGAAGATATCTCACAAATCTAGGGTGTAACGCATATAAAGTACTTAACAAATACCATTTAATTAACGTTGACGTAATTATTAAGCAGATTGTACTGTAAGTTTTAAAATTTATATCTGTCGGTGCTGCATTTCGCAGATTAAAGCTTTACTGTAAGATACCTGCTGCAATACCATTCACAGTGACACCTGGAGCAACGTTTCGTCGCAAGATTCAGACACAAAGCACATTTTGGAGGGGCTGTTGTTAAAGATTCCAAAATATCTAAGTTATAGTTGTTTAACCACCTAAGTACAATAGTAAATACTTTATTCGCATCATATTACCCCATGTTATAATGATTAGTACAAATTATGAGTTATTCACTAAGTTTGAAATACGTGTGTACACTGTACAGTAGTTATTATTTACTGAGTTGCTACGGCTTTTAATTCATCGTTCGACGGCGAGAAAGTTGCTTGGTGCTTCTTGATAATATATTCCCATTTTCCGTCGTATTTTAATAGCAGTTTGTGGCGAATTTCCGGAATCTAAATGAATTAAATTGATAAACATATTTTTAGCCTTCATTTTCTGAAGTTTCTATAATGGGTGTTTAAGTTGATCACATTATACTCCTGCCAACCCTTCTCAGTCCTTCAATTACCTGCTCTAAAATGAGGTCTGCTTTTACATCTGGTGGGTCAACAAGAGCTAGTTGCTCGAGATATTGCCGTAGATCGATCAAATTAGGTATCTGGTCTATGATAACTTCTGATAAATGACTTCTCAGCTGATGTTAAGGAAAAGATATAATTCCTCATCACTTAAGCTGGCATGCTCATGAAAGTCCAGCAAAAGTTATTAATACCACTGTATGTTTAGATATAAAATTGATATGGAATGGCCTCATGCTACCTTTAAAATTTGATTCTTATTGAACGAATTCATCTTGTACATTACTCGAAAGTCATCATTCATTAATAATTGATAAATTGCTATCCATATCTATAAATATACAATAGAGTGTTAACAATTTTCTCTATATTTGCATTTTGACTCTAATTATTTCAAAGTAAGGTACGGATACTCTTCAGCTATTCTAGAAAGTAGCGATGGGACATGGCCAGCTACTAAACTTACTTGACCCTCGATTTTAGATAACTTCAAATGTTCATCTGGAGCAACTTTCTGCCACTTCGAATCAATATATTTTTCCATATCACCTTGAATAGTATTAAATTTTTACATTATTTTCAACATTATTTGATAGATTACGTATTTTACAGTATTAAAATGTACAACTAGAAGAAAAAAGTGTAGATTATTTGATACCATTCTTTGTAGTCCTAATCCACGGAGAGTTATCTATAAGTCTAGCCATAACGCATACCATATCTGATAGATTGTACTTTACAATTAGTAGGAAGAACATATCTTATCAAAACTATACTGCAATATTTTAGTATCAAAATAAATTTTAAATAATGACGTCGCTATGTTACGCTTTACCATGGGTGTTGATGATCCTTGTTATAATACTTAATGATAAGCTAAACATTTAAAGCAGAAGATTTGTCTGTCTTGAATATTTGGTAGTCAAATATACGTGAAAACTTAATTAAAATATCTTATAGCAGTATACCCCTTCATATGGTCTATGGCATAACGTACTATTGATACCGTCCTGGCAGCGATGTCAAATTCTATTTGAAGGCTTTGGTATTTCAGATTCTAAAGTAATATTTTTAGAATTATGAATTTGCTTAATTAATTTTCTAAGTGATGGCTATTATAAAATATCCGCTGCGATATGAGTATATTCTCATCATGATTTCCGCAGTAAATATTAGTTCGTAAATTGTTCGTCATTATTTATCTGAAGATTGTTCATACCTGCTCTTCAGATACTATACCAGGATACCAATCCGTTTTAGATTCTTGCCTAATGAATTAAACTTAAGCTAAATTAATGGAACAATAAACCGAGTATCAAATTGACGTGCGAAATTTTTTCGTTGAGGGGAAACAAACCTTGCTATTAATTGTGTTAATTTCCGATGACAGTAATCAACTATGTCTAGACAAACATCACCTACAGCTTCCCAGGATTCCTTGTGATACATCAGAGTTTCTAATAAGTTTACCACTGCTGCTTCGTGATATAACTATTTTGTGTTATATATAGATAAAAGTATACCGATGAACAGTTCCGTGAGGATTGAAATTGTCATCGCTATTCAAATATGCTCTTAATAATATCTAACTCACAGTAATATAGCATGGAAACTCAGATTGTGGCTTAAAGCCTTCTTTCAGCAATTCTTCAAAAATTTTTTCTTTCCAAACTTCGGTCAGCAGTAGATCATAGACCAATAGCGATATCTATATGCACATAATTGCAAGAATTCAATGGATAAGGGTGTATATTTTTTTATATAGTAATCTTAGTATCGTGATTTATAATTAGGTGATGTCATTGGTCATATGATGGGATGCTGATTCATCATAGAATCAACTTGAGGATTATTGTACACATGCATATTGACTCCTTTAAGAGCGCTATGCTGCTAATGATATTTGTGCATTAAGGTATCAATAATCATTATAATTAACGAGAGATATGTTAAAACAATTAATCCGTCAGGCTTAAATATTTAGTAGCGTGTATACAATATATAACAATTTTGAGTATAAACTAGGATGTGACTCTAACTACCGTGTGATATCCAAAGCTAGCGGATATGATAAGATAAATTACTGGATTATTTAGATGTTTAGATTAAACAGCGGTTTATTTAGTAACCTACTGCATCTGTATACACTTTGTTAGATTCCGGTACAATACAGTAAATCATTATATTCACTGCATAAGGGTGCTTGCATTGATTGCCAAAGTATTCGTATCATGGATAGCTTACGAAATCAAGCCATAAGCAATGTAACAAATGATTTGTCAGCGATAGGAAAAGTCGCCTGAATGGAGGCTACAAAAAGTAAATTTTTTCTTATCTTCGATGGTTCGTGTATCCATCAAATGATAAATATTTGATAACTATTTACTTTCAATTTAATTTTAGATTATTGTATTTAAGGCTTCGATAATAATTATCTAATACAATTGCTGACTATGGAAGAGAGAAGAATAGTCATTATGTGTAGAAATTATGGTAAATACAGTACTAAACTTGGGCAATATAATACATGCACGCTCTATTTCAATAGATGTAGTTGTGTATAGTAGTACATACAATGGATGCTGCAGCTTAGAAACAAATCATTTATTACAGTACTAATACGGCACCCGGCAGGGATGTAGTTAATCTTTATATGGTAGGTATATAAAAATGATTACCAGTAAAATATACCTTATCCTGGCTGATGAATGCTTCTTTAACATACTCATCCTTGCCTTGTTTCACGTTTAATATCGCCTGAAACACGAGTACAGCACAGTAAGCAAAGATTTTAATAACAGCGTCAAGCAATATTCTAGTGTCAATTAGGGTGTCTTTAAATCTTATCTAGCGACTCAATAATTCTTGCTATCACAAGACTGCTGTATCATCGTAATCTGTGCTGTATTTATAGCTAGCACAGTTCTAAAAACCCAATATTTCTCACATTTTATTTTTCTAACCTGCATGTTTAGTTTGTCAATATATTCATGTTGTTTCATCCATCTAGCAAGACACAAATACCAGATATTTTAAAAGTACTAAGTGATGGGTAATTTATTATACTTGCAGTCATAAACTACCGTGTGATATCATATCATTGTACATCAGTAAAGAAGTAGAGTAAGTAATTTGTCGAACATCGTTTAACGAAGTTACGAAAAGGTTTTCTAATACCAGATTACTGTCACATTATCATCATGACTAGCTCTATATCAAACCAGCAACTAGTTAAGCCCATAGTTTCAAATTTCTTTCATCTTCACTATACGTATAGTATATTTCATTAGGTATATCCTGTAGACTGGATAGACATTATGAAAGTGACAGAGACTTTTGATAATTACAATAAGATTTTGAGCAGTCCCTACAACATCGAGTTCTATAGAATGACATTTAATGCACTGTCTGCAGTAGGTAAGATATTACAGTATACACGACATATAGAGTTTAGCTACATCTGTATAACTGCTTTATTATGCCGTCTACGATATCACGCTTACTAAGAGCTTATAGCAAGTTACAGGCCTCGGACCTGACTATGTAATGTTTTCAAATTATATATTTAATGCACAATTAGGTGTGCGGATTCGGCCAGTAATAGTATAATACGATACTGTATCGACTACATCGACTACCATAATTTACAGCTACGGGAGTACGCAATAGATTGTAAGTACTTATTACAGTTAACAATTAATAGATTATTCTGCATTTTAAGTATAGAAAGGCAATTTGTTGACCTACTACTGTAGTAACATGAAAATACATGGACTATTAAAAGAAGACCAGGTCCTCTTTTAGTAGTCTATGGAAATGTAATATAAATAAATATAAAGAGTATACGATAATATATATGTATAATATAATTAATTAATCATTCTTTGCTATACTGTACATCACTTATGCATGTTCTTTTAGTAAAACAACTTACTTGCGATCTCCTATATCTTCCAACTCAAAGTCGGATATCGCCTGTACATAACCTTCTACCTCTACCGGAAAAAGGACCGTAGAGCTATCTTCCATTTTTTTCTAGCTTTATGATGCCGTTACTTAGCGATATTCAATAACTATAATAATAATAAGGGAATAATAATAATAATCACAATAATTGACTAGTTTCTGCGCATGTCCTCATGCGCTAATCTTACTAATACAGTACAAGTACTCTGTCAGGAAAATTGTACAATGTACATACTGTACACTGTACTGTATATTCAATATCGTACTGTACTGTACAGTACAGTATAACAATATCGAGCGAGGGGTCTACTAGTTATAAACAAATAAATGGAAAGCAGAATCAAGCGCATTGAATGAATAGTTAAAGCTATTCAATGTACAGTATCTTAAACTCTATCATTTTGGTAAAGGCACATACTGTACTGTACAGTACTGTAGCCTGTTAGCCACTAACCAACTAAAAATAGAGTGTACAGTACTGTAGCAGTGTTATGACATGGTATCGTTGCAGTACTGTAGCAGGTACGGCTACAACACTATACTGTACTGTACTGCACAAGTGCACAGTGCTCTTCTAATATTCGTAGTCTCAATAACTTAAAGGCATCAACGATTTAATTTATTTATTATTGGGGAAATTGAGTAAAATTACATTATTACTGTACTGTATTTATTAACACTAGATCATGACGATTAGAAAAAAAGGTAAGGTGTTGTGTAGCATTTAAACGATATAAAATTAACGATTGCAAAAAACAGCACATCTGCATATGCACTCGAAGTATATACTGAATGTACGCATATACATACCGTACAGTATAGTACGTACATTGTAAATGTTGTTGTGCTCTTTAATTAAGCTATTTCTTAGTTTTTGACGATGAATACGCGTAGCTAAGTCAAAGATTTGATCTACCGACATTATAGATTTTCAACGCATTGTGTCATACATTGAAGATTTCCTAGATAGATTATCCCAAGACGATTTAGAGGCTGCTGAACTACGGGATTCATTTAGTTATGCCCTATGGCAGATGCGAAATTATTATAAAACATTGCGAAGTAGATCGGCAAATAGTGCGTCTAGTTTCAGTCCAAAATCATCAATGCTAGGGTTGCTTAATCCATTAACATGGAAGTGGCTAGATTTAGGAAGTGCAGTCCCTAGTCTTGGAGAAAGTTACGGTTTCCGAAAGATTCATCAAGCTGCTAAAGAGGGAGATGTAGAAACCATCAAGCAACTCCTACTAGAAGGTAAGAACACCTAGGGTAAGCTAAGAGATTTTATTCTATTCTATCTAACCCTAACAACAGCTTACGCTTAGTCTTTCTTCACTTCATATTCTTATGCGCTATTGTAGCCACACAATTTTAAAGTCGTAAATAAGAAACGCGTATATGAATTTACTGTAGCTCCTACACGAATAAAATAATAGAGTCTGCATTTAGAATTTATTATTCGAATATTATATTATTACTACTCATTCATTGTTTTCTTCAGTAATAAAAATAAGATTATAGAATAGGACGATTTCACCGATATTCGCATTTGTTAACTGTGACAGATCCACTATTAGTGAATGTCAAGACTGTATGGGTCGAACTCCGATAATGTACTGTGCTCATTATGCTAAAGATGAACATTTGGAATGCATAAAGTTACTTTTATCATTTGAAGCGAATACTTCAATCAAAACGAAAGGTTTCGTATTGTCAGCGTATACTACTGTTACATGTCATCGACAATTAAATTAATTTAATTTTTACTTTAATACGCTTGTGCACTATTTTAATTTGTTACTATACAGCACTAGTATTTATTTTATCAGTAGCGATATCGTTTACTAAGTTGTATTCATGCTATCCAATTCTTAGATTCTGCCACGGTTGTGCATCATGCAGTCTATGGCGGTAACCATGAAATACTAGAATTAATTCTCCAAAAAGAAGTACGTAAGCTTTTGTTTAGTATACCAAACATGAGTGTCATCGAATGAATAGATTATAATCAAGTCTATATCTACTTTGGAATCCTCAAATATGAACCATTTAAAATTTTTTATATTTCGGACGGCCTAAAAATAAATTCAGTTACAAAGCATAAACAGTCAAGATAACATGGGACGGTCACCTGTTCATTTAGCCGTTATGAGAGAAGAAACCGATTGCTTAAAGGTCGATAGAGAATAGTAGAATTAAAGTTAATAGGACAGTAAGCAATTTTTGTTTTGAGATACATGTACCGAAGTATAGTTGGCATGCCGTAAAAGGCATTATACGTATATATATATACATATATAATTATTTTCCGTGTCAGTTTTGTAAACAATGAAATTCCACGAAGGTGAAACTATACTGTACAGAAGTACAAGCGTGAAATTTTTGACAAACAATAAATTAATATTATTACCATGAAATACTATACTCTGAAACTTAATTTTTACTTGGGTTTTTCACGCTCGAAAAATGTGACTTTATGAAGTATTCTGTTTGCAATTCTGATATTTGTCGCATATTTTTATTAGTTATTATTGGATAATAATGCCCTATATTCCATGAGAGACATTGGAGGTCTTACACCCATAATGTGGGCGTGTAATTTTGATCGCCAGTATCACCTATGCATTCTTCAATCCCGTTACGAACAAGAATATAATAATTCTAATTACTTACTTGAAGAAAGAGATCACCAAGGAAGAACTGCAATTCACTGGGCGGTTATGCAAAGGAAAAGTATCTACTGTTTACAGGTAAAATATAGACGTTAACGCAATGTAATCAACCATCATTTATTAAAACCAGTATTCACTCTTAAATATTTGGATATTATAGAAATAGATCAGGAATACAATTGTTTGGCATGATCAAATTATTCGAAATATTTATTTCATTTTGGAATAACATCCGTATTTTCCTTTGCAAAAATAGAGCAATCCATAGCATAAATACTGTACATACTGTAATAGCTGATGCTAGATATCATAGTGCAATATTCCTATTTTTGTTAATATATGACCGGCTTTGATAATTTTATTTCCATGTCATTTTAATGACTTGTTATTTATACATTTCTCTCGGAAATTTCTGCCCATTTAGTCGCTCCTGACTTCTAGTGCAATTTCGTTAACTGATCAGAATGGCCGCACTGTTTTACACACTGCCTCATTACAGGGTATGTTAAGATGTATAAATACATCTTTTGGACGTTTTGTGTATCGGTTATTTATTAGTCGATTATACGATATATTAATTGTAAAAGATTCTTTAGTCGGAATTAATAATTGATAGTTATTAAAAACAATTATCTAGCGTGTAGGTAATCGTTATAACAACTTGATTGTTAGGTTCCGTTAACGCTTGTAAATATGTCTTGAATCATCACCCTGAAGTCATTAATAATGTAGATAAACAGATGAGAACTGCTCTTCACTTAGCAACATTAGCTGGCCATGGAGATGTAATCAATCTTCTTTTGGATCATAAGGGTATTATAGCTTGATTTAGTGAATAAAATGTATTTCTCAGTAGGTTTAATGTTACTAAATTTTTAATGATATCAGTTTCCTAAGCCATGAATCTATCTTTCCTGATCTTATAGCAATAAGCAATATTGTTGATGAAGAAAATTCAACGGCTTTAGATCTAGCATTGTCGAAAAAATTGCATTACTGCATAATTGTACTTAATTCATTTAACCGCCAAAGTGAAAAGGATGGATTTCGTACCCCTCTGAGACCTAAAAATAAGTTACATAATTTAAAAAAAGATTATAAATCACCTAATAATAGACCAAGCTCCCTTCAAGGCACAGTTCAGCCAAAGCCATTTAGTCCAAATCCTCTTCCTAAACCAAGATCTTTAACGAGTCCTTACCCAATATCAGATAGCTCCGATCGATCGCTTTTTTTTGCAGAACACGAGAAATCGAAGGAAAAGATCATTGAAACAGATCAGAAGGAAACGGCCAAATCAGTTAAGGAACAAAGTCAAAAGCAATGTAAAAATTTGTTGTTTCTGGAAGCGAAATCTCTCAACTCTTCAACATTACATCTTAAGCGAGGTGTCGGTTCACAATCCGAAACTTCCTCACGCGATGGCATGTCTTCCACAATTGTGAGTCGATGAATTATAATTAGATGATAGATTTTTAATTACATTTATTAGACAAAGTTTATAGGGCATGAATGAATATCATATGATATGATTCAAACATAGTAAAATTAATTAACAAAAATATTTAGAGCAAAGTAGGATCTTAAGTTAATTAATTAATTAATTAATTAATTGCTAATTAGCTAATTTTATATTTGTGTGTACTTAATTATACTGCGTACTTAGTGTTTAACACTCGATTCAGTCGATTTTATATAATGGGTTATTTTCCTGCACAGGAAACGAAATTGCAGTCGCCGAAGGATTGTTCAAATACATTGAATGAAAGTAACTCAAAAAATAGCAATCAAGAATTAGAACTTGGCAATTACTGTAATACCTCTAGTTTCGGTGATTATAACGGAGGATCGGAGGTATCAATTACCGTCCCAGAAACATTGGCAAAGCTACAAAAGTTGTCCTCAAAGAGTTTTTCATCCTCATCCAGTCAGCGAGATAAAAATAGTTTATCATCGTTGAGTAATCTTGGTAAAGAATCTGGCTGGCCAGGTAAATCTCGAGTTAGAAGCTTTACTGCATCGGAAAGTACGAATCGAGAGCGAAATATCAGTAGAAGCAATGGACTATTAAGTAAGATAAAGACTTCATCAGGTATTATTTAACAAACAAAAAAGAGAATTCCTGTAGGTAACGCAGTAACATACATTGTTCTGTCTTGTTTTAAGTATACCTTATACAAGCAAGTATTTAGTAGTTAATGTAACTATAGCCTACTGGATACGAATTATGTACTATTGCTTGAAATAAAAGGAGCTTAATCATAATATTGTCTAGCATGCAAGTATAGATCAATGTAATATAACCTATTTTAATCAATGACTAGGCGATGAATTATTGGTGGTCGATAAAAGAAAATGTGATGACAATGATACTTGGAACAGTAATTCAACTGACACTGCAAAGAAGGAGGGGAGCATACGACAGAAGCACTTTTTACATAGTGATCTTCATCAGAATGCAGGACTAAAGGTAAAATATTATAAACGATTACGTATTATTAATAAGTATAAAGTGATTCAGCTATTGGTCTTACAGATATTATTATTTTCTTTTCAAAACTTATTTTTGAAGAAGTTATAACTTGCTTAATTCATGTTTAACTTAATATATTTCTAAAGAGGGATAAAGCAGAATTTACTGGTAGTCCGAGATTGCTAGCGCCAATTAACAGGCCAAAATCACGAAGCTTCTCTGGAATAACTCTAAGATGAAGTTAAAATTCGATTTGGCGTAGTCATGATACTGTAGATAGTCTACAAATCAAGTAAAGTATAGGCATTTTCCGCTAGTAGTAAATTGATCTCACGCATATATCATACGGCGTTCTGTAATAGTAACTTCTCGCCTGAGAGTTTGAATGCCTGATAGAAATTTTAATATTAAATTTGACGTTTTAATAATTTAAATGATGTAAGTATTGCTAGATATCTATCAAATGTTGACGCGGTCATAAAAGTATGTAAGCTTTGTGCAGTACAATAACCCTGTATTCAACCTCAACTTTTAGTATGATCGTGGTGTGGCTAGGAAATTTACTAATTTTATTCGCAAATTAAATAGAAAATTGAAGTATTGTCGTAATGTTCAATCTTGCTAGCTTCTGATTTATCTGAATTGGTTGAATTGAGTCCGCTAAAAGTGTCACGATGAAACCGGGACGTAAAATAAATATCTAAGAACTTGGCAATGTGTATTTTAAATGAATTATAGATTGCTACAGGTCGTTAACTTGTATATTTATTTTAGCTGCTTATGATACGCGTAAACTAACCATTGAATTTAAAATGAGTATATAGTTAATGGTATAGGCATAAAATAGGTGCTTGTTTATGATCGATTACTGTTGAGTTTAAAGGATTAAATACGATACATAAGTTCATTAAAATATATCATAAATTTCGTATATGTTAAATTGGTAAGCTGTGTGGGGATAATTCAGTCCAATCTACCAATAAGTTACAGTAAATAAAATCATCATAGTTACGGTTGACAAAACTATAATGTACTCGCATTCAATACCGTGATTTGTTAGTCATCACTTTGCCGAGTTGGAAAAATTTTGAATACTTGTTTGATCTAACATGTACTGTAAGCGTTATCATGTTAAATTACGGAATCACAAGAATCTTTATCAATCTGGTACTTCGACACTATGGAAAGCCTAAATATACATTACAGTACATAGGATTTTACAACTTTTCAACTACAAATAATATTATTACCCCTTATATTTATTGTTTTACACAATACATAGCGATCTCGTCACTTTGCTGGTGTTGAGATTATAAAATGCAATATATGAAAATTTACGATTCTTTTATGCTTACAGATTTGCACCAGCAAACTATTTGGTTTTACTTCATGTATAGTATGCTATTTAGTGAAACTTACGACTTAACAGTATTAATAAGTATTCCATATGATTTCGGTACGGTGTTAATTATTTAGATAATCGAAAAAACTGATAAGGTTACTAGATGTAAACGTTCTCAAACGATAGCTTACAAATAATAACTGACAAATAAGAGGATTATAAAATAGCGTGGGTATTCATTGTATAAATTTTTTGGAATAATGCTTAATTTGCACATATTATGCTAATATTGCTTTGCACATCTTTATTTAAAATAGCCGCACAATTCTATCCATACCTATTGTGCATCTAAGTTAGTCGCACTATATACACACATTATATAGCTATTACATCTATTCATAATCATATCTAGCTACGAACACATTTTTGATTCAATAATTTCAAACTGCAAGGTTTTATACTGAGTCAAGTAATTTGTAAATTCTTGTGTATAATGATAGCTTATTACTTCTGGAAAATTAGCCTGGGTAAGGCTATGGCAATCAATCACGAGCAAGTCCTGTACTACCTTTAGCGTAACCTATCACATGATCCTTTCAATTAATGGAATTTCTGTCAACAAATTTCATTACCTATTAGCGGGTTTATAATATTTTTATCATGAAGAGTTATTTAACTCTTTCAAACGGCTTATGAGCAACAGTATTACATCATATGCTGGTCCTAACATTAAAACATTAAAGGAATGTACTTCTGGGATATCTTGACGGGATACGATATATGTAAGTATTTACTCAAATTTTGAAGATAGAATTAGGTCTAAATATATTTGATAGAGGTTTTAGAACGTAAAAATGAACGTGTTACAGGTAATAAAGTAATCCTTGATCTATACATTGACCCAAGCCATTGGTAATACACATCGATAAATTTCATATTAAATTCAGATTTCAGTATCTTAGTAGCAATTGGATTTAACTTTGCGAGCACCATGTTGTTAACGAAAAAAGAGTCAGATAACATTTAGAGGTTGATTTAAGTTCCGCGGGAATACGTCCATCAATCGTAACAATATAATTAATTTCTGAAGTGATCTTTCCGACTAATCTTCAACTTGTCTAGTAATTTCTTCTTCCGCATCTGATAAATCCCAGATCTAATAAGAAAATCAAAATTAACAATCGATTACGATATACAATTTATAAAATTCTTAAATATATCAGGCCTATTACTGAATGAGCAACATTACATCATCTGTGCGACATTCCTCATGCATTTTCGTGAGTCCTGTTAGATCCTCTAAATATGTTGGAGAGTTGAATGCCTTAAGAAGAAAGGAAAATCCATCTTGCAAGTAGCTTTCTAGAATCTGTGTAAGGATGGTAATTTGTAGAATTAATAAATATAAGAAATACTAATTTAAATTATGATGGATATAAAGCAATATTTGTTAACCACAGAGGAACAGGCTGTACATGAACTGAAAGCTCGATTACATGGCAGAATTTCTTGGAATCGCGACAAGAATCCACGAATCTAGTGTTACAAGTATTTATTATGATGATATAGTGACCTGCTATTAAAATAAGTGAATAGTAATGCGTAAATTACTGTACTGACCTGGTGAGGAACTAAGCCCAAAGGAGAAAGGGATGAGGATGATACATCGGGATGAGCAATGCCTGTTTCTGCAGGAGCGTATTGTCTAGAAGTGATTATAGTCAATAAAAATAAGCCAGCGGTTTAATATGCGAGTATAACTGACAAGTTAGTACATTTGAGTGCATATACAAGTATATAATATTGGTACTTTACCCAAATGGATGTTGCAAAACACTAATTAGTAATTCCACCGCTAAAGCACTTGCGATCATTGACACGCCAGGTCTTGAAACAGTGCATTGTTGATCCAGAGTCCTATCATATGTGGACTAAGAACAGTATATTTCCATCAATAACAATGGTAAAACGAAATGCGTAACTGCACTTATATAAAATATTAATTTATAGTTGGCTAATAAAGAATTAAAATGCAACAGTGACTTTAGAAGTATACATCGAGCGTACATTTCCTGGTGCTACCACATCATTACAGAAGTAGCAGCCAAGATCAGCTCCAGGTATTATTGCAGAAGAATCTTCAAATTGGCTGTCATCAACAGCAAATTGTTGTCTGGAATGATCACCTTTATTAGCTCCATGTCTCATTACTAAAAATGTATCAAATCCGAGTGCAGCATTGATGACGATCTATCATAAATAATAATATATATATATGAGATGCTTGTATATATTAAAATATCTTATAATAAAAAGTTTCATACCACCTTGTTTTTGGCCTTTGCTATTACAGTTGGCAGCCATCGGCTTTCTCTGGTATCCATGAGGAGAAATATAGCGTCATGACAACTGATTAACTGTTCCAGTTTTTCAATATCCTGTTTAACGTTGTTATCTGTAAGGGTTTAAAACAAGATATTTAAGGTAATCTCTAGCATCTTATTCATAGGTTTTATTTATATCAGGATATCATTACCTTGAGGGCTAACGGAATGACCCGGCATTGGTATTGATATAGAGTATCCCGTAGAGTTCTACGCATTTTATTAATTAAATTTTTACGTCTTATGCCATAACTTTTAGCTTTATGATAATTTTAATACAGTTAGCATTACAAATTTATCTAGAGGTCAATTGCCTATCTGCTGTGACGATGAAATTATCAGACCGTATTCCTAACGCAATTTAGAGTACAGTATGTACAGAGCAAGTTACCGAATATCTCTCGTACTCGTATAAAATATAATTATGTAGTCGCAATCTTACAATGCTAGGATTAATTTGTTTCAGACGTAGCGATGCAGTTTCAGCTTTTGGCCGGCCTCCTCCGATAGAATCATCAAAATAGTATAAAGTCTGACGAACAGGGTTAGAATATGAAACCTTGCCATTATCAATAAATGAAATATTTCTAATTCCCCAACCCTAGGTAGCATTTTGAATTAAAAAAGAAATTAGTATTTAAGTTGCTGCCATCGAGATTCTATGTAACAAAGGTAATTTTGCTTCTAGATACTACATGCTACGCTGTATATAAATATCAGAGCTGCAGCAAAGAGATATCGTAATAGAAGTTACCATCAAACATCGAGCAACATTACACCCTAATGTTCCAGCTCCAAGTAGTAAACATTTGGTCTGAGCAATCTTTTCCAAGTCCAAGGACGGCATTAACCGCCATCTCATTAACTTTAGATTTAAATCAACAGCCGATTCTGATAATCTGTACACACGGCAGTATGATGTTTTTTAATGAAAACAATATCCAAAAACAATGGGGAAATTAATTTCAGTTTTACTTAGTAGGATCCAAGCTAGAACTTAGATTTATCATTCTTGGTCCTAATTTCTGGCGTTTATTCTTTTCCCAACCAATAAAGGCAGGAATATCTGTAGTTACTCAAATTGAGTAATTAAATGAAAGTTTTCATTAGTCGATATTATACTAAATTTAATTAAGATGACTCTAGAGAAATTTATAACTGACCTTGTAGCTTATTCAAAATTTTTGGTATGAAAACCGTAAACGTGATACTATGGGAAATGCTCCGTGCTCCTTCTCTTGTTTTATCTCTTAAGCATATAATCTGAACTCTATCGCCGCTTTTTTTCCTGAAAATTTTAAGTAGAGAATTTAAAACAGAAAGTAAAAAAAATGGCTTCGTTAATTTGGTAATTGTTCTAACCAATGAGTTCCGATCAAGATTAACAAGTTTCTTAAAGGCCATCCAGGATTAGTATGTAAAGTGCTTGGATCACACATAACAACTGTTGGCTAATACGATATAAAAGTAGGAGTCCATCAGTAATTGTGGTTATAAAGCTACAGTACACCTAAAGCTGGCTACTGATTGACTAAAAGTTCATCAATTACACGTATTTTAGCTATAGCAAAGAATCAAATTTTTACAGCGTGATAGCATACGATTCAGTCGCAAAAGCTGATTAAACCTACTATCTCAACTTCATCAAAAAAATCTCCCCATTCCTTTAAGCAACCTAATTTGACGCTTTGCCCATCAATTTTCTTAAGTAAGAAGAAAGGCATACCTAAAATAACAAGGCATAATTCATAAAAAGGCTTGCATTACTCAGTACGGTCTAATATTGATACTATTGGCTACATAGTCGTAGTTTGATCTCTTGAATGGTATCAGGATCGAAATTGTTATGAACATTGGCTATGAATAATAATCCCAAGGTATAAAATACGCACTTAATAAATGTTACCATACAGAAAATGTGTTGATTAAGAAATACAAATCAAACAAAATTGATTTCGATAGAAGAGTACAGTAGTTTCAAGGTATGAGAAGTAAGGGAATAATTTATTATAGCTACATACCTAAGTTTTTAAATACAGTTACATATTCGCTTAGCAAGCTTTCAATCTACCGGTGATCATAAGTTAGTCAGAAAACTATTTAGAGGATTAATATATTTACTTTAACTAGAGCAAAAAATTGATTAATACAACAGAACGATTTTATGATGACATTAATAGTATATCATAATACAAATTGGATTGTTCGATGTTTACCTGTGCATTAGATAACAAAGAATCAATAGGCTTAGAAGGAGTAGCCCGAAAGTCTTCGACAGGCTTCACAACAGGAAATGCAAACCAGTAATAATACTGATATTTCTTTAGATCCTGGTATTAAATATGAGAAAATTAAGGCGGAATCATCGTAAATCAATTTTAGATTTTAAAATCAATTATTCACAGCAATCCGTAAATATAGAAGCTAACCGTAAAAGTTAAAGCTAAAAATTGTGTAAGTAAATAGGGATTCTCAATCGATCTACCAGATTTTATGTCTTCCCAAAGCTGTAATTTAGATTACGTGTTATTACAAAATCAGCACCATCTACGCATATTTTCTCAGACTACTAGAAATTATCTGAAAGTGATACCAAACCTATTTGAGCAATGGAATTATCACCTGAATACCCGCTCTGTTTAATAATTCAAGCTTATCACAGTCTTTGAACGTTTCAACGGTATTTTTAACAAATAGGTGTCCGGTACAATAAAAGTGATTTGGATGTTGATTCAGCTTGCTTAGTTAAATAGCATATAAGAATTTTTAGAACAATTACCGAATCAAGAGATATCATTCATCATAATTAGATTTATTACTGCAACGTTTAAACATTTAGTAGTTAATAAAAGCTGATATAATGCGATACATAGATAAACGGATCGTCTGAGAATTAAACATGCCTAAAGAATAGCATATTTTAATTGTACCTGTTGAAAGCTTCATAGTCTACATTAAATCCGCACGATAAAGCTTCTGCGTTATCTAAGTATAAGTAAAAATAGTAAGCATCTGGTAAAGAACTATTTTTATTGTTTTACGATCAAGCCATTAAAGGGAGTCCTGCTACGTAGTATGTGATGTTGCAGTAAACTTGGAAGTATTAAGAGAAAATTAAGTTATCATTATAGCTCCCTACATTTCTACTGTGTATCCGTCATTCAGATCCGTACTTTACTATAATATTAACGTACGGCATGCAGTACCTAAGTATATAATTTGGGCAAATATAAAGTAGAAATATTCCAGATACTGTGTAAGTGTCTTATTACAACTTCAATATGGCGTAATTTTCAGTGCTTAAGGAGAGATAACATATTGCTAGCAGCTTCATAATAATTAATCTATGACGTAAGGGGAAAGTCCTATATACGCCTTTGCGTTTTGTAGTCATACAGTACTTGACATTTATGATCATATCATGATACTAGTCTCCCTAATAATATAAGCATTATTAAGGCCCCTGCATGTGAGCTGTTTCTATTTGCATCATAGTCAAATGTCCTAGGTTGTAAAACTCTAAGGGATAACTTCAAATAATCAAGCTATATTATGTATGTAGGAATTAGTAAATGCAGCCTCACCTACTGTGACTCAGAACGAGATGAGATCATTTACGAGTATGTCAGAAATACGTACCTCTCTTTAATGTAAAGAGAGATACTATCAAGTAGTGTACGTTTGATCAAGTATGGCTGACTACCGAAAAGGTAAACGATATACGAACTCCATGCGTAAACTTAGTCATTAATGTGATATACGTTACATTAACTATTTAGTGTCAACAAAAAGTTGTAGCTTATGCTCTACAGTAGTATGCAGTTTACCATTTCTATAATAGCCATGAATAACTTGAGCATCTTCATCCAATTTGAGAACATTCAATTTGTAAGAACCTAATTTATGCCAAAATCCGGTATCAACTCGAGATTCAAACGGCGCAAATTGTAATAACGTTACTTCCGATGAATCCATGATGAGCCCAATCAAGTAAACGAGAATGTGATTATCAAGGTGACTAAGACTATAAAAAGCTTGAGTGGATTTAATTTTGAGACTGCACTGTACGGTAGGTAGTGTATCGGTGTACAGTACAGTGTACTCACCGAGTGTACTGTACTGTACAAGTACTGAGTACAGTACTATACAGTACAGTGTACAGTATGTGGTACATACAGTACTGTACTGTACTTACTCGTAACGCAATGACCATTTGTCAACCTGCGAAAATTGAGGAAGCCTTCTTTTCGATCGTGCTTTTTATGTTTAAGTATTTTGGATGTAGTGTGCAGATAGTGATTCATAACTATGCAGATCGAACGTCGGGTATTTATTGGCGGCTTACACCAGGATGTCACGGAAGATGATATCAAGAGATGTTTTCGAACATTTGGTGACATTAGAAATGTGGAGATAAAAGTAAAAACTAATGCGTCTGGTAAGCAAGGTTTATGTTGTTATGCTGTACTGTACAATAGTACATATGCTCGTCGATAATGATATGCTATGGAAATGCTTTAAAGTTTAACTATATTTGTTGACTATAAGTTATAAATGGTAGTAACAATCGTTTGCGAATGCAAGAAGAAACAAAAACTAGTTTTAAAATTTATACAGTATAACAAGCAGTAATCATTCGATGATCGAACACCATAAATACTTCTTGCAGGTAAAGCTGTAAATTATGATATAAAAATGTATGGATCAATTTAATGCGATCGCTAATGTTCTAGTGTAGTATCTGAACCCTGTTTGCAACGATTTGGAGAGTGTCTGCGCAACAATTTCCCGGGGCCTAATGCAGTGAGTAGTAGTCCGAGTACATGTATACTTGAATTGCTGTAAGGTAAATCGAAAGATACACGAAGAAGTCAAAAAACTGACAAGAAAAAATTCTGATTAATTATAATTTCCATGTTAACTACTGTTACATTTATCATAATTTCTCGATGGAGCTGTACGGTATTTATTATGGGCAACTGCGTGTACCGGTCTGACAATTTTCAATTGAAACTGCTCTCTAGAGTAGAGTATCGGTCTAGTGTACGTACCTTATAGCAAGCCTATGCACATTTCAGTCTTGTCAGTAGTGCAAAATTACCATGGGCTCTAACGGTTTCTGCACTGTCCATTAGTCCCGATAATTTGTAATTATATTTTACTATATACCGTTGAAATCGTTATTCAGGTTCTGTTTTAAATATTATTGTCAAAAAATAAAGTAAAATAGCTATTTTAGCTTTGAGCGTAGCTTACATTTTACTTTATTTTGTGACAATAATGTTTAGAACAGGTTTCTGAACCTGAATAATGATTTCAGTGGTATGTAGTTAAGCATAATTATAAATTGCCGGGAACTACTGTTCATTCAGAGACTTCAACTTCCAAGATACTCATTTCGCGTGTTTTATTTCATTTATTGTGTAGGTGGTAGACCTAATACTTTTGCATATTTGGATATTAGTATTACGGATAAAAACTTTGAGCGATGTTTGTCTACTTACAATAAAGCAAGATGGAAAGGAAACCATATGCGCCTTCAGCTAGCAAAGGATAACTTTCTATGCAGGTATTTCATTATATCATTTATGCTCTATGCAGGGACGACTTAAGTTTTTTAGTAGTCCCTAATATATGTATCAGTGACTGAAGATACATTAAATTCCATTCTCCTACAATGAAATGCAAATATACTGTATTGCACTGTATACATTCCCAGGTTTATTTGCGTAGAAGAGAATTATTAGTTTTTACGCTATATATATCTAATTATAATCTATATACGCGTACGTGTAAGTTCTGAGCTATCAGGCTACGATAATGATATAGTGCTGTGTTAATTTCTTCGTGTTCTATTGGTTAATACCGTAGTATGATTGCTTGGTAAAGGTTTGCTAATTCTAATTCTAATTATGTGCGTAACTGTACGAATATATTTGGGTTTAACCGTTTGGGGACTACTTAATTGCATCGTAGATTAAATAGCGAAAGAGACGATATCAAAAAAACATCTATTGCATGCGAGTCTGACCACCCGCAGAGAGTGGTAGCTAGTAAAGAAGGCGATGAGACTGGCAATACCTATGATCGCTTATCACCTGGCCTGAAAATGCATCGTAAGGATAGAAAGCATGTAATAAACTGTAGCTTTGAAAAGGCGCAGAATACGCGTATTATCTTCGACAATGCTCGCAGCACTGACTATGAAAACAGTCTGCGTGATATATCAGTCATTGAACTAACCTGGAACATAATCAAAACTGCAAAAGGTACAATCAATTATTTTAAAACTTATTATAACGTAAATTTTGTGATTAAGATCTCGAATTAGTTGGTAGAAAAACATAGCTGGCCAGGTTCATGTTGCTATACAATTCGATCTAACAGTCAATAAATCTAGCTAACAATGAATCATTCTTTACTTGGTGATGTACGATTACTGTACACTGTACATATGAGTAATGTGTATACTGTATACTTTGTTTCTGACAAACTAAGTATTCGTTGTTCTGTCATAAATTCTGGAAAAATACTGATACTGTAATGTTGACGTAATTTATAATTTCAGGTTTAGAGGACAAATCATTTGATCATAATCATGAAACTCCTCGTGAGAGCAATAGTAATAGTATTATAAACAAATACAGGAAAGCGAGCGTGTTGTCAGACGATAAGCTGATATCACGAATGCCCCATACAGTCACCCTACAAAGTGACGTTAATGGTGAAGAACGTATTAGCGCTGAAATTACCCAGGTTTCACAGGTTCGCTATAACATTTATACTGTGCTCTATAGTTGATATTACTTGACATCATTTAGTTTCTAGGGTATTCAATTAAATACCTCTGGCAAGTTTGGGATTAATAGCCACCTAGAAATTCATGATGAAGTAAAGGAGAGTACAAAGGTTGCTGAAAAGAATATTTTTTATATATTTAGAGGCGTATTTATTAATTTTACTCGAAATCTATAGCCAACTGTAGAAGGAAGGATACCTTTATTTGACCATAGTTCTGACGAAGAATCGAATGATAGTGATAGATTTAAAGTTAGGCCTCATCTTGAAGGAAATCGCGGACAACGGGTGATAAAATTTAAAATTTATTTCTTAGTATTCAACTACTGATATGCGTATGCGTTAATAAGTACAATGATTACGAAATCGGCATAAAAGCTGTTAGATCTTCAAAAAACTTATCATGGAGATGCAAGGTTCAAACTGGATGACAGATTTCTTGAAGATGACGTCAATTCTACCTATTCACATGAGACATCTTCAGACGCCCGTGATGCAATGTATAACGACGATAATGGTACATCACCCTCTCATTTTAAAAATGAAAGACAGCAAATGCTCGAAGTTCTGCAAGGCATGGTTGGGAATATTGCTTTTACGGGTGTAACGTCAAATGTTTCGTCCGGAAGGTTGATAATATCATTTAATTTTATGTTTTGACAATGAGAAAGAAGCATACTGCGAGTTTTTAAGCATTTAATATTAAAAGAATTTTAGTTACTGTTTTAAGTTTCTTGTATGCTATCGTAATGATATTTGTCCGATATTCAACTTTTTATTAATTAGTAAGAAGATGAAAAGATATGATCCAAATGATAAAAGTCATTCGATTTACGAGTTCAAGAAGGAAGAATCCACGGATATGCAAAATATACAACAAACGTACGTTTAGAAGTCCAATTTACTTACCTTTTCGTCAGTTATAGTGATTTTCACTAAAGGATCATGATATTAATGAAACTATCGATCATGGTAGCAAAACAGACCTGAATGATAATATCGCCGAAAAAAATCAATCGAGTCACAAATACAGTAACGTTATTCCGTCTCTTGGAGAGTACTTCAGTGGAGGCTCTAAAGTAATATAATGATATCTCTTTTATGCGATTACCGTTTTGAATAAATGTCGATGATCTTAAGGTTTATTTTGTATGATATTTAGGCGGATACAAGCCCATTTATTTTTACTTCGGAAAAGGCAAATCGATCATTCGATGACGCAATGCATGTAGTCGATTCCAAATTAGATGAATTTAGTTTGCGTGACATAACCAATGAAGCTAATCCGCAAAATAGTGAATGCAAATCCTCAATAATCAGTTGGTCTAGTTGTGATGAAGTCGAATGCTCCGAAGAAAACGAAAGAGCTCAATCACCTACTATTGAAACAAAAGTATGCGTAGTAGGGCCAAAAATGTTTTTTTGCATGCATGAAGATTGGACTAAGTGCTCGCGGTTGCGTGGTATGTAGCAAGTATTTCTTAACTGAATGAATTGTACTACTTATTAGAACTGAATGCAGCTATTCCATTTATTAGCGGGTATTGCAATATTTAAGCGCACCGATAATTACGATAAAGTAAGAGAAGATTGGTTGCATCGACGAAGCTTTCACTTAAAGGTCACCTTATTATAATATTTTATGCATCTATATCTAAGTCATGCAGTTAGTGAAAAATATGCCATATATTAAATAGGACTTCAAAAAGAAACATAAAGATGCCGTAAAAAGACATCGGAAAAGACTGCAGACAAGAAATCTGTTACATTGATATTAATATACTTTTACGTCGAAACTATTAACCTGTAGCTTTAATAATACATTGTTGTATATGCGTAGATGAATTATTTTATTCTGATCAATTTTATAACAGTATTTTCGGACACCAATCTACTGTACGTCAGCATGCAGGCATGCAAAAAGATGAATATGATGCAATTGCGCTTACAAAATATTGAAGTTAATTTCTCCATTAGTACAATCTAAATTTAAAGAATTTTTCTTGCATTATTTCGTGCAGAAGCCTACGACCTATGTGGCTAAGCCCAATATTTACCTTATTATTGATATGAAAAAATGGTTTTAATGAGTCTATTCTTTAAGTTATAATTATTGAACAGTGAGATCAGCCGGTAGCAATAGTTATTGCAGGTTCTTGAAGGCCTAGTTTACTGAATACGAGTAGAAAAATATTGCTTAGTGCTAGTATGAAAGGTACCAAAGTAGCATGTACTGTATTCGATGCATAACAATTTATCCAGATATATTTCGTAAGTAAGCTGTACTGTTTCAAGTGTAAAGTGAAATATCATTGTATTACATATCTAATGCCACTTACATTTCTCTAACAAACGTTTCCAAAGAGATCCTGTTTAGTTGCATGCCCGTTGGGTATTTATTATACTCCTTAATTCCAAGCAGTTTGATTGCTGAAACACAATGCGTGATAATAAATAAATTATATTATAATGGCGTATCACTAATATTAGTCAATTTAATTAAATATGTTGCTAAACGAACATATAGATTGATTCTGACAATGAGAGTATATTATAGAGCTTCACTAGAGTACTCTGCCGCCTTTTATTACCTTCATGATATTGCTCGTTAGTTATATAGCCACGATTTGTTGCATCAAGCGTGCGATATAGAGAGGTAATATTTGATTCGTCAAATAATCTGGGTGGCTGATGTTGTACTGCCCTGGCGTCGCGTATTTGCTCAATGCGCTCCAATAAATATTCTTTGGGGTTTTCTGGATAAGCAACACGATTAAATATATGAATAGCTGTAGCGTTACTAATCGATATACTATTAATCAGTCATAATACATATACGTTTGCACATTGACTAATAAAGTAGCCATCTTGTGGTTTTCTTAGTTAGCAATTAAATCGAAGACGATACTTGTAAATGAGTACATACACTAAATTTGGATCTAGAAGGTAAACTTAAGCTAATAGATCAGCTACTACCATTGCTTGAATTCCACGTGAGAACATGTTAGTGTAAAACTACTATCTATGGCTTGTATGTGTTTCTTTATGTGTTCTTTCTAAGTAAGTAACAATTACTCTAAATAATCAATGCAGGAAGAATAAATCTTCATTTATTCCCATGTCTAAGGTGATTCTTAATATATTTTATATACTTATTTTTAAAAATTTACCTGGTCTACTGTAAATGAGCGATGACGTCAGGCTTTCAAATAATTCTATAAGTTTGTGAGTTTCTAAATAATCCAGAGCAGCAGCTTCTTTTACATTCATTAAAGATTTATCAAGGTTGTGCTTCTTTTCGTCGCACTCACTCATATTTCTCGGATAAGGACAATGGTACGAATGTAATTATGAGTTTTGGATTGCTGCAGCAAATTAAATGTATCGAACTCAGAGTTTGTGAAAGATGTTCTATTCACATATTTAGATAGTTGTAAGCAATCTAGCATTGTGTTTAAAATAAAATTATGAATTTAAAGCTTGTTTTGCTCGTATTAATTGAGATATTCTACTTTATACAGCAGGCGTATTATTGCCCTGTATTACACAATAAATCATGATAGCAATCGACAATCTGCAAGTTGAACATGTAATAAAGATATAGGCATAAATCCTTAGATAGATGCAAGGGTGTATGTACTATGTTTATGACTACTAAATAAATTGTCGTATGGTTACTAATTTTTAAATGATTGTCTTTAACTTTTCAGTGCATAATGATACTTTTACGATTATCCTACAGTCAGAATCGATAGATCCTTATCAACTCAGCTAAGTTTTAAAATTTATTGTTCCGACGTATTTTTTCGGTATTCTTACTGCAACATGTAAAATATCGTACGTATACTCTTTGATTTATATTAAGTAGGAAAGTATATAACCAAAGGATAACATCTGAAGAGACTTAAAAAGAAATTTGAAAGTTACGCTACTTTGATTGCCTGATGATGCACAAATGCAATGGAACTGATCTTAGTAATCATTGGTTTATGATTATATTATTTCCACGTATATAATTACGGTTAATGAGTACTGTTAAAGTGATAGATTTTTGTACGAGTACGTATTTGAGCATTTTCGTAGCGAGTTCACCTTAATCTTTTGAGATTGCTCTTATATGATATATTACATGAATGTACAAAATTATATGCAAATTACAGTGTATGAATTGTGATTACACGTATGTTAAATATACCTTACACGTGCATACGTTTAATCAAATTAGAATGTTCTTGAAGAGTCGGGGTCGAAGATTTGACTAGAATTAGTAATACGTCGATTTAAAATTGTTAGTAATAATTCGGTTCTGTAGTTTAAATAAATTAATTGTAAATTAAAAAGTATAGTAGTATTAGACTTAGAAGACAGTAGATATTGTTATAGATGGAACGAACTTACAGTTCACAGAATCTTCTTTGCGTATATCTCCAAGTGAATGTTGCAACTAGTACTTAAAAAGGGATGAAATATTATTATGCCGACTTTGAATTGTATATTATAAGATGCTACGTTTCTATGATTATTTTAGTACACATTTACAAGAGTGAGTATAGAAATCGTAACCGTAACGTAAAAACGTATCAGTCACTACCATAGAGTTACTGTACAGTATAGTATAATATATTGGTATATATATACAAATATGTATAATAAATAAATAATAATATATATATAATATAATATTCATACGACACTGGTTGGTAATATCATCTTGTTACCATGGTGATTGGTGAGCCTAAGAAGCCCATTGCACTGTGCACTGTGTACTGTGCACTGTGTACTGTACACCGTACAGTACAGTACAATACAGTACAGTACAGTACGGTATTGTACAGTACAGTACTGTGCTTTATACTTCGCTAAAACAGTACTACAGATACTTTATTACATACTGAACAGATTTCTAATGATACATCTACTGTATTGTACAGTATACTGTACAGTGTACAGTACAGTACAGTACTGTACAGTACGCTATCGCCGAAACCCGTACACTACAGTACTGTACTGTACAGGACCTAACATTTAAACAGGACAAATTGCGACTACTAACAATAAATACTATATACTGTATATATCCCTTAATTAAACTGAGTCCATGGATTAGACAAATTAATTTCATTTTATATCTTATCTTATATTTTATTTTTATTTGGAATTAGCTATACTTTAAGTTGTTAGCTTTCATGAAAATATGTCTATTATAGTATAAGGGATTGTTGGCTAATTCTTACAATGGATTCCGATCACCTTAACAAAAGATACTCAAAATCTGACATAGACATTATTTTCAGTAAAATTCTTTGCAGAAGCGAACAGGTTATTCCGTTATTGTTATTGTTAGATTCGGTGAGTTTGCTTTTGCATTACGCTGAAATGCGTATTATTGACTGTAAGTACTTTAGTATTCCATTTATTGATATAATATATGTGGAATACTGTACATTGTGAATTTTATCTTGGGCATGATATACTAGTACAATACTGTACTGCAGTATATGGAAGTGATGCGTGAGTATACTACGTAATGTAATGTAATGTAACGTAAAATTGAACATGCAAATGAATGAACTATTCTTACTGAAATCTACATCTTTCGGTAGGAACTTTAGTCCTTAAAAAGTGATATTCTGTATAGCGCCGGTGGTAGCTCCATCGCTGACAATATTCGTAGTTCCGTACCTATCCTGTATGACTTTGTATTCCGTCATATAAATATAATGTAATTATATTATGATTGCTATCTATGATTATACAGGAAATATTGTAATACATCAGAATGGGATGATTCTTAATTTACTAATAATAAAGTTATTTCTAGTCATCCTACGTTGAATAAAGTTCGTATAGTATACTTACAATTGCTATAAGCATTATATTAATGCACTATTTTTACGTTAGAAGACTAGATGTACGATACAGTAAAGCACCATCGCTTCGCTCACAGTGAAATATTTTAGTTCGCTTCGTTCATTCTGCATTGTAGTTATGAATGTTCTTCTAAATTTATCATAAGACTAGTTAAAACACCGTATTTAGTTATACTACACATAAGACGGTAAAAGAGATTTCAATGCACGTATTTTGCCACTTTCTAGGGATGTTCCTATTGCCCAAACATATTCCTATACGGTCAGGCTTCCACTGGTAAAACGTTTGCAGTCCAGAATATCATGAATATTCTTAAGGTCTGAGTTATTTCCTACATTTAATCAATTAAGTTTGATTAAAATCATTAGGCATAGAATACTTTACCTTATAGAGATACTATTGCATTAATGCTCATTAATTAAGTAATGAGCTACCTGTACATCTGTACAAACTTATGAATTTAGGCTCTCAGGGCTTTATAACTTTATCTTTTGTTACTTCAGGTAGTCAATGATACTAAAATTTATGTTGCAGTTACCACATGCATTTGTTAATTGTTTGGAGAGTCAATCAGGTCGGCAGTTCTACAGACACATACGAAAGTCCATAGGTCATAAAAGCTTGCAAGTAAATCTCGACAGAAATAACTATTGTGATAACATCGAAGGTTTTATCAAGTATCTCAAAGACGTTATGAAGGAGCATGGGAAAGCCTTCTACATGGTACTATTTATATCGTTCATACAGATAAATATTATGCTATCATAAATCAAATAATAAATTCTTCACGGAGTAGTTAGATACTATACTTAAGTGTGTAGCTGTAACCTATAGTACGAAGTTACAAGGCAATGTGACCTCTGGCGTCTGTGCATATTAATATTCGTAGGTTTTCGATAATGCGGATCGTATTGGCAACTTAGATTCCACGTTGTTCTCCATACTTCTTGGTTTAAAGGAATTGGTGCGACGTAGAAAACATTTTTTCTGTTAGCTTATTTAAATACTAAAATCAAAATGTTTTTATAACATAGGTTGACCCCAAAATTACAGTTTTTCTCATTAGTAATTTATCTTGGGAAGATCTGTCACTTAGTATAAATTGTCGCCAACCTTTTCTCCAGTTCTTTCCTAATTATCAGAAGGGTTAGTACTGATGATATCCTGAGGTTTATATCCTAAAAGGCTAACAACATTTTGACACTATATTTACAGACGAACTTGTGACTATCTTAAGTCAAAGTTGCAAATTATCCGACGATCAATCATTCAATGCTTGCTACTTAAATGAAATATTAGGTGTCTTTCTTTCGGTTTGTCGAGATTTGCGGGAACTGAGCTATCTTGTAGGTTCTAAGTAATTATTTATATGTCAATGCTGAATGACCATTATGCACAATAAAAATTAACTAGCTGTAGAAAGATAAGGGATACAAATGAAATCAAAAATCTTATCTGTAAATGACTTTCTAGGCTCAGAAATGTTATTCGTTGTACCGAAAGCCTATAGATTCCGGAAAAGGTAAGAATCATTCGTATTCCTAGATCATTTTTATACCTTTTTTATTTTCGATATATTCGTAAATAATTGAGTTACTTAATTTGTGTACGCTATCTTAGTCGATGTATGTGAAACTCGGGTTCTTTGGACGCATTTTCGATCGCACTTTAAGTCGGCCCTATCAAAAATGTATCTTAGAGAGAGCAACAGGTAATAAATTTAGAACGCATTAGAGCATTTCACTATTAAAATTGTATGGAAGGTAAAGGTTGTTATGGCATTTTTGTTATTTAGTTTTCAGTGGGATAAAATGAATCGTTGTTATGGAAACTCTAATGAAGATACAGAAAATTTATCGAGTTTGCCTAATATAGATCGAATTCAGTTACCTCTCTATTCGAAATATTTACTTATAGCGGCATACTTGGCCTCATATAATCCTGTTAGTTCTGATAAGAAACTTATGAAAAAGGTAATCGTGTAACTTCACTTCACCATTTGTTATCATTTATGTAGCAGCGGAAGAAGTTTGTAAGTTATTGCTAATTAAAATGCGTCTCTTTAGGATAAACGATCTGGAACTAAAGCCTCTAGGCAGTATAGAGCTAGAAAGGTTCAATCTTCATTCATGAATTTTGACTATATTGCGACAATGTACTTTTAGTATTGTTAACATGGTGCCGATGTATCTAGATTGACGGTTGGCTATCGGGCCCAAAACAATTTAGTATCGAACGTATATTGGCAATATTCCATAACATCATTGAAGACGATGTACCAACCAATATCAATATTCTTGGCCAGGTCCACAAGAAATTTTGATGCGTTTAACATTCTTTATTGACTATTTAGTTAAATGATATTACCATGTGTGTAATGCAGCGTTGCATTTGTTATAAATTACAAATTTTCTTTATCAAGATTACTTCCTTGGTATCCTTGCAATATCTTACAAGGAATTCTGATGAAACTTCCACGACATATACGGTATATTCGTAAGATGTATGCAGTTTAGGTAGTTCTTTTAAGTCTTATTGTAATTAACGCAGAGCTTAAATTATTTTTAGTGCTTGGCAACTTTCGATTTTATTCGAAGTATCTCTAGGTTAGTACAACAGTTTCTCAGATTTAATTTTCCGGCTATATTTCTGTATGAGCGGGATATGCTAAAAGTTTTGACGTTTCAATTTTGCCATTGTGTTGTTTAAACTATCAGGAGCGTACAGTTTGATATTGTACCATATCTCTTTAATTTCTCCTGAACTTGGGCACTGCAAATTGGCCACCATTTCATTTTAAATGATACCGTCTTGCTGTGAGAAGATATTAGTCTCTGCAAACTACCGAATTCAATACGGATCCTCAAATTTCAACAAATTGTTTATTACTTTGAGATTGTATGAGTGTTATCATACTACAAAATGTATGTTATTAGAACTTTGAATAAGCTATGAAGGTGTATATTTCCTTTTAGTTATCAGGGATAGTGAGCATCTTGGATGTTATAAGTATTTTTGGTTATTTTTCTGATTAACCGCCTCAGCATTTGAAGTTCCATTAGTAATTTTATTGTAGAACTTCATTCTAAATTGTTTTGGTGCTACTTGCCATTCAATATAATTATATAATTAACTACTATAACTGTTTATTTCGAACAATCCACTTTTAGAAAGAAAATTAAAAGTTTGAATAAATTATAATCATTGTTTACTAACTGTAAGCCAGTTTGTGCAACTAAGCCATGTATTATTACTTACTGTATGTAATAGAAACATATATAAACTAATAAGAGTGCGAAGAATGACAGTATTAAACTCTACGAAACACCTAAGCTGTGCTTTGCTAGTATAATTTAGGCAGTAAATTTTTATTAAGTGCTGATAATTTATGATGATGACGGGAGAGCAATATGAAGACTTACCATGTACAACGTTTCATAACGATTTGTATGATGCTATATAGTTTATTTTCTACAGCATTGTATTGTTATAACACCACTTTATACTCATATAAAAACAGCGGGATTAAAAGGAAGGGATGGTTTAGGATTTTTGGTCTGTTAGATAGCGTTACAACGTTACTGACATAGTATTGACTTGAACAATTACGTGAGTAATTAGCAGCAATGAAGATGCTGTAAAGGTTAAGCTGAGTCAGGCTGTTGATTTATTATCCCTGAAAGTAAACCATTCATAAACTACTGTCAGGTAACACTTAGGCGTAGTTACGATGCGTTATCCAAAGGGATTACTGCTATTTAACGAAATTGCATACTTCCGATAACATGCGTGATACGTGACACCATATCCACTTTTTTGTGATGAACGCGGCAGACTTAGCTATTCACATACAAGGAATACAAACACTAATTTATTTCCGAAGATTCTTCGCTTGATATAAAAATGGAGAATTAGGTATACGATTTAATAATGATTAGACATTTCCGCTATTTACATAAGAATAGATTGAAAAGAGCTACTAAAATTAAATTTTGATCCAATAACTGCATTTATATTTCGTTCTTAAGTGAAAATTTAGCAGATTGCAAAGCTACGAATATTCCGATCATACTTAAAGGACCTATAGATCAAACTTTGCGCACTTTTTCATATCTAAGAGCAGCTTTGGGCAGATGATTCCTAATTCAGAAAATCGTAACTTCGTTATCTATTCCGTTTGTTTAAGTACAAGAATGCAATAGGAAGTGTTATTGGCTAACCATCTATATCCAGCGTCTTATATTTCAGCACACATCGTTTTCCATCTTCTCGCAATTTGATTATTTCAGCAAAATACTATAATGCAATAAAATTTCAGAGCATACAAGTATTCCTTTGGTTATATATCCAGGTATGCTTTCTAACAATAGGGCAGATTTGCTTACAAGTTACAATAGGACTTACTTCAACGATATGCCTGTCACTATCTTTTACGTCAATATCAGCCAAAAAATGACTAGAGGACTAAAGATAAAACCGCAGATATTACTTTAGATCGTAAAGCGGGTAATCAGAAGAGAAAATATCTATAGTGTACCAATCAGTGATCTATCTGCTACCTTATAATAATCAATGCAATGTTCGTAAAGCCTATTTAGTCATGTATAAACGATAAAGAAATTCTCATCACTAAAACATGATAATGCCGATTATAATCTGGGGGTTTTATACGCGTACTTTAAATGATTGACAATTTATTACTTACGTTGTAGTACTGTTTAATCGTGAACAAAACAAAACGTAATAGATAAATGCCTTGCCTATGATTTCAGCGTAGATACTATAAATGTATCATTAGTAATTCAAGAATCAATATCAGTGAACTATAAACTTACTAACGATGCAGATTCATGCAATTAAGGCATGTATGAATTATACCTTTTTACATATGCAAAGAAATATTTTTCGCTCTAATAATACATTAAATAGAAAATATAAAACAAACAATAATATCTATGATTAGTGATCATAAACCGTTTACCAGAAAAAATGTTAATTCCCATTATTACTGATCTAATTATGGACAAATGAAAAACAATAATTGTAGTAATACATATTATCATCTTACCTTCCACTTGTTATCTTTATTAATCAATCTATAAATGATTCTTCCTTTATACGGGGGAGTCACGATTACGTTTTTATCACAATTTATAATGGACACATAGCGCTAAGTTTCGTAATTTAAAGCAGTTAATAATATAAATTAGACAAATATACCAGTATTATAACCGAAAGATTAGAAGATAAATCTAAATTTATTACAATACCAGTATTACAAAAAACATCTGCGAAATCGATTAACCATGCTGTTATATTATCGCACATTATAAATTATGCAGAGTAGGAAGCGTATTAGAATTCTGGAGTAACTACAGTAATAACTTTCACCCTGTACTACGAGAATTGGCGAGGCTTTGATGACTAGCTTCGAATTAATTTTAGTCTTAACTAGACCACCAGAATGTCTTCGTGTGCAAGTGTACATTGTACAATAATATTCGTATAGATTATTGAAGCAACTTCCATATGCCTAAAATCTTAACTAGATGGTCTAAAACTAATTACACCAACAACTTTCTCTAGATGGTTTCTTTGAATTTAGTCAATAAATTTACATATTAACAAGATTTAAAAGTATTTATTGTAATTATACAAATATTATGGTTTCTAATCTATCTAATAGTTAAAAATCATATGTTAGTGGTATAGCCTTAACGAATTAACCAGTTTCAAACATCATCGAAGTGACTTTTTCTTGCAAGGCTGATGCGTACATCCAATTTATATTTGATTAAGGGCATTACAAGTCATTATAAGTCGTGACTAACTTACAATCGTCGGTTTCTAAGTGTACAGTGTATAATACCTCAATAGCTTTGGGTACGACTTCAGTACCAATAAGGCCTAGTAATTTGGTCCTGTGAGATTTTATCAAATTCAACATACGAAATATTATAGATTTCTTTTCAACGCAATATATTATATTATAATATGTTATACCACCATGAAGCAGATATGTACTAACTTCGCGAGATCGGCTATCTTAAGAGGTTCCTTTCTCCGAACATAAATATAGGTAGGGTAGCTATCATTTCATATACAAAATATTTTGCCGTTATGATGGCATAGATACACTTATATACACTAACTAAAATCACAAATACTTCTTTTCTTTCTTATAAATTATACCTAGCTTCTTCTGGTAAAAATTTTCTTAAAAAATTTATCCATTGTTGAACGATACTACAGAATTCAAAATTCAAAAATACTTAAAATTAACTCTAACGGTTACTAACGTAATGTACTTAAAAATGATGCATACCTTCTAGCACCATGCTTTGCACAACTTACGACTACGACAGGTCGACCACATAGAAGTGCATACAATAAATGTACGAGATTTTCGTGGTAATAAGCCAATAAGATTTCTGTGCACAGATTGTATATTTCATAGACGTTAATTTGCATCCATAAGAACGTTAAATATCAGATAACACTTACGATTCTCTCTGAGACCACCAGGATTCTCGCTATTAGAATAACATTGAATTAAATTTTTATACTGTTCTAATAAATTTCTTAAATAGTTTGCGAATAAAACTTTAATACAAGAAATATGAATGTGCTACCGAAAATTTAATCGCACCTAGGTGTCATATAGGATAAATTCTCGTCTTCTGTAATTCACATATTACGTGAAAAAATTTTAGGTAATAAATGCAATTATTGCAGTGTTATTGTACGAGTATATCTATATTAATTATTTACAAGGTGTTGTACAGTTACGCACAAGGACAGCGTGATGTATGAAAATAAGATCGTAAATTAGACAGGAACGGACTGATAAATAATGAGAGGTGCTAACTGCTTACGATCGTTTTAATAAATCTGAATAGGTTTATACCGATTCCGAAATTTACCTCTAACGGGATGAATTTTATTAGAGCTGTCGTAGCTTTGAGTAACACTCAGGTTTAAATCAGCTGACAGATTAGCTATCTGTACATTGCTATAATGACAGATAACAAATATCAATCGTTAGTATTTGTAATATAACCGATTGATTCTAAGAGTACGAATGAAATTTGAATAAAGAATGTTATAATAATACGATAGGATCATCTAGAGTAGTAATCAGAATTGTGGTGATATTGTAATTTAATTGGCTAATACTAGAAAATGAAAACTCTGTTTAAAAATAATAATGTACCTTGAGGTTTCATTGATTGTGGCAACATAGCCACTAGGAACAGTTCTGTAAACTTCCTCCTAACATAAAGTGATTGAATTATTTTAGGATATAGTTTACGCTACAGTAAATTTTTCCTTTTTAGGTAAAATATTCTTTCGATACGTCTTTTAAATATTGTAGTTCGTGACATCAATGTCAACAACATAAAACAACCTTTTCAAATATCGTCGTATCACTTTCTGTAGAAATTGATGGGGCATTCGATAAAGCTATGTAGTTAGCACTTGGTAGGCTAATGAAATTTAGGAAATGCCTTTAACTTCATTAGGTTATCTCCAAGTTGTATCACATTTATATGAATCATGTCATTTGTCTTATAAGAGCAGCTAAGTGCATAATTATAATTGGTTTAGATAATAATGTTGATTATAATTATCAAGCATTGTACGTACTCTGTAATATTGCTATTATACCATGGTTGTGACCTTGCTATTTATGAAAACGAATACGAAATATAAATTATAGTGCATTACGTGTTTACAAATTAACATCATACTTAAATAGTACCTAAAAGTCTACGACTTCGTAACTCTGTATCCAAGGAGATTGGATTTCGGCTTAATCGCTTTTAACGTAACATTAAAATCAAAAAAATTTTAAAGTTTATTATAAGTATTAAGGCCTATACTGTAATAAAAAGGGAAATCTTACTCACCATTAGTATTTGTTTGACATATTTTATAGTTATCAAGAAGCTAGAACCACAAAGATCAGAGATAGGTCTTTTCAAAGTAAAACGTAGACTATATTAAACACAATGTATTAATTATAACGTTTTTTAGATGATTTCAAATTTACCTAAGTGTAGGGATCGATGATCTTGGCTGTGAAGCCCTAACAGACCTAGCCTACCGTTTGATATTCAGTTAAAATAACTTATATAAACAATCATTTAACTGTACTGTACAGTATATGTCAACTTACTTGGTCAACATTTGGTTGATAATTACTATCAACAGGAAAGGATAATGCTAAAATAGTATGATATCGGTTATTTCGGATAGGTTCTTAATATCATCGATCTTATTTACAGTTAATAACGGAGTGGAACGAACTTAAAAATACAAGTAAATTAGGCATACTTACATCGTTTTCTAAATAAATGGTGTCTTACATGCTTTAGGGCATCTTCATATTCTCTATTTAATTTCGCTATGATAAATTAATGAAATATTAAATGCGGAACGTAAAACATGATTTGTAATATAATTGAATTAGGGTAATAGCTTGCCTGTTCTCTTTGCCTTAATGTGTCCAGAATCAATATTGAGTTTTTTTTCTAAAGAATTTAATTCTTCGATCACGGAAGGGTTACTTTCCTGTCATGTAATATTTCAGCAACAAATACGAATATACTACTTTTAGAGCCAATTCGATAAAAATTATATGAACACAGTTCATGAATGATCAGATACTACATGTTAGATCTAGCGCAGGATTTCGAATTATCATACCTCCATTTCTTCTAAAACTTTTAAAACGTTTTTCATTTCAAGAATAGACTTCTGAAGATGATTTTACACCCGGAACCCATTAATTAACGAGTAGAAAATGTTCTTACAATTGAATTATTTTTGAATTTGCAGTGTAAATTTCTAATTTTATAACGTGCATTGTATTATCCCAGCAACGCTCGGTATACTTACATCGTGTTGCGTACTGCTGTGACCTTCCGCGGTGTTCACATCTACTCATGTTGCAAAATAAGGACGCCTTTGTATTATTAATTTTTACCTTAAGTATTTGACTCATGCACGCATAACTATTGTAGGATGTTTAATATATACGTTTTAAACAAATGTTACCCGTAAGGTATCGCATATGATTCAAGAGGTCGTGCCTAAATTTTCTGTAGTTGCCACACTTCAAAAAGCACATTGCCTAATCAAAAGAATTTAAAAGGATGAAGTATTCTGATAACTGATTGCTATAATTATAATTAATGTGATTAAAATAAATAGTAGGCTGAGTAGAGATCAAGCACCTTGCTAAATTCACTGCAAAGATGATTGAAGTCATGCAAAATCGTCCTATAAGTTGTAACAGCATATGAAATTATAAGTAATAAATATAGCAACGGTCTTTTTAAATACTTCCAAAAAATTTCTTAATCTCAGCTCTAACATTCTATTGTTCGTAATGTAGGACAAGCAGAAAGGACGGACGAATCCTCTAGCAGTTATATCATACATGGTAAAATACCGCAACTAAGATGCAAGAAGATTTTGTGATTGGTCAGGTTAGCAGCAGTCACAATAGAACATCATTTTGAAATTGAACATACTATACCATAATATTTCATTTTAGTTGTAGTCATAAAAGCGCGAAATAGTTAATACGAGTATATATATATATATACACTTACGACTTAAAGCACTGCATTTAAAAAAAATAAATAATTTCTTTTACTGCTGTTTAAAAGCATGTTTGTATTTTAAAACCCTCCTAGTACCTTTATTAAGGATACATACATAACTATGTGCATTTTGTTCCTTATGTGACATGACCAGTTGAGAATCATCAACTATGCTAAAACCATGCCTGCAATATTAAGATTTTACGATTCATAACTCCAAAGTTAATAATTCTTAAATGTAGGTACTAATAATTCAGCAATTACGCAAGGTAAGAGCTCTCGAATAACAGTAAAGTACAATGAATATCTAGTCAGTTTGGCGGATACAGTTTATTACAATGTATACTGACCCTTCGCGAGATTGATAGTCAACCGACATTGCTTCTAAAGCAAAATTACTTTTATCAAAATTGCTGCCTCCATGATTGGGAATGGTCATCTGAAATGCAAGAATAAGGTACGTTCGAGCTTTTCAAAACACCATAGTTTCAAACTAACTAATATACTCATAAAATGAATGATATACTAGTAGTACTGGCATTTATTGTTTCATTTTGGATTCGCAAGGTTTATGTGTTTATATACGCTATACCAGGATTATGTTATTTTACACTAACTGTTATACTGTACTGCAGTGCTCCATACAATCCTATTGTTGATTCTTCTATACATACGTACTTTATACTTTGCAGTATGGTTTGTATTTACTGTATTATTTTGGGGAGTGAAGAAAGTCATCTGAATATACGCTTACAATTATAGTACATAATAAAAAAGTGTGGAGTATATATGAAAACACAGCTGGCTAGATGATCATGCCTGAATAACGGTATTCTAATAACACTTGATCCTACCTTCTAGAAATTTAACTTCTTAGAAGGAGTTATTGACACTTACCAACGGCTTGGGACCCTCAATTTCAGAAAATTCTACCAATAATATAAAATCTTGCTCAAAATTTTTATTCGTCCAGGGACAGGAAGGCTGGATCGACGTTTGAAATCCGCGGGTAATGTCATCAAATTGCGATCGTTTCCCATCTATGTTGTATCTTGTCTTAGCTGCAGCTGCACGCAATCGATTAGTGCTGTCAGCTTTAGCAGAAGTCATTCCATCAAATTCATCAATTGTGTTTTGAATCGAAGCAGCAATTGATGGAGACTCGGCCATCCTATATGCATCGTATATACCATGCATTTTCTTCCACCTTATACTGTACAAGTACTGTATATTACCGTATCTCAGAAAAAACTGATATATTGAATTAATTAAGGTAGCTCAATCTAGCGTACGGTAGAATTGATCCACTTGCTCTCCAAAATATGTACAAATGACGGATCAAATGAGACGGTTTCGTATCATTGATTAATTAATGCGCATGAAATACGGTACAAGGTAAAAGAAACTAACTAACTAACTAATTAGAACTGTGTGTATTTACAGTATGTACGTAAATAGTAAAATGTGTAAGTATAGTAGTGTACTATCTGGCATACTGGGTGATACTAATGATAGTACGTATCGTATACTGTATACCGAATCGCATCAAAGCTAGTCGGAGGTCGGACTGACTTCTTGGTACCATATAGAACACTACTGCATAGAGAGATTTTGCTCAGGATACTACGCATGCGTATCGTAAATACTGCACAGTATACAGTACACAAGTGTACTGTACAGTGTACAGTACAGTACAGTTACTACAGTAGCCTGAAGGGCACTTAGTTTCCTTCTTTCACGATGGTGCGATATCGTAGTGACGATTCTGATGGCGATTCTGCCATCCTCCTCACCCCAAATAGAAGTAGGCAAGGGCATCAGAATAAGAAGAAATGTTATTGTGCTATCCTTAGCTGTGTTGGTACTTTGATCATTTTGGTTGCAATAGCGACCATTGTCTTGATAGCTTTCCATGCGTCGTGTAAAATTACTTGGTAAGCTTACGCTTTTAAAACTTACTGTTATTATTATTATTTTATAAGAAAACGTCATCCGTACTATGGAGTTACTGAGTAGTTAATAAAAGTTTATACGTTTCAGTTACTAATTTTTATTTAGCCTTAATTTTAAAGAATACTGTAGTGTGCTGTTCGTATTTTATTTCAACGACAGAGACTAATTAGTAAATTAAGAACTGTCGCTATTAAGATTAATGATTTCTAATTTTGTGAATTGAGGAATCGTTTTAGCCGCTTAATAATGGATAAATGTATAAAGTAAAGGGATCACAAAAGATTTTTAGTATTCGTAGTTCCTGACGTATACAGTACAGTATTTGAAATTTTGAAGTTTAAAAATTAGATTATTAGTGTATTAGATACACGCGTATAATCCCAAAATCCTATTTATAAAGCTATTGCAAAACATACAATAGGATTCTGCATAGGAAGGACGTCAAATTTTAGTATCGTCTTTACACTTTCCCATTTTATTAAGAGACTTATAAACCAACTATTTTGAAAGTTACTGCAGACATGAACGTGACACACGTACTAGTAAATAGAGGCCAAAGTCAGGATTTGTTACAGTTTATTTTTATTATTTGCTTACTGCATTGATACCATTTTGTATTTTAGTTGATCTACAGTAGTATAATATATCCTATAAATTATGAACTTTGTAAGGCTTAGTCATGAACCCTGTTACAATATACGCGTATGCCTTCTACATTGTGTACGAAAAAGAATTTTAACAAATGACGGATGCAGTAAAATTTGTAAAATACAAGACACATTTACTCATTTTATAATATATATAATTAGCTATATTCAATAAAGGAATAGTTAGCTAATCAGGCGCGTATGCGCACGGATAATTTTAAAAATGAAGCTTCCTTGTATATTGAATCGCAAAATTTTATTCGGCTTGCAATGTTTTACCTTACCTATCGCCAACTAATGTAGGCAATTTAACGAGGACTGTGATACTATTCGAAATGCGATCGTCAATCAGATTCACAATTGGACCAGTGACACCAACTGTCAATACGGCGGAGAGAAATGCCTTTATCATGTAAGATGATACGTATACAGTATTCTCAATATCTCTATGTGGGATATCGTCGCATTCTTATTTTCATTTATTATATTATTAAAGTAGTTGCGAACTTGAGTACACGCTTGAATGCTAAATTTTGCAAGATAGTAATATTACTTACTAGGTATTTCTTTAAATTAGAGTTATGGTACGATTCATTAATAAGATACGATAGTCACTAGTCAGTATGCAGCACTTGAAGATCTTTTTGCTTTCGCATTACACTAATTGCACATTTTGGCAAATTAACTTTAGCTAAGTCATCCCTCGTAACAGACATATATATTTGAGGACGCAAACACTAGCTTAGAGAATTATTCTCCTTAAATTTTAGGATCTGCAATTAATGTAGCATAATTTATGATGTACTATACAGTAACTGAATATTGCTAAGATCATGCACCTACAACACTTTGTAGAGTCTCACTAAATTTAGTTACGACTTTTTACTTTGTAGTGTGCAGTACGTGTATGCAATGGATAGGCAATTTATATAGTAATTACACAGGCACTACCGTTAGAGGACTGCTTAATTTATTTCGTTGTATGAGGTCTGTAGAGGAATCTTAACTCAAGCGACATTAAATTTCATTAAAATCACAAGGCAAATACGAATGCTATCTTACTAATTATACAATTTGTCTAATTAACTTTTGCATCTTAATTTCTGTAATTGTGATAATTAGCTTATTTCCGAAACGCCTAAAATGGTAGTGGCTTATCATGTTACCCCAAAGGCTCACTATAGGGATAATTTAAAATTTCTCTTTATCAAGGATCCCGGCGACGGTGTGCAATGCGAAGTTCAAGTAAGTATTCATCAGACGTACATGGACTATGAATCAAAGTTATGATTGCTTTTATAAGTTCTCATCATAAAATCGATGCCCCATGAGAAAAAATAATGCTTAGAAGCGAACTGCGCATTAGAAAATATATTATTTAGCTTTAAACGATGATCACCTGTGATAAATAAGTATTGCTTACATCATAAGTATATTTTTTATAGCTTGTAACCTTTTGTTGCATCATCTTTTATGCTAGGGCTTTTCTGCATCTGAAATATTCTATGCAATTCTTGATTTTGGTACGAACTATTGCAATCTTCATAATTTAATTGTTGGTAAGTATTGCCATTACTATGATAAAGCTTTGATCATATCTTAGCTTTACCGACCTTAAGACGACACACAATACTGCTAAAAATATTTAGCCTAAATTCTGACTCTTAGTCAGAATACGAACATATTTTGTAAACCTTAAAGAGCTGCTAGTAAATTCTTCTAAATACCATTTCTGTATTTCCAGGCAGTGGTATAGACAGAGTTCCCGGATATAAAGAAGAAACATCGGATAGCATATGCACGCAGTACAGTATTGCTAATTGTACCCACTTCTGATCAAAATCTAAAGCCGCTTCATTATTATACAGCAGAACACTGCATTTGTAAACACAACCGAATTATTTTAGTAAATACATATTCGAAGAGCCAAGATGTATTTACTAACTTTAATAACGGTTTAGTAATTTACTTTGATTTCTCTATCGATATTGTATAGAAACTCTTACGTGGTTAAGTTCAGCAGATCGTTATTTTATTATTGACTATAATGTACAAGTACAAGTTCTACTTATTGTATAAATCTAAATCAGAATTTCGTTAGGTGAGGAACGTTAGCTTTTATCTTCACTAAATAATAGGTTTCTAAATTTGCCTATCATTTTTAATTTTTCCCAATTTATGGATATATTTATATATATATCACTTCTAAAATAATTCAGTATAATTGCAATAAACAGAATACAGAATTCATAGAAAATCTGATCATTCTACCGTCCGGGTACATTTTGATGTTAAATACGAAACATCTACAGTATGGTACTAAGTTTTATTGGATGTATACATACTAGCGTGCAATTTTTAAATTAAAATGACGATTTTATTGTTGTAGAGAATAACCTTACATTAAACTCGTGCATCCGTCCTTTTATTTGATGTAATCATTAGTAAAGTTAGTATACAGTACATTGCTACCGTTGTAAATTACAGTAGTTAATTTATTATAACTATGGATATGATAACCAGTCTAATGATGAAGTTACTAGTCTCAAGTGTCTACAGGCAAAGGATGTGCTTCTGTATTTAAGACCCATTTATCTAGTGGTATAACATCATCATCACTAAAAAGCAAGTAAAGATATTTTAATGTTTCTGCTAAAAAAAAGCTTTGTTGGACATCATCTTGTTGAGCTGGAACAGTGTAAACATCACGAATCCCACTATACCCTGCTGCAGCTTTGCAATGTTTTTCAATAGCCTGTGATTAAGTCAATCAATTGCTTAAAATAAACGACAGCAACTGCGAAGTATGTTGGCTTAGCGTAATCGATATTGAAGTATTACATTACTTATGCGTCCTACCTGAGCTGCATCCCATCCCCAATCACGATATTTTTCATCGTGCGTCATCCGCCAGAGTACAAAGTAAGATTCAATAGTTTCCGGGCGCAAAATGTAATATTTTTCATTCCCGTAAATAGCTCGTGCCTCGTTACCTTGATCGAAGTGGAATGCTTCCGGTCCGATTCTAGTAGCTAATATTAATAGTATACGATTTCAGATACGATGAGTTCATTAGACAGTAGTTTGTCTAATATATCAAATTTTATTGAAGAAGCAAACCAACCTGATTTAATATACGTTTCATGACAACTGCTGGTAATTTCAGCACCCAAACGTACTTGTTCTTTACCTTTTGCCGGATCAGGATGATTATACCCGCCTAAGGCGAACATTCCTCCAGCGAAGCAAGCCTATCAAAAACGTTATAAACAAAAGCCATCAGTATATCGTGAGACGAAAAAGTTTAGCCACGCAATTACGGTTACCAAGTGATCCATTTTACTAGATGGATGACCTCCGTGTAATTCTGCAAGGTAAGTCAGGCCAAGCGAAGGCGATTTCTTTATCATATTGCTGTTAATGGACTAAAGAATATTCAAACCTGAATTAATGAAATGCTAAAATAAATTTTAATGCACATAATCTCTGCGATAAGCTATATTTAATGCCTAAATTTGTTAAAGACGGCAGACCTCTACAACGTTATAGTACATCTTCTTCGCTACTTCATCCTTTTTCCCTGACATCACGTACGACTTTATTAAGTATTCATAAAAGCTATCTCCTAAAGCACCAAGAGTTACGGTATCTGGGAAAACATAAGGACAACTAAATAAGTATAACTTACAAATGAACATTACGCGATTAAATACAATTTTGAAAGATCCCGTAACTTACCTTGAACCCAACTGCCAGAATCGGGACTTATATACACTGGATATAAACCCCTCGGTTTATCAATTTTATTTAAATGGCTACGAATGCGATCAACCTACAACATTAAAGTAAATTTTGAAATAATTTCTTCATTAACCGGTTACGCAAAGACAATAAAAGGGATCATTAAATTTAATAAAACTTAAAATATAGGTTAAGAAGAATAATACCGCTTGAACATATTTTTCCTTTCCGGTGACTTTACTCAAATAGGCAAATTCCAAATGTAACGTACCAATTTCGGCCAAAATCGATGAACCACCTGCAGCCCAGCCCCAATTTCGAGATCCACCACTGCTCGTAATTTTTTCGATATTCGAGGACACACGCGTACAAGAGTAAATAGGGAGATTTTTATAACGTAATCAGGTAATACCCATATTGTAATGAAATCATTAGAAAAGATTTACGACTAGAAATTCGTAAATGTGAACATGAGTACATAATATCGTACCTGGCAAGATTAATAGTTGCTCTCGGGATTCCGGTTCTGGTGTTAAATGCAGGCATTAGTTTGTCAGCCAACTCTTCAGCTTTATTTTTGAATACCTAATAGGCAATGAATACGATAAACTGTAACAGGTTTGAATGAGTCGCTAAAAATCAAATTATCTAGCGAATATCAGAGATGGTCCATTACACTGCAATGCTGCTTATTTACTGTTTGGATCTAACCTTAAAAGCATATAAACTGTACAGTGTAATCGATCATTACATATATAATTATTGGTATTGTCGCATCGGAGCAAAATAAAATAAGCAAGGTAAATTTATATGCCATATATCGAAGACAGTCAACTTACTTTATCTTTTGTGAGAGCATAAGCACTTAATAGACCACCAACAAATCGGATAGTAATTTCAAATACTGAAGCTTCACCACCCTTTAATCGTCGAAATAGTTGATATAGAATTTAGTCAGTCTTCATTAACAAATCACTTAACTAGAATACAAATGAGAGGATAACCTCGTGTAACAACAATACTGCCCTTTACACAATTGTAACATTCATAATCGACAAGACTCATCAAGCTTCAATTTAATACTCCGTCCTAGCACCTTACTAGCAGTTGAAAATACGCACTACCATTTAAATTACCTTAATTCTATCTAGATTAACAAAATTATGAAGATTGTACTGTATAACTGATCTTAACATAGCAGGCAAGCGGTTACAATGTTGCTTAGTATCAGCACCAAGTCACTAGATATTTTGCAAAGTCGCATAGTTGATCTAAAAATGCGCTACACATTCTGTATCACTAATTATTTGGGTGCGTGATCCTAATTCTTATCATTTCTTTAGGGTTAATTTTAGTAGCACGAGCTTAGTTCTAAAAGGTTTTTAATGACAGTTTATGAACGTAGCATCGCGCGAATAGTGCGTTGTAATTTGCAGCTTTAAGTCGCAGACTATTACGAAAGTCTGCATACCCCTTGAAATTTTAGATTCTTTGCGATCCAATCTTTTGCTTTCTTAAATTCATCGTGCATGCCCATAATATGAAGTGTATCAAGAGCATCAACTATCGTTGCCCCCATCGAAGATCCAAATATTGAAGCCGAATGACTAGAGAGGCTTGACGGTCTTAATTCATTAGATCCCCATGCATATTTAACATAACCATTCCAAGCATGCTGCATCATCTATCCAATTTAAATTTGGTAAGTGTAAATTAGCAATAATTTACGGTAACGTATTAGGAATTAGAGTATATTAATTATTCCACCGTATAGGGTGCATCTGTCATCAAGCACGCAAATGCATGAATAATACACAATCTAATCTTTTAACGAAAGGCCAGCCTACAAAGCGTTTGTACCTTTTTAATGAAGTCTCTTTTCTTTTTAACTTCAATAGATTTATTATCATCCACTTTACCTTGTTTCTCAGATTCTTTATCTTTATTAGGCATATCTTTCTTACCTTTCTTTACATTCATATCATTATTGTAACTCTGTTCTTTATCTATTTCTTTATCAACATGCTTTAAGGGCTTATCCTCCTTTTCCTTACTTTCTAGAGGTGGAAATCTGATTGATTTCTTGTTCGCATTTGGAGGTGGAATAGCTAGTTGATGCTGATTATTGTTATCTTGTCCGTCTAGCAACTTAGTATACGACTCCTTAAGGTCTGGTACATAGTAAAATGCTCCAAAGCAGACAAAAACAAAAGCAATAAAGATCATTAGCAAAATAAATTTTTCACGGCTGCGGCGTACGCCTTTGCTCGGACTTATTGCAGCGCCGTCTGAGTGACGATGGTAAGTGGGTAGCATAGTACAGTGTGCTACGTGTGCTACGCTGTGAACTTGGCTGTAGGAATCTTCAAGCGCTGATTGCCAATTTATAGAAGCATGCAAATAAAAGATTGCATTTGATACCTAATGTATTTTACAAAATTAATAATTATACAAATGAGTAGAATCGATATAAGCATAACTTTATAACATTGCTTACATGCAAAACTTCGTTGTTATGTAAAATACAAATTTCACGCTGATCAAGCTACTGGAAATCGTATTGGCAGTCGTTAATATTTCAACCTTTGAGTTAGCATGTCCAATGACTTAGCTGACGACGTGTAATGTTTATATGATACTTACTGTACAGTACATACTCTACAGTACAGTACTGTACTGTACTGCACGTTGTCTCTTCTACAGTACTGTACACTGTACAGTACTATACAGTACTGTACAACCAAACCGGACCAACTCACAATCGTTAAGATCTGTACTGTACAGTACAGTATGTACAGTAGTACAGTACTGTACTGTACAGTATGTCAGCAAAGCGGCAGGACGCTAAGCATTATACTGTACAGTACAGTACTGTACAGTAGTTGATCAGCACTGGCTACTGTAATACTGTACTGTGCAGTATAGCAGGTACAGTATACTGTACAGTGTACATGTATTGCACACTACAGTACAGTAGAAACACGACTTTTCTACAGTACTAGTCCATGACTAGGAATACTGTACAGAATACCTTGTGAGAGTTATACTGTAGTTACTGTTATCACAGGTACTGTATTCTTCTAGTGGACCATGCTCAGTACAGCTGTACCGTAACTGGGTACCCGGATTGTACAGTACAGTACTGTACTGTACTGTACAGTACAGTACTGTACTGTACTGTACTGTACAGTACACTGTACAGTGTGTATATATTGTGCTATGCACTCAGTGTACAGTAAATTATGTCGAGTATTTCCGAGAACGATGAGTAATACGACTTACGAGCACTTAGCTGGTAAAATGATCAAGTCGCCAAAGGATAAGTATGGCTTTACAAAAACTAGTACATCCGACGAAGAAGAAGCGACACTTTCAGGGGCAAATTGTAACATAAATCATTCTGTCAATACTACTCCTGTACGAAGCAAAACTAACAAAAGCAATAAGAATAGAAAAGTATCAAATACGGTAAAAAATAGATTGTATAAAGATCCACTTCAAGTCGATAACGAGCTCAAGTCTGCGGTAAATGCATACTGTAATAAAGTTATACAGCTAGCCATCAACTATTCAATATTCTTACCAAATTGTCTTCAACTTATCGGATATTCTAATAGCGAAATTATAACCTTACTATGAACTTGGTCGAATTCGATACTGTAATATGCAATATAATTGCCTACAGTATTGCACTTGATCCTATTTACTGTTCTGTACAGTATTCGTATACAGTAGCTGGAATTTAAGTATAATATTTCGGTTATGATATCGATTGTAGAACAAATTTGAGAAAAATACTCCAATAATAAATAGCAATAAGGAAAGAGGAAATAAGCCATCGTTTACGACTGAAATTTTAGCGATGATGTGAGTCATTAATTTTGTAAATACTATAGCAGTACAGTACAATAAATGTTAATTAAAGAATTCTTGAATGAGCTCTGCTATACGATATGCAGGGAGTATTTTTACACATTGCAATACTGTATTAAGGTAAGGTTAATCACCACTGCTCTTACCCTATTTCAATACATTGTATAGGCATGCATTTGGAGATGTGGCAAATCCTCTTTATCAGTCCGCGATATTAATTGAAGAAATCATTCGCCGCCAAATTTCAAACTTGGTGATTTAAACAGATTCACGAAGTTAACCAAATACTGTATAGCGATTCTAAGTTTGCTAGTATCTTCTTGCAGTACTTCAGGGTGAACCATGTCTCCCTGTAATAAATCTGATCCGTAAACCAAATTTTATTTTTCGAAAATTAAATAGATCTTTATCCTAGTGCTGTAGCGTTAATATTTTAGTCAATAATTAGATGAAATATACGAATGTGCCGCCTTACTGTAGTACTAAAATCAAAAAATGTCTTGCTTTTATATGCTCTGTACGATACTGTAAGTCCATAAATAGTTAAGCACAACAAAAAGATGAGATATTATTATCTATAGCTATTTGTAAATTAAAATTATACAATAAGCGATTTTCGATTTAGTATTACATTTGTTGATCGTCATTTTAAGCTTATACTGAATCTTTCAACGCTATTAAAGTAAATTGAATCTCTTGTTCATGGAATGTACGATATAGCTGATCAAGACTTCAGAGTTGACCTTGTTGCGAGGAGCGAAAATTATGACTGTCGACGATATTTTATTACAATTTAGAAAAAATAAGGTAATCTACATTTAGTAGATATTGATTCTTTGACATCTAACTATGCCTTTACGTACTTCATTGTCACAAAAATGAAATTTCCATTTTTCACAGTATTTCTTCAACTGTAAACTACTAAATGTTTCATAGACATAGTAATTGTCAAATGTTTCAATCCTTGATATTACAGAAGAAGTATAAGCACATTTTAAAAATCCTCAATTTTAAGGAAGCTAAAGCTAAAACGCTAAAGCATTACATGTATGCTGAAGATGATATTAATTATGCTAATATAACCGGTAAGATTCTTGAGAATTAGAAGTTAAATGTAGTTGTGTTAATCTCTTTGTAAGTTTATTTCTAAGCATGGATATTTAAACTAGCAGCATCACTCTAGAAATTTATAAAATTTAGCTTCATTAATTTTTATCCAGCAGAATTAACCTAATTTAACCCTATTTTGTCAACAAATAACGATTTGCTTTCTAGCTGATACTAGTGAAAGAGATTCAAGTAAAATAAGAAAATATTCATCAGAAATTTTTAGCCATTACGACGATATGTGTAAATTTTTGGACATTTAGTTATAGATATTCTTTTTGCAAAACATATTTTTTAGATATTTCATTCTCAGCGACAAGTTTAACACTAATATGCAACTTATCTTTAAAGTCAAGCTTGCGTAAACTGTCTTATTGTACTAACGTATGGTAATTTAGAAAGTCGCAATTTTTAATTCTAATTCTGTTGTAGATCATAGCTTTGAATTAGATCGTGACGAAATTCAAGCTGAAAGAACTGAAGTAAGAATGTAACATTGGAGTAGTGCTATATTCAAAGTTATTAAAATGAAATTTATTTGATTTTCTAGAGTTGTTGAAGATCTAACAGAGTTTATTTATTTACTCAGAGATTGGAAATACTAACACGTAAAATGGATCAATCACAATATTTAGAGTTTTCAGAATGTCGTCAAGTTACTTTTTGTAAGTTTAGTAATTCTGTTATTGATTAAATGAACTGCTCCCTAAAATTTTACCAATGGCCTTACTTTTTACTTTACACGCTGCGAATGTTGCCTATACAAATATCGAATTCCAGCTAAAAGAATAAATAAATTTAGGGAGTGGCTAGACTGCATATCGATTATAGATGCTAAACCAAACGTGCAAGCGATTGAATTACTGAGTGTCCTTGCATATGAGACCGTTGGAAGAGTAAGTCGCATGAATATAAGTTTCTGTACATGACATTAGTGTCCTCTTGTAATATAATTTAAGCTCCTGAAATTTAAAATTTTCATTTCACAGGTTATAGAGCTTTCTTTAATTGTTAAAGCCGATACAGAACATAGAAGCAGTGACTGTTTCTTATTGCATTCGAATCGACTATGCCTATCAACTGCTCCTTCCCCCGAGTTTTCGGAAACTAGTTCTCAGCTACCCTCTACTTCTGGAATTACTGGCAAACGAAAAAGATCTCATAAGGTTTACTAAATGCTTGCAACGGTTGATTATAGTGACCATAGCACTGAGCGTATTTAAATATTTCTGACTATTTTAGGATCAAGATAGTTGGAATTTTCCCGGTGAACCGATTTATCCGCATCATATACAAGAGGCTATTCGTAGATGCGACACTATATTGGGACCAATGTGTCCATTTACTGTTAGTTTATTTCATTGAATTAAATTTTGCATCACTTTACTTGATGTAATTTTTTGTTGTGTCTGTTCAATTATAGAGCTATCCTCTGTCTGCTCCATTAAATCTGCGAACTCTATGTTCTTAAACTTCATAGTTCTATAAGATTTGTCATCGACAATGTTAAATAATGTGCAGGTATCTTTAACACTTCAATTGTAATATTGCGTTGGCGGTTGTAGAATTAATGTGATATTATCTCGCGTATAATACGAAGTGAAAATTGATATATTATGACGTAAAATTGTAAATTTTCACGGGCTATTTTGGTATTGATTTTGAATCAATGCATATTTAATTACTTTATACTAAATATCCTTATCTTCATTAATGATATAAATGCAATCTTATGTCCTTGTCTTCATTAATGATATAAATGCAATCTTGTGTATCATTAAATGAACATTATCTATAACACTTAACAGTTCGCCTGTGTATTTTGTGCTTTGCTGTTTATAAATGTATAAATTTGCCTATATTGCAGCAATTAAAGGTGTATCGACAAAGACTATCCTTTAGAAGATACTGTAGAATTGGCGATCAGATAATACTTCAATAAAAATAATTACTTTTTAGCCGGGAACTGCATAATTCAAAGTGATTACTTAAATAAATCAGTATCTGGCAGAAATCAATGTTTTCGTTCGTTACAAGAAGTGTCCAGCATGCTTTTTGGGCTAACGAGTAAGTAAAATTCTAAATCCTGTATCTGTCATCATTTAAAATTTAGAATCTCTTGACCAAACCTATGATTCTTAGTTACCATATATAACGGAGCCAAACTCTGGTCCACAAATGCGGACATTCTACCAGTTGCTATACTTGAAGTAACACACCATTACTAAACATATTCAGTAGAAGATATAATAAAGAATCAATGCAACACATAATAGATTTACTATTAATATTTAAAATATTGAGATACAAATATATGTATGCACTATATTAAAATTAAGATTATGTATCTTCGCAACAAAAACTACAGTATTTTGATTATAGCTCGCAAAATTTTAAGTGAAAGCAACTTACTACCAGATAGGTGATCATTGTATAGCTATTCAACGAGTACAATCGTGTCCATTGAAACACTTTGAAACACAGGTGTCTAATTGTATTGTATTACTACCCAAATGTAGCACAACGAATAAAGGAACCATCTGCTTTCAACTTCGAAGGTTCAAATATTCCAAGTTTGCTATTAATTACCTGATTATCTTTATTGATAATAGTCTTAATTATAACAATCATTTGTATAGTACATTATAATTGTAATATTTCTTGGTGATTGGAACCTTTTGTCTGATTTATTAATCTAACTTAACAAATTATACGTTTTGCGTTTTCATAACAGTGGATTTTTCAAATTTTTAATATTTCACGATTAGTTACTTTATCAGCTTATAAATAGGAATTTAACTGTATCTTGTTAGGTAACATTCTCTGCTAAATTAATAATCTCAACAATAAAAATACTAAAAAACACCACAAGGATATCCATAGTTTAAAGATTACATTATTTACAAGATACTAGAATGTTATATTCATGCTATAGTCCGGCAAACATCCAGTAGATTCTCTTTCAGGATCGGATTAGTAAAAGTATATCATATTGACTATAGCTATCATAGAGTATGAGTATTGATTAATCATTTTTTGTATGGATGAGACCTATTTGATTCTGAATATCCAGGATAGCGTCTATCTTCTAACCTGAATTTTAAAATATCTTTTATATCGTACATGTACAGGATTCTTAATGTCCTTAACCTATTGTGCTATATTAAGCGTTACCTCTGTCTTAAGTCATTAATTTCTTTATCTTTTCTATTAAGCTCTTGCTTTGCAGTTTTGTACAAGGTCGATATATTCTTCATCAGGTTATTATTTTGCTTTCGTAGCCGCTCTACCTAACATACCAAATCATATAACGTTATAATATTTAAATTTGCAATTAAATAGGCCTTTCATATGCATATATTGTATAAATATAATACGTAAATCTTATCTTCTATTGTTTTTATTGCAAAATAAAATCTCAATCGAGTTATAATGCAATAAAGGAAATCTTTATTTTACCCACAATTTTCGATAAATAGAAGAAGACATAAGAAAGGAGGAGTATTCAAGGATTTCTGTATTTACATTAAATATTACTATATAAACTAATCATTACACATAACTATTTGATGGTATTCGAATTGATTTAGACAATCAGAGCTTTCAAAATAAATCAGGAAAAAGTGCTACCAGAGAATTCTAAAATTTACCTCCATTTTTAATTCCTCAATCTTCTTATTTGCTTGATTCTGTGTTTGCTGTAGCTGAGCACCAGAGGTTTAAAGATTATAACAATAATTCAGTTAATCAATTTATCCCATAAAGCTTTGCTTTTCGTACTCTTAGCTAAACATACAACTAATCATTAATAAAGCTCCAAAGAGGAATAGTTTAATAAGAATATACCACACGCATAGTGCGTTAGTAACGTAAAGTTCTAATCCAGTAATGCTATCTCCATAAATAGATGAATGTAAATTAAAATAATTGTAAACTTATGTTGACTCAATTTTTATTGATACCCAACTAAATGGAACGTTCGTAAACCAAACTTACAATATCAGAGAAGTAGTATCTACTAATTTTGATTCCCTTATAAATTATGGCTACCACAGTACCTACAGTACTTTAGGAGTTTAGAGTTAGAATTATCGAAATACAGAGTAAGCTACTAGCAGAAAGTATTACATCTTAAATTGATCATGGATATCTAAAACCATGTCTAAAACGATGTATTATTTTGTTAGTGATTCTTGGTACAAAGCGAGCTGTGAGTTCTTACCAATTCTACCTTGATTCATAAGTTACAAGGTGAGCTGTGATCTCTTAATAATCTCACCTTCATTCATAAGCTTATAATTATAGGTTTATATTCTATCCAGTAGCACTACAAGTCCTATAGTCGTACCAAAATTTCGTGATTGTGAAATAACAAAGCTAGCTTTTGAAGGCTGTAAAGTTGAAAATTGCTTTCACATCAGGGCCAAGGGCTACTAAAGAGTGACCTCGCAAGCGTTGGATTGTGCAGACTGCACAGTACTATACTTAACATATTTATTTAATATGCAACAAATCACCGGATACTGCATCGATAAATTAGAGTAAAGCTGTCCTATGCTAAAAATTATAATTAATTAACGACTGACTAATTATATTATACGAAAGGAGCAGTACTGTACAGACACTCGTGTAGCATTGCAAGCAGAGTTTGGAAGTTAAAGTGTGAATAGTTGTAACTCTGTAATGTCAGTTTCAAATAACTTTCAAACCTGTTCCAAAACTTGCTTTGTATCATCCGATGACTCTGTCTTAATCTGCAGGTCTCCATAAAGGTCTATATCATCATCTAATAGATTAAGGCATTAAATTTTAAATTTCAGCACTTTTGTGGAGTACGCTGTATATATATACGAATGTACTGCACATTAACATGTACATTGTACAGTACAATATAGTATAATTCGGGTTAATAAGAAAAAAATACAATTATGTTAGTGGACTAGCTCACCCATTCTTTTAAAATATACCGTAGCTTAATTTAATATTTGCCAAGGCTACCGCATTGATAGCAGAAAGGTTGTGGCTTAATTATTAACTATAATATGATTTATTGTTATTATTGTTACTGTACAAGAAGGGTTTCCTCTAGTAGTCCATGACTGTACAGTACAGTACAGAGAGTGAGAATTCTCCCTTATCACTGTACTGTACAGTACAGTTCACACTGTCTTTGCAACTGTACTGTACTGTACGCATGATAATAGGCGTGTATTTGTTACTATCGCCCTTTATTATCCAGGGTTCGTCGTTGAAATGGAAAGAGAGAAGGCAGCAAAATTGAAAGAGATTAGAATATTGGGTGAATTCAATCAAGGCCATCAACAAGTACAGTCGAGTATGTATAAAACTCTTCTTATACGTATTATTCGCATATCAAATATATGCCACTGTTACTTATCCCGGCTGGTATACGTATACACATTGTACTGTACGTAGTAATCCACAGGTTACTGTAAAATAACACTTATTACAGGCATTGACTTCTGAGACAAATATTAATCTCAGAAGCCCCTGGTACAAATGCACACTCATATCGTATGTACAGTTACATATAATATATTTAATTTTAATGTCTTACCATCTCTTTGCCATGGGCTACTAATAGTAATTTTAGTAGTCTATAACTCTGCCTACTGCGAGTCCGATTGAGGTAGCAATATTATTTTTAATTTCTCTTGAACCTACAGTAGTTTATAAACAAATCAGATTATTGCACAGTTCAGTATATGAGCCCTTCACGGACATACTCGTATACACAGTATACTACAGTATCGTCGCATTGCTGGCTGAGTAAACCCCGTGAAAGTCACAATTTGCCTCTACTGTACTCAAGATGACTGGGTTTTGAGTTAGGTTTTATTTCTTAAGTTTTATTTTCAGCTTTAAAATGTGAAATCTCCTTGAGTAAACCTAGAAACTAGACGCATAAAAACTAATTAATGCAGCATATTCAATTTATCAAGTACGATTGACATGGAGGAGCGCAATCATGTCGTGCTACTTAATGATTAAATAAATTATTGCCTGCTGAGATCTAGTATTTACGAACATCATTAGATATCGATTTCTGCGAACATTCATCTGTCGTCCAATGAAAAATCATGTCAACTAAATCTATAGTTACTCTATCTCTTAACTTAAGTAGTGATGGTGTAACGTTCAATGTTTCATCAGCATTAATTTTTGTTATATTCGCTGTGAGATAATGTAATGTCTCATGCAATTCAATAGTTCATTATTCGTTATATTGTTGTTGCTATTGTACTGTACTGTATGATGTACAGTACAAATTGCACATCCAGATATCCGTGTTTTATCGTGAATAGTTTGTGCAGATCAGCATTTCGTCACTGTATTCGTACACTGTACACTCATTGTACAGTAACCCATGTATTTGATCCTGATATCGTACGTGCGACTTGTTAAGATTAAAGCATAATACAGTTGTTACTGTAGTAGCTCGCTACAGTTTGGTGACAGTTTTTCCGCAGGATACTACGAGTGTTCCTTCAACGCCTTAATGGATTACCATTGATGGTGTTCAAGTGAATTTCAATAGAACTTAGTTCAGCTATAGCACACTCCCTTGAAATGATATCGCATGACTCAATAAGCAATTTACTGTAGAATCTGGATTGTACCAGAAAGAAGCTAATTATATTGTTTGAATTCGAGGTAAATTCAGCTCTCGATTTGATTTAGTAGAAATTGCTAATCAGCCTATACATATTTAAAACCTAACTGTGATGAAATTGTTTGGATTTCAGTAAGTAATAATTATAGAAATCAATGGGTAACACCTCCCAAATTTAATAAACGCACACCTCAATTGCCGGATGCCGAAGGTACTGTAAGATATATTCAGTAATATTCCACAAATAAGGAAGCTTGCTAAATTACTATGAAAGACTTTATCAATATGCTTTGAAAGCTCTATCGTGTCTCAATATTTAGGTGGAGAAAAATCATTAGCCAGCGATACGCAAGAATATAAACGAACTACTGAGAGGGTAACTGAAGCCTGTTGCAGAACTGATCTACGAATACTATACAGTCTTTAGCATGTGTTAGCATTATAATTAAAATGTTGCAAGTAACGAATAGGCGGTATTATACACCTCCAAACGGTCAAGTTATTCTATTTTATATGGCGATCTAGGACAATATTGACGCAGGGTCAATCAATGATAATAGTCTATTAATCCTTCCAAGTTCCGCGATATCAACCTTTAATATTTCGACAGAATCAAGTGATTTGGGGACTGGAAAGTGGAGTAATACTTTTAAAAAAAAGAATATCGTAGATCAATTCCAAGAGCAAACTGCCGATATGAAAACTAGGGATTACAAGCTAGCGCTACATCGAAAATACGAGGAGAACATTGTTTCCAAACTAAGGGTACGATTTACCGAAAATAGCACTTTGCTAATGTCTTATTAGTTATTAGAGATGTTGCTAATCAAGGGTTTTTAGGATTTAGAATACGAAAATTCTTTACTTAAAGCTCAGCTTGCCGAAGTTGCAGCAATGAAAGAATTAGAAATTGGAGATTTGAAAAAACAATTAGGGTTAGTTCCGAATTTTCAGGATTTAAGTCCTTCTGCACAAATTAATATTACATGTAATCTTATATTAATTATATGTTATTGGCACTGGTTTAAACATTCAAGAAAGGGAGAATACGAGCTTGAAAAAGCCGAACAGGCATTTTCATATGCTAACAGTGAGCTCAAACAGCGTGTCGATTCTATGCATGCGACGGTGCGCATATAGCTATATATTCTTGCGAGATGAAATTACCAATTGCGTATAATGTTGAATTCCTAAATAATTATTTGTATTCAAGATATTAGATAGAGATCTCACTATCCAAAAACTTAAAGAATATCAAGATATTCAAGTGGTGGAAATATGCCATCTCAAGAAACGAAATAGTCAACTTGAAAAATATTTAGCCGATTTACCTACTGCTGATGAATTCGAAAGGACTAAGCAAGAAATATCCAAATTTCAACCTCGATACATAATCAATACGTGCTCTCTTAATTTTTTAATATTTTTTAAAGCAATATTTGTAAGCTTTAACATTTAAGAATTATCAGATATTACAAATACAAGTGTAAAGCTGAAAACTATGATGCGTGACCAAGAAAACAAGCTAATGGAAACTCAAGCAGAATTAGACGTAAAGGTTAAGCTACAGCTTCTATAATTACTATTTATCTACAGTGCGAAAGCTCTAATACGTATAACTTTCGTTCTGTGTTCAGGAAGCTGAAGTTAAAAGTCTGAAATATCGGCTATCACAAAATAATGGAGACTCTGCGAGGTAATTATCATCATGCTATGTACATTTGATTGTAGAGAAAAGTTATGTTAATTATGTTTTATATTATTCGTATCTATCGTAGTTCTGAATCAATTGTAAATCATACCATTGCGAAAGAAGATGAAAATGTAGATATAAAGAAATTTCAACTTATAAATAAATATCTCAGTGAAGAAAATGAAAGAGTAAAGAAGGTAATTTAAATCTTTACTAAAATTATGAGTTCACCGAAATAGCTTTGGCTCATTATTTATATTTTACAGTTTCTTCAGAGTAAACATCAAAAACTATTGGAGGTGTTATCAGACAAACAACATAACATAGAACAGTACCAACACCGTCTTACTGAAGAAAAGGTATATTTGGCAGCATAAATTGTCGTCCCTATTTATAGTTTTTGTGCTACCTATTTACTATTATTTAGATTTTAGTAATTTGAATCTCCATCTTCAGGTAATTAATTAGCAAAAAGTACAGAATTTTTTCTAATATACTTTTATAGGACATAATTTCTGGATTAAGCAAGAGTTTAAAAGAAAGAGACAGCACTATTAAGCAATTGCAAATGTCAATTAAGACCGTATCAAATCAAAACCAAGATATCCTGGAACAAAATATTGAGCTACAAGAATTATGCAACAAGGTAATTAACTTAGTACTGCACACTATAAGTTAGTATTACTTTCATTTCTGATACTTTTAGCCCGACAAACCATTTGGCATGCAATTGTCTATCAAGATAGCCACCGATAAGGGCAACGTTTCTATAATACTTTACTGAAATTTATTTTATCAACAGTATAAGCATGGAGTTATTTAAGGGTGTATCCACACAATTGGATAATAATATAAAACGCATTTATTAAAAAATGAAAATGACATTATTATAACTTTAACTTAAACATAATTTCCGTTATAATTTATAGTTAAAACTTAATCAATTGGATACAAAAGTAGGGAAATACCAACAAATTGAAAAGGAGGTTAGTCATATTTCGACATTCTCACATGTGTATTGATATCTGGACTACTGTACTACTACAGTAGAAAAACCATTTCCAAATAATCAATAGTTTACAGTCTCTATATAGTAGTACTGTGTGCACGCAATCCCACCGGTACTTCAGGCAGATTGATATACACACACATAAAATCTAAGATTAAATTATAATTTTATTTCTATAATGTTATTTATAACGATTTACTGTGTGCGGTTATTACACTAAATAAATTAATTCCGGTATTGAAATCAACAGCTAACCAGATGCATAAAAGAATTAAGCTCTATTGTACAAATTTGCATAGCAAGGACGCAAGGCAAAGATCCAAATCTGTCTTTACTATTAGGACTAGAAGGTTTTTTATAGACTTACATCTCTCATTAATGAGTAAGATAGTATAATCCTAACATTTCTTTCTTCTATAAAGCCTCAAACTCAAGTACAAGAAATCAAAATATCAGAGGTAGTGAAGATGACGTGGAAGACAACATTTCCAAAATTAGGCGCCTTCAGTTAGAAATTAGCAAACTTAGAGACCAAGTTTCAGAACAGTATGCAGAGGACATTGGTAAAACATGTCCAGTTCAGTAAAGTAGCGTTGCTAATGCAAGGATTATACAATTATTTGTTCATAGCCCTAATATAACGTTAAATTCAATCAAATTTGAAATTTATATTGATTTTAAATGTATATGTTGTAAGTAATCAAGTATGGTACACAAATGCATTTCAGTAAAATTTTCTTTGTATCATCGAACAAGCGGTCTAGTTCTATATTGTAGCACAGCTTGTTCCAAGATTAGATTTAAGGCAGCTTGATAGCGATGATACCGTAAATTTATATTGTAAATCGAATTCTCTCTGTACAGTATATAAAATGTGTCTGTTAACTATACACTCTATTGTATAGAGATATATTCTGGTATGTTTTCGATATTTATGTACAGAGTTTGAATCATGAAAAATCGTTATTAGTATTTTAATTATCTATATTAAGAATAGCAACTGAATATATGTATTATCTATGACTCATGATCATAAACTAGCATAATTCATCAATTTAACCATCATGATTATACCTATAAGGTGTTTTCATTTGCCTGAGGACATTCTAGTAACTCTTTTGACATTGTGGTGGATCTTGAGATTGATCCCTGACACTTTGCATAAAATGCAGCTCGCACTTTGCTACTAGTTAATTGACCTTATTGAAGCTTGGACTATACATACTGTACATTAGCAAAAATCAAGAGAACAGGCGAAGCAAAGGAAGCGTAGTAGAGCAGCGTAATCAAGTGATCGTGTAAATCAATCTGAAGAAGTCTTCGGACTCTCCTTTTATAGGATTCTAGCTGTGACAGTAACTGACCGTTTTGTATCACAGCAACGTTGTACTATACAGATATTCAAGTTTACTAAATTGCTAGGCAGTATTTTGATAATATAACATATTGATAATCTGTAATCTATGATTATGACTTATCTATTATAATTATAATTATCAGACATGGACATTACGTTATTGTTCAGACTTTAGTGTAACGATACACATACGTTAAGGATTATAAATATTCGCGACAGACATTGTAAGTAAATTTCTTTCATTAGTCGAGTAGTCAGTAAAAGGAAGGCTACATAAGCAACAGACTAAAGGGACTATTAATTAAATCATTTCCTTTTAATAACTAGTGACTCAAAATGAGGATTTAAGGAGGCTTTACAAAGAACAAGAAGCCTCATCAAATTAAATCGGAGCATTCAGGTAATACTGCTTATTTACTAGTTGAGAAATCATTAATGCACTTACTGCAATCGTACACTCCTTAGCAATGAAATATCCTGACCTTCAACCATGAGCTACAGCCTACAGGTAGTCCACAGCTCAGAGGCAAGCCTCACTTGCTGCACAGTTCTTTTTATTATAGTTTAACCAAACAACGTAACTGGGTTTGTACATCATCTTCAACAAATTATATGATGTGACACTGGTATAGGTATGCCAATATATGAAAACAATTTCATCAATAACTATCGCTATAAGTACGTGTATACGAGTAACTTTCTAGCATAATATAAATATCTATTATATTAATGAAGTCTTTCCAATTAGACAATTCGTAAATAACTCCATAATATACAGGTATAAACCTAATAAGAGATATACCAATTACATAAAATGCCTTAAAATTTTAAAAGTAATATAATAGTTATCGCAATTGATACCATAAGAATGAATCATGCATGACCTAATACTGATAGTCTCTTATCAGTGCTGCGAGTAGACAAGTCAATATCATCTTAAATTCAATAATTTTAGAATGGTAGATTTAAGATTTATTCTGAATTGTCCAATTATTTTGCAAAATCCTTCGAACTATTTAGAGTAAGAAATCAAGGCAATACAGCTGATGATTTAGGTTAGCGCATTAAGGCTGCTGTTGATGATATTGCAACTGGATTTGTTGTTGTGGAGGCGTTTGTTGTTGTTTTTGTTGTTGAAGTGAGCGCTGCGTTCGCCGAATTCCCAAACTACGCATGTGAGGTTCTTCCAATTGTTTTGGTGATTGACAGGATTGTTGCTCTCTCGGCTTTAGCTGTTGAAGATGTTGCTGGGATTGATTTATAGCTTGGGCGGGAAGATTCTGAGGCCGTTTATGTTGGTATTTCTGTATTAGGATCTGTCCCTGCTGTAAGTTTAGTGAATTGCCTACATTGGGTCGCAACTGTAGCATGTGTGATGCAGAACTGCTTGCCGTTTTAAGCATTGAATTATCGCTATTGCTCTCATTTCTATAGTTTTTACTATTATTATTATTGTTATTATTGATATTAATATTTGCAGTACTAGTACCAGTATTACTTTTATTGTTAATGTTATTATTATTACTGTTACTGTTATTAATATTGGTGTTGCCGATATTGCCAGAATTATAATTCTTATTAAATGTAACACTAGTAGTCGTAGCAGTCATGCTACCAGTAGTGACATTGCTATTATTGCCGTGACTCATTGGCACTATTGATGATCCTCGACTATGCGCCGATATCGATTGATGTCTAGTGATTACAGCTGGACGAGATTGACTGTTTGACGGCGGTAAAACTGATACAGCCAATTGCTGCTGATTACGTTGAACAGGAGCAATACCCCTTATCGGCATATTAACATGCTGCTGTTGTTGATATTGATTTCTTAAAAGTAATTTATTTTGTACCATTTTTCTAGCTTCAATGTTTGAAGGAGAATTGACATTAACAGCCTGCAATTCGTTATAAAAATATATTTCAGATCAGAAGTAATTTACGTAAACGTACACATCCTGTATAATTATCATCTCACATTTGTAGGTGATACAGTACTGTACAAAGAAGATACCAAGAAAACACCTACAAGATTTACACTAAGACTAGAATCAATCAATACAACGTGTAGGGTACTATTATACAGATGAAATGATTAAACTCTCATCAGCAAATACAGAAAATTAGCTTAAAAGTCTTAAGGCCACAGCCTTACACATGTATCGATAGTTTGCTACTACAGCGTGTAGCCGGATAAGATAACTTGTATTCTATTCCGTACCATACCCTTACGCGTCCGAGTAATTTGGTCTCAGAGGGTGTTATCGTTCGTATATACAGTACTTATACTAGCACGATTCTGAGGTCAGGATTCTAATGAAAAGTTGGCTAATACTGTATGGATGTCACATTTTTTTCAAGTTTGAAGCCTACTTTTTTAATACTTTCTTTGTTTATTAATTTAACATATAGTAACATATACATTTATATAAACACTACGCCTATAAGTAGATACATCTTATTCCTCTAATTGCTTTCGCAATACCAGGCCTGACATTTATAGTATTCAAAAGTTAAGCTAGGGCAAATGACATTTGTAATCAATTTACAGCTAGTTTTTCAAGGGTTGTCTTTGTAAACGAATTACACTAAAGAACCTGCAAATTGAAAGTAAAAATAGTGCACTGATCGTCACCATTTTTAAACACGTTACAGCGGTTGCGTACTAACTCAAATACACGGGTACTTTCGTATATCTAAAGTTTAGGGTCTAGGTAGGGTCTCTACTTATACCTTGCAGGTTAATAGCACGATTATATTATTGATGAGAATACTAAGAGTAAAATCATTCATTACAGTAAGAGCCCGTGATGCATACAGCTTACACTTCATTTATATAGAAGCATGTTATGAAATTAATAGCTACATTAAAAGGCCGCCAAGAAGCGTACCAAATCTACGTATTATAGCACATTAATAATTATAATTGGTTAATAATTACCAGGTAATTCAACAATATGATAAGGTGTACAAGCAAGAATGTTTTACTGGGTACCAAGAAGTTTTCACATATACTTCTAAGTACGCCAATGAAATTTTCTTTATACACTATATCATAAGGTTCAATTGCCAGATTGTGTTCATAGTAACTTTTACAATCCACCTACCGGAGCTATTGGTGCCAGCTGTATAGTGCTAACAATTGTAGTATTGGCCAAATTTCCAGTAGCCACGGACCCAGTGGCCGGTGATACAGGTGAAATGGGTGTTCCCTGTTGCGAAATGATGTACTGTCTTCCAAAAGTATTACTCGCAACATTTACAGCAGGAGTATTAACACCCGTTGTTTTCATATCAGTAGGTGGAACTCTTTAATTTTATAAATGCGAAAGAATCGTCAATAATGATGATTTCTTACAACATTTTAACATAACTGCATTTACAATTTAAACGTGATAACCTGAAGTGTTGTAGCTGGACACTGCTGTTTTGGACACCCGGTGATGAGGGGGGTGAAGTAATTAGAGTCATGTTAGGACGCACTCCATACTGAATAAACTGCTTTGATGGTAGAGTTTGGCATCGCAATTGAGATTGTGAAATTACTACAGGACTTGGACTACTCGCAGGGATGTTTGTCACTTGCCTATACTGTGTATGAGAGAAACTACTGTTATGATAGCATGATAACTATAACTATGAGTTTTATACAGAATTCAATCGCATCATAAATTACCATTGTATTACAGCCACTAACAGTAGAGTTCTTATTCAAGACAGATCTAAACCATTTCAATACATGAAAATAACTTTAAATTACGGAGACGAACATTTCCGAAATAGAGATAATGCGTATAAAATTTACGTACAATCGCCCTTGAGAAAGTTCATCTGTCTGTGATCGTTCAGAGTTTGTACTCTGATCCTACGTTTAAAAAATTACCAGTGTTACTACAAGATGCAAGAAAGATCTAAATATAAATGATATCTAACAACCCTAAATCTAGCCGCATACTGTAGATTTTGAGGAAGCTATCTTCACTGGATTTCTCCCTTCTTCAGTAACAAGTTCCTTAAATTGCTCTAAGTATCTGAAATTCCCCAAGAAATATGTATATTCGTATATTGAAATGTATACAGAAATTCTAATGTCTAGATTACACGTAATCCTACAAATTTCGAATTAAGTAATTGGATAACCTTTTCGCACTTTCTATCCCCCCTAGTTCGAACCTGGATACGTGTACAATATAAAGTTACGAATATTTTTAAATTACTGCATATTTATACTGGCGATAATAGTAGATTACTTCATATCACAATTAATAAAATGAAACAAAACTACTTTTAATGGATACATTGATACCTGCATGAAGTATTTAATTTGTTTCCAGCTTCCTTACTAGAAAGGCTTTCAATAAACAGTTCGCCAACGTAACTATCATCCACTGGTCTTTTCATGATGATAAGACGTGACTGAGAATTTCTACTTTCGTTTGTTTCTCCTTGAAACAAAATGTTTTGCACGACTTCCTGTAGAAATAATTCCAGAATAAATCAATGTTTTAGCAAAGCTGTGCTAAAATATCAGCAAGGCGCCAGAATAGACAATAAAACAAAAGATTGTCCCTACCAAAGAATAGTCAGGTGAAAATTTTATTGCATCTTTCTTTTTTGCGTATTTTTCCACCTAGGTCAAAATCACAATATAAGTTCGAATCTATTTCATATATAAGTTCTACTACCAGTGCACGTCGTTACCTCTAAATTAGAAGGCAAATTGAGTAATATTTTTTGTTGCTTCCAGGTATCAACAACCTTTATTGTTTATATAAATTTTCATGCCGAAGTTATTAGAAAGTCACACATATTGCAGATAGTAAAATTTTAATCGCGATCTATTTTAGGTATAAGCCTTAAAAAATTCGAACCGGTTTGGCTATTTTTAAATCAAATTTTATATTCGATCTCTTCTTGTGACTTTCACAAAGAAAATCGACCAAGCATAACTGGTTCCTAGTAGTCATCCTATCTAATAACAAAGAACGATTTCCCGTCCCTGATGCGTTACGCTTAACCAGCCTAACAAAATTCGTCATTTATAAAAGCTAATAAGATTATATAGCGAATATTTGATAATTAATTTGAGCCCTTGCATCGTATATCACACTATAAAGAAAGCAGCTGAAATTTATAAACTTCATGAGATACTAACATACGTAAATATCACAATGCTTGACCTTTCAAAATTACCTTTTGATCTTCCAATTGTTATATTTAATTCTATTGTACTGGAGCTTGTTGCATACACGTAAAACATTGATAGAAGAATCTAAGCATAAAGGATTCTACAAATGGTTTTAAAAAGTTAGCTAATCAAAATCACTTTGATATTAAATCTAGTAAAGAGAGGATGACGCTCAAGCTCTAACTCCATGATCGACTGATTACTGATACGGCATAAGCATTAATAAAGCATATAAGCTAATATATTGCTTTAATAATAAGGTATATTTAAACTTCATACCTGCGTTGCTAAAAGAATTTCGCTTTCCAACCTAAGTTTATCATCCTACAATTACATATGTATATGCTTACCTACAGTTCTAGTAATTTATGAGAAATAATGAATTATGCATATTAAATTTATGGCTTACTTGCGTCCAGTTGCCAGTCTTTGTCATAGTATTAATATCATTAATGAGTGTCTAAAAACAATCCAAATCAAGTATTATCACAGCGCAAACAGCTTACATAAATAGTGTTATAATAGAACCTGATACAAAACAAAGTACTCATACTCCATACAGGTCATCACCTCGGCAGTAGGGTGTAAAATTAGATAGTTGCGATCAAAATTTTTAGCGGATTCCGGTTTGCAACGATAATCTCTAACTTCGACAACCACACATCCATTGTCAAAAACAGGTAACTATCCAAATTAAAACACAATAGATTCCTTTCATATAGAATTTATAACATCTAACTGTGCCTAGGCTCACTACAGTTCTGTCAACATATGTCATCTTAAGCATTATAAAACAATCCAAGCCAATAATGCAATCTTTACAGATATCTTGTAATTCTTACTTTGTTATTATCGAGTATACTAAGTAGGACAGGCGGAATCTAAAGATTAAATTGAAGAATTCGAATGGATAATTGACTACCTTAGATAGAAGTGATTAATATTCTATTTATCAATTATACAGCAAGATCTTATTTTGGAATACACATAATCGTTTACCTCAAGGGAATCCAAGTATCGCAAAAGTTCATCTTCCTGTGTAGTATGATTAAATAAGAGTATTGTGTTAAGCTTTCGAAGTAAAGAGTCTAGCAGCTAATGATTATTCTAAATTTACTTCCTTCAGATTGTCTACTCACCTCATATGAAAAAAAGACTGGTTGTAATTCTATTATTATAAGACAGATATCAGAGAGGCAATTCAATGAAACTCAGAAGTATTCTTAAGACTTAATGACGCGTAACCAGTTTTAACTATTAATATCAATATCAAATTTACAGCCAGAACCTAATTTGTTATCTCCTCTTAGGGCAACTGAATATCCTTTGTCTGAATGAAATAAACTGATGATTATCGAAGCTGATCCTTCCTGATCTATTAATTTATTTGCCAGATATACACTAGGTAGCAGCTCCTAGAACGAATCACAATTCATGGGGTTAGTTGCTACACCTTACCATTGATGACGTTATAAAAACAATGGAAAAACATATATGCGGAGAACAGGGATGGGTAATGTCTGAGATAGCCAGCGAGCGATAAGTGGTGTACAGTACTTTATGAACGAGAAAATTCCCTGATTCGTAGTTTTTGTTAAATTACAACGTCCATTTAGATTTACGCACCTTTTTCAACAGTTTCCTTGATTTTATTTCACATGCCTTCACATAGGCATCGTATAATTTACTATGTAATGAATTACTAATAATTCGTCGACAAATTTACAAGAATTAGATAATAAATTCTTAAGAAAAGGATACATGCGAGGGTGTATTAATATAATGTTCTATTATATGTTATATTAAATGTAAGATACCATTGCTATCCTTATGAGTACTAACCTGTAAGTGCTAAATATAGGTCTGATCTTCAAGCGATTGTACTGAATTCTTCTAACAATTTCCTATTTATTGTAAGTAGACGGTTATTACAAAATTTAAAATAAATGTGAATTGTTGTATTTTAGCTTAATATAATGATAGTAGATACAGTCATGGCCTACTTGATGATAAATCTAGTAGTCCATGACTCCAGTAGATCATAATTACGGCAGCAATTATTATCAGATTATATGTTGATTATGATTCTCTTTAATAATTATAATCTATAGAACTATAAAACTAGCTTACATCTACTTCGTCTGCAGTTGATACAACTGGGGCTGACTTCATTATTTTTTGTTTAATCTGTTAAAAGAAAAGAAATTTAATAAATTTGGTTTATGAAATTATAAACGGAAACCCCGAATGAATAACTAGAAAACAGCAAATAAAGTTAACTCATAACTATCTTTACATTCTCCAAATATACGTATAGTACAATACAATTTGGCATTTCTGCTAAAGATAACGCAGACAGGTGATATTATGCAAAAACAAAGAAATCGTTAGAACTCGAGTTGTTGTATAGGTAACGACTTCGACTACAGGACAACTCATTCCTTTCACCATTTATACGTATAGTAGATTGCACGCAAATGTTTGATAAGGCCAACAGTTTATTAATTAATTAATTATATTATTAAATTATTATATGGATCTATTCCTAATCTTTCACTAATAATTAAGTTAATTATACATACCTATATGATATGCAAATCTATAAACGAGTCATCATATCGTTATTAAAAATTATTGTACTGTAATATGGACAGTAATTAATACTATAATATATTCTAACCCTACAAGCGTAATTGCCCATGATGCACTAATTTTCGAATTTAGTGTCGAGGCATTACTTGTACTGGAAGTAAAACCATTTATCTAACTGGCTAATACACTTAATTACAGTAATTTGCACAAGTAGTTTTGGCCTGTTACAACTCACTTATACCTTATACGTATATGAAATACATCAAAATGCATTAAAATTCTTACAAACTGGGTGAAAACATGAATTTTCTGCTGTCTTGCGTAATCTAAAAAGTAAAAGTATAAGACAAGATACTACATACGCTTATATTTCCTATGCACTTTAGATAGAGAAAACAGTAAGTTTCTGCGTATTTTAGGTCGTTGAATGTCAGTATTTACTACACATATATCACCCTGTTGCGTCCGGTACTAGTGTACATTGGACAGTTTAATTCATAAATTTTCTTTACCGAGGATTCAAAGAGATACTTTATTTCACTACCAATAGTAGTATTTATTCACGCAATGATTCTATATGACTGTAATATCTTACAGTGGTTTTAGACTTTTAGCCCGATCTTTCTTTTCAAAAGGCAGTAAGGAATCGCATTAACGTGCCTTCAACAGAATAATAAATGAATAAATCCAAGTTTATTAAGAGTCTTTGTACTGTACTGTAGATAATACAGAGACCATAACTATGATAACTTACCACATACAGGGCCTACTCGCTACTTTTCCTCCCTTCTAAAGAAATATTCGCGAACTTTTGCCCTTAAAATTAAAGAGAACAAGAAAGTTGTCGCAGTCCTCAAAAAGAGTAGTTGGAGCCTGGGAACATACCAGAGCCAATCTACAGTACATTTTGCAAGACTCTGATATACTGTACAGTACTGTACGGTACAGTACTGTACAGTACTGTACAGGTTCAGGTTCAATAGTAAATAAATAATAATAAATGAATAAATAAATAAATAATAATAATATACTAATTGTAAAATAAGATAAAAACAAAAAACTTATTAGATGTTTCCGCCCGGGATCGAACCGGGGACCTTGCGCGTGTTAGGCGCACGTGATAACCACTACACTACGGAAACAACTCCTGAAGGAGCTTGTCAATTTAACAGTTTTATATTATACTCACGTCGTCAGCTCACTACTTCGCAATCAGAAGATCTTGGTCATCCTTTATAATCTTTATGAGTTATCTAGTGCTGTACAGTATTCCTTCACTATATAGTGTGTTACAGTACGCGATTCAGAAGAATTAGATTATAATTTAGGAGGAAAAAAGTTTGTTGTTCCGAACCTTTCTCAGGTCTAGCTATGAATAATAATTACGTGATTCCTCGTTACGTGTTCGTATTGAGTTCATGAATATTTACATTGGATCCCAATGTTTTGAGCATACACAAAAATAATAATTTCGAGATAGTTGTTAACATTGCTTTGAGAGTCGTGGCCTAGTTAAAAATTATTTAAACTCTATGAATATATAAATTTCAAAATTTATGTACAGTACGTTACACGTAGGCATAAATCACGAGTAATAACAATCGAAATTGTTTCAATAAAATGATAATTATTATCTACGCTTTTCTAAACTCACATATGAATATATATATATATATATATCGGTATAATTGGGTCTCCACTGTGCCCGAACGTTATAATGAAGTTAAAGCATAGATTTTGCATCATGGTTGTGAATGTACCACATTTAAGGATTACGCTATTTGAACTTTGTATAGTGTATAATTTGAATCTATTTAGATACTGATATTCATTGAACATACAGGATACGATGATCAGATTAAATTGTAAATAATAAAATTATATGATACATGCTGAGGTGCTGGAGCAATTTTATTTTTAGTGTTTTTCGAAATGGCACTGTTTCATATTGTCTGGCACTTATAATAATTTAGCGAGTATGATATAAATAATTAATCAGAGATCAAAGGCAAATTGCTAATAGGTAATAAAAAGAGGAGTTATCAGTTACTATAAGCAATGACACGATGGACAATTCACTCCAAAAGAGTGTATATTGTTATTAGTATTATTAAGGCTATCAGATAGCCAAAAATCTAGCAAAGGCAATACGCAATCTTTCAAAATTATAACCTACGACTTATTATACAGTATTACAGCAGCTAAATTAAATGAAACGTTTAATAACCGAATACAAGAATAATGTTACGTTACGTTATAATGGCTTTCTTATTAATGTATACCTGACGCTAAAAACTTTGTGCACCTTCAATCTCACATAAATGTGGCTATAAGTATGAAATTAGTTGTCGCAATGAAGTAAGTATCTAATATCATGTACTATCATCATACGCTTCAACATCAACAATCGTAGCAACAAATTATAAAGATTTTTTAAAAGCAAAGCAAAACAGATCTCAACAATATCTATAGCCGTTATTAAAGCCATATTATTTATAGCCTAAATACACAATGCCATCTCTAATAATTGATTATAGGTATATATACACATCGTATACATATATATATATGTATGTATGTATATAATACAGACAATATGGGTTAGATCTCGAAGTAAATTTATAAAGTTTCAGTATTAATAGCATTTTAAGACACAATCGAGTATAGACATAATCTGATTTTCTTCCGGTTATTCGAATCTAACGTTAATCGGCATAATAACATCTAAAGTTAGTTTTTGATTATAGAAATGCTTATAAACCAAACCAATGATCATCACGGCAATTGCTATTCCATTCCTTGCAACATATCCAACACCATTGAAATCTACATCTTGGAATGGGACACGACATGTGCATGCAACCACCTATAATTAATTTTATGGAAATAAAAGGTGATATCACAACCCAGAAAAAAAATCTTAGAGAAAATGCGATCTAGTTCTTAACACAATGCGGAGCTATGGCACAGTAAAGTTACTAAATAGTCTTTAACAGTTATACTTTGATATAATATCACTGATGCGAGCACAACATTTGCTTATCATATGGTATATTCATAGAATAAATTTAAGCTGTAGATATCTGCTCACAAACCACTTTTTTGAATAGGTGTATTGCATTTTGGGCAGGGTTTAGAAATCTTCTTAATAGTTTCTTTAGTTTTACGCTCCCACCTAGCCTTATCAGCATCTGCTGCATTGATACGATATGGCTGTGAAATAAAATAGTAAGAAGTATTACAATAACACGATAGAAGTTATTTCTTGTAATTATGTTATAATTCTGATTAAACAAACCTGTGTATAATTATGGCAGTTATCAGATATTTCATATGTTTCGCACGATCCTTCATGCCAGACTTTCAGGCATCGACGACAAAAAATTAACTATTGGAGTAAATAATTTTATTCCTGAATTGGGATGGGAAATATCTATCCTGATTAAGTAACGTACTACTGTACATACTCCGCAGCCAATTTTATCAGGGCATTCTATACAGTTATCATCGCCATCATAGAGTATGCCTTGCCCACAATTGGGCCCGGGGCAAAGAACGCCTCCTAAACTTAAAGTTAGTTCTTCGGCTCCAAATTTATGGTAGCGTTCATACTTGAAGAGATTTACAGAAACGATAAATTAAATGCACAGCACATTGTTATAACAATGCCGAAATTTAGCAGTAAACTATTTATCCTCACGTTTTTCTTTCCAAGAATTCGAAAATGATGACAGTCTTTAATATGAGAACCTTCGCAACCAACTTAAAATCAATGAAAATCAATGAGAATTTATCATTATTACTTCTGCTGTAACTTTACAAGATTAAATGGTTCCTTATAAGGCAGCATCCTAACCCATAATAACATTTATATTTACCTGGGCAAGGAATCGTATAGCCTATGCCTTCTACGAAATCAAATTGCCGATCATTCATTTTAGTAAGGCAGAGCTCGCGAAAGCAATTTAAGCATAGCGTATGTCCACTTTCACAGCTAAATACCAACACTACGTCTCTGAAAGAATAATTTGCAATTTTTTTGCTTTAGAGGTGAAAAATAACGTCAATACTATACAACACAGTGATCAACAAATAGAAAGCACGAATTTTGCTTCACTTTCTGACCTCTGTTCGTAACAAATTAAACATGGAACTGCTCTAGTATTAGTACGAATTTGATACAACGGTGCCGAGAACTCATTTTCATCGGCTAAATGAGATCCACACTTGAAATAAAATTCCTAAAAAATCTTAATCTTATAAAAAGGATCTTGCATATTTTTATAACTATTACAACATTCGATCATAAGTATTATTTCAACAATAATAACGAAAAATAAAGCTTACAACAATAGTATTTGAACACTCAAATTGACAAGTTCCTTTGATTCTGCCATAAATTAAAATATCATCCCATGATTCAGGCCCCTAATAACAAAATATCAATATAAACTTTATAGTGCACATTGGCAAAACCGTCTAAATTCTATGAATTTTGTGCCTCATGCTAGCATAGCTCTTTAGCAGTAAAATGATATTTATCTGATATTCAAAATGATAACTTTCATATTTAAAAGCCTAATAATGCTGCAGACTATAGACTTAGCAATCGTATTAATGTGACTAACAACATAAATCAAAATTAGAAATTAGTTTAAAGCATCTAAACGTCTGGATATCATCAGTCATGTGCACAAATGCGCGCACTCGTACGATAGCAGCGCAAAATCACGAAAAGTATCTAAGTACTCACCCGGACGAGTGTAACAGAACTCTCTTTACATTTGCTACATCTTGCACGTAATTTACCAGGTGTAACGGTACCGCAACGTTTACAATACACATAAAAACGAGAAGATATGTTATGGCCTAATAAACAAAGCAGAAACAATTACGTTATATGTTAATATATAGTGGCACCGTATAAAGAAAACCAGAAAATGAAAAATACTACTAGGATAAATGTAAAATTTACATCATTGATTGTAGTAGAGAGTTCTTAATTAGACTCTTAACTTTAATTATATATAATTATAATATAGTACTAGCTTATGCACGCCGTGCAAATGAGATTTTGATTATATTTATACGAGTGTGACTTTAGATTTACAGTTAATGAAATATTTCACTGATTTATATTACTGCACTAAGCCAGAGTATCATAACTGTTGGATCTCATTTCGCTTAATTATATTTTGTACTCACAGTCAGAAATTTACATTAACATTTAACATATGTTATGGGACATTGGGACTGGTCATTATCATAAATGAATCATGCGATATTTCAGTCCATTAGCCAATATGCAGACTGACAAGTATACGTATAGTACTATATCATGGACTTCTAAGAGAATTTCACTTAGAAGTTCCAGACAGTATTATATGTTTCGAAAAAATGTACTCAGTACACTACAGTACAAAACCTAATCTTAGTGTACAGTCAAGAAATTAGTAATTCTTGATAATATCGCTATTTAGGCCGAAGTCCGTCAGTCTATTAACAATAAGTGACAGAAATTTGTTTAATTTACGTACTAGGATCTGAATTCTTATCAATCGCTTTCATGATCATAGCTTCTTCAATAGGTAATCCTGTGGCCGGGTAGTAATTATTTAGATTGCAGTTTTTATCAACCCTCACTCCTTCATTTTCATCATCTTGCGATCTTAAAATAGCGTGAACAACGCTGAAAGTAGAAATTTGGCACTCCTATAGAAATGACATTTAATTATGCCATCAATATGTATACTTTAATTAATATACAAGTTACAAGAAAAAGGGAAATATGGATCTACATGACTTTATAATTGACTATAAGAATTTGTACAGAATACTACAAAAATCCCATATCCATGTACAGTATGTACAGTCAATAATTATAATCGAATTTTCAAGTGGTTACTTCCATACTTGTTTTACAATGAACACCAGAAGAACTATAATGTATCAATTAGGTAACGGGGTGCACGTATACTGAGATGTCCACTACAGAAATAAAACTCTCAATTAGCCTCTACTATACAAATTTTGTTCAGTTATGTATTACTATAGAAATTCTTGGATCAGATCTGATTCAAATTTTTACACTATGCAATTCATTCTATTCTTTAGCTCAAAAAGAAACCTTAATTATTGATAAACTTATAGACAAAATTTACGACAGAAAGCGTACCAGAGTCATAATCAAGATTCTATACTCATTTAACTAATAATACAACCTCGTAATTACCGTAAACCTTTTTAACTTAACAAGACAATAATTTTCAGATACTAAAGCACTCCAAATATCAGCATAATATTCCTGATTACAGCTGTTACTGACTTGCTCTAATACTGCAGTATCATTATTGTAACTCGTAATCCGTAAGTACAGCATATTCTCAGAAATTAGTACTGTACTTAGGGCTTTCAACGCGAAACTAGCGACCGAAATACAGTACTGTACAGTACATCTATACAGTACGTTAATACGAGTACTGTAGAAACGGTAAATGTAGCACTAGAATATGTAGTACTGTATACGCGTGAATCTACTAGGTATTAGCGTATTGCATTGCTACTTGTAGTACCCTGATACTTTGGTTGTTATTCAAAGCTTGACCGGCAAAGATAACCCCAATTCTCTGCGAGTCTATTTGTAGGTCAATATCTGACAGTTTTTGACTTAGAGCATGCTTCAAGCGCAAGACCGTCCAACTACCATCTGCTTCTAATGTTGTAGTGGTTCCGTCGTTACAGCGTACTTTAATTATTCGCTTATCCATACATAACAGTTTCTAGTCTGTACCATACGTCTAATACCATAACCAATGCTTTCTCAAAGTTCTTTTAGAAGCTAAAGATACTTTCATATAAAGGACTTCGAGCAGGCCGCTCAAATTGTTAGGTGTGAACTATAATGTGGAAAGATCGTTTCCTAGCCGTTGTAAATGCTTCCAATATTTGTGGTTCACAATTTTTCTAGCTCGATCACTTTTGTGTTAACTATCAATACTGCATATACTGTGCAGTAATATGCTCAGTCAGGAAAATTGTACATGTGACGTCATGTGCAGTATAGTATACGAATTATGAAGTATAACAAACGAGGAGTCTACTAGTAAAAATAAAATTGAAGTTAAACTGTAGTAAATTTAATTTTAAATTAAATAAAACAAAATATAAACATTATACTGTACAGTACAATTTATACCATAGCATCCAAACACTAATTCGCCTAACTCGCCACGCCCGAGAATCTGTACTGTATTGTAATTTATACAGTGTACTGTACTGTACTTTACTGTACAGTACAGTACACTGTGCTGTCACTAGACCTGACGCCTGTCACAGCCTACAGTACAGTACAGTATATTATACTGTAAGATACAGTACTACTGTACATACAGTACTGTACTGTACTGTAGTGTACCGTGTTGCTCCTACAGTACAGTACAGTACTGTACACCGTACACTGTACAGTACAGTACACTACAGTATTAGGTACAGTGTCTACTGTACTACACTGTACAGTACAGTACTGTACAGTTTATTGTTATTGTACTGTACTGTACAGTACAGTACAGTACAGTACAGTGTACAATATGATTACATTAGTACAGTACTGTACACACTACCTGTCCAGTATACATAAAAGAGGCAAAATTTCGTCCTTAACGATCAGTTTATTACTTTATTTATTTTTGATTGTTGACAGCGTAATGATATCAAAAAGCATTTCGACGTTGATGTTTGTATGGTATGTAATAATTTTGCTTGAAGCTGATGGCGCTCAATCACGTAAAATTTTACGAAGTACTCCTACAAGCCAAGGCGAAATACCTACTTCATCATTATTAATAAATCAAGGCCCAACGCCAAATACTCATAGAACTTCCATTGCTACTTCGAATAGTGAAATCTCCAAAAATAAACTAACAATACATCCAAATGAGAACACCAAAACAACGACGTTCAAAGGTACATCGACTATAAATTTGACTAGTGATGATCATTTAGGTGAGATGCTTTATCCGTATTTACGCCTTAATAACGATTTCGGCTTGTACTATTAACGCTGACTACTGACTTCTGTATGTAGGGTACACTGTAGCAATGTTGTAGTAATGCTGTTTAAATGTGCTCCGTTGAAGGACTAGTTTGAGTTGCATCATTCTCCATTCGCAGTACTGAATTGTAGAGTTTGTTGCCAACGAATCACGACGGTTTACTATATTCGTTTTCTGTTAGGATTGCTGCAAGCGATATTTTCATATAATCTGAAGTTATAATCAATAGATAACAACTTTACAAACTGAATGAAGTTCTTTAAAAAATTCTGGTAAAGAATATTTGATTAATACGTTCTACCTACAGTAGCGCAATTATTCGTGTTAACGTAAAGATGCTAGCAAGATTTTCGAGGATTGGTAGTCCTTGCTAGGGACTGTACACTGTACAGTGTACAGTGCATGTAATATAACACATACATTTTAGTGATGCATAATAATATACAATATATTCATTTATAAATGCCGACACGTTTACTAACGCTTGAGCGGTATGTACAGTACTGTACGTACGTATACTGTATACTGTACAGTGTACAGTACAATACAGATGATACAAAAGATTAAAATTAAAACTACAGTACTGTACAGTACAGTACAGTACACTAACTGTATCGTAGTACGTATAACGTACTGCACACTGTACAGTATAGTGAATGTAGTATAAGTACAGTGTTACTGTACAGTGTACAGTATACTGTGCCATAGACTTCTAGATACCTCCAAGAAATCCAGAGGTATCTAGAAGTCCATGTTTACACTGTTCTATCCATCATAGACTACTAAAACACCGGTATTTTTAGTACATACATCCACATACCAAACCTGCAGTAAAACTTAAATCAGACTACTACGTAGCTCGACCATATTTATCGAATTAACGATTTCTGTATAGTGCAATGTCTGGAATGAGATCTCGCAGACCTTTGGTGTACATTTACATAATCATTATCATTATATATCATATGTAATAATGCGATTTTACGTGTATCACGCTGTTAGGAGCTTTTAGTGCTGCTAATGCGATTAGTCAGAGTGCGTATTTGCAATGTTTAACTAGAGCTGCGCCAATATCAGCAGTAGTGTTTGGTGTTTTTTCTACTGTACAGTAGATCAAGGATCTTCATTTGTACTTTTATGGATCCCAATCCCGAGAAATTTCAAGCTAAAATTTTTACGTAATATAGTATAGATTAATTTTTTTAATATTGTAATTTAATACTGTGTCATATTCAATGTCTGTAGACAAGCTGTTATCGTGAGTACTGTAAAGTGCCAGTCTCTCTTCTCTTCTACTACAGTGTACTTTTCGTTATACGTACAGTCATAAAGGTAAGAAAACCTCAAAAAAATTATCTTTATGACGTATAGTATTTAGGATTAGTGACTTGCCAAGTTATAATCGTGGCTACCATTTTCATGGAGCTGCATTACTTGCATACCGAGTAGCAAGATGTCTGGAACTTAGGATAATTTTGCATACAGTATAATATTCGAGTATTATTACACAAGATCAGGAATTGATCGTTAATCTACTGTATTATAGATTAACGTATTGTACACTAATGTAGTTTGCATCACCAATCGTACCGAATACAGCGACATATTCTTAACGATAGCAAATTTTTCCGTATTACTATTAAATATTCATTATTATCCTATCGTATACCTATTGTATTTCTAACTAAAAGTATAAATACTGAAATTGCAGATATTGAAACAACGAAGAATCCCATTGGAGGTACCATTGTTGGCATAATCGTCTTCATCACGTTAAGTCTAGTAGTAATGGTATATTTTCAGAATTTCTGTAAGAAGA